CCTAACCCTAACCCTAACCCTAACCCTAACCCTAACCCTAACCCTAACCCTAACCCTAACCCTAACCCTAACCCTAACCCTAACCCTTGGGTTAGGAAGAGGTAACCTTTCAAGATTGGCAGGACCCTGGCCGACGCATCAGAAAGGCTGGCTTTGCTAAAATTGAAGGGGCCCGTCGTCAGGCCAGAAGATATGGTTTCAAATGGCTGTGGGTCGACACGAACTGCATCGACAAAAGCAGCTCGGCTGAACTTAGCGAGGCCATAAATTCCATGTACGTTTGGTACTAAAGAGCGGGGATCTGTTTTGCTTACCTCGAGGATATCGTTATAGCCGGTACCGAAGAGGCCCGTTTGATGAATCCACTAGGTTCCAGCCGTTGGTTCACACGGGGATGGACTCTGCAGGAGCTCCTCGCCCCTCAGAACGTCCACTTCTATGACTAGAATTGGAACCGGATCGGCAGCCGAAACAACGCTCTTGTGGAGCAGATCGAAGCGACTACAGGGATCGAAAGTGAATACCTCATCGGAAAGATCGCGGTAAAGAGTGCCAGCATTGCGAAAAAAATGTGCTGGGTCTCGAGGCGAACAACGACTAGAGAGGAAGACATGGCTTACTGCATGCTGGGTCTCTTCGACATCAATATGCCACTGCTTTATGGAGAGGGTGCCAAGGCGTTTGTCAGGCTTCAGGAGGAGATCATCAAGGTGTCCACCGATCACACACTATTCTGTTGGCAGTGGCAACCATCAACACCACGTGACTGGGCCAACCTTTTGGCTCCATGTCCGAGCGCTTTCATACACTCGCGGCGAGTAGTACAGATGACGACACAATTGCCTCTATATGGGACAAGTAAGCGAGATCAAGAAGTCTCGACCTATCTGATGACTAACGCTGGTCTGTCTATTCGACTACCTGTACTTTACACTTGGAGCGGATACCTAGTTGCCTTGGAAGCCATCCCTAATCGTGAAACCGATACTGTATATAACTCATAGTATTGGCTGCTGCTGTACGGCGATCAAAGGGCTGACTAGCTTTACCTTCAGCGACAAGCTGTTCCAGTGGGCCCAGTCATCCTCGACTACAGCTTGGAACAGTTTGCCAGTCGCAGGTCAATTATCGTCCGAAAGGAAAAGAATAAAGAGACTTTAACGAACTCAATTTCTTGGGGTCTTACGCTAGAAGACTCGTAACAGTAAAATAACAAATTGCTTGGCTGTTTCTTTATTTTCGACTCTACTAAATTACGGAATAGATGGCTCCGAGACAACGCGCCGCGTTCGTATCTTCGCTCGGACTTTGTTTGGCTAAAAAACCGGAAGAAACTCGTGTCGAGGGAAACACGTATGTCCACTTCTTTTGAGGTTGTTTATCAGCTTATCATGAACGTCTTTCGAGGACAAGATACCAATCGTCGGCCCGGTCAGAAGTGGGGATCGCTTTTTTTAGCCGTTAGAACGGCGAACTTATTAAACAACACAGTATAGTTTGCCAGGATTATAACCCACACCGGACCATTAGAAGGCGTGGAGATATAAACAACACTTATAGAGCTTCTTCAATGGGTCGTGAGTTCCAGACACTAATAACATTCACAGGTGTGTGTTGAGTTGAACTTACGCTTCAGGCTTGGACAGAGTGGGATGGTCGATGTGTATGGGGCTTAAGTGCGACTGTTGCTTTTTTCTGAAGTTCTATTCAAGCCGGAAACGGATCTCGATGACGAAGTGTCTAATGATTTAGGAGAAGCCGTTATTCCAAAGATGATTTGCGGTTTATAGAAGTGTCGGATTAGAAGTCCAATTCAACTAATGGTCAGGAGGCAGCGCAATGGCGAGCCCGATCTTTAATTAGACCTTAACTATAACTCCTCTAACTTCTAATCAGAATCTCCCTCTTACACGGTTATGCAGAATCAATCAATATATAAAAATTAACCCTCCGTCACCTACAGAGCCTATAGGTTCGAACCAACTACCCTGTGATAGGGAAACTATCACTGATTAGCGGTTAAATTCCGCTATCGTAGATTAGTAAGGTATCTTGCAAATAGAAAAGAAGATCCTCTAATACTGTACGGGATAGAGGAGTTGTGCTCCCTTGACCTTTTTAACGAGTAGACGTCTATTATGTTGAAATACGCTATTGACGGTCTATTGGCAAAGACCGCGAGTGTTTAATGGAAGGAATCACTAGGATAAACTGTTTAATATGCTGCTCACCCTTAGCCTAAAGTTACCGAGCTTCTCCTGGAACACGGCGTAGGCGCAGACATTCAAATCACTTGTGAATATGGTTCTCTACTAATAGACATTGTAACCGGAGGTTATTATGAGTCCTTGCGAATACTCCTGGCGCAGAAAGATCCTTTTCGGTATTATAGAGGTGGGGGGGGGGGGGGGGGGTCGCTGCTAATTATTTTATATAGAGATTGGACGGAAGCTATTATATATAACTCTTTAATAAAGTATGGACCTTAAATATAAATAGGACACTAAACGACATAGAGCAACAAGTAGGCGCGTCATTTTTATGGTCTAGATATAAAGAACTATTTAATAAAGATTTAGCTTTAAAATATAGTAAACGATGATGTAGATATGCCATTCTCCGGGACATATATCGAGTAAGTCCCTTCGCCAGTCTCAACAGGCCCGGCGTCAATAATGTTATATGCAAAGTTCTAGACTGAGCGTTTCCCGTTATCGGGCGGGTGGGCCGGATTAGGCTCCGAAGGGGTGTCGCTTCCCCGGTCCCGGGTCATAAGAGAGCGTTTTCCGTTGTCAGGCGGGTGGGCCGGATTAGGCTCCGAAGGGGTGTCGCTTCCCCGGTCCCGGGTCATAATAGAGCGTTTTCCGTTGTCAGGCGGGTGGGCCGGATTAGGCTCCGAAGGGGTGTCAGTTCCTCGGTCCCGGGCTGGGATCAACGTATCGCCCAAATGCCTGACGGGTTGAGCAAGTGCGAGAGTTGCGCCAAGGCAAAAGAGAACAGTAGTAACCCGCATGATTGCTAACGAAGCTACCGGAAAGGTTGACTAAAGAGTAAAGTTGATGGGAGTCTCAGAAGAACTTGAGCATGAGTTATGGACTTGGAGCGGGTATGGCGGGGGATGGTCACTAGTTCTTATAGTACGACCCACGGAATGTGATCGAGGCCCATCCATATAATGATTGGTGGAAGGCATTCCTTCTCAATTAAGTTCGGTTTTCAAGATGAAGTTGCATTTATCAAAAACTCAATATGGCAGTAGCTTCAAGTTAACACTAACGCCGCGCTTACATTTCCTACTGGGATGATTTTCTAACTTCAAACGCCAGACAGCCCAGCCTATGGATTTATAATAACTCATTCGACAGCCTACAAGGTTATTCGCTAAACGCCTAAGATGAAGTATTAAGGAGCTATTCTCCTTAGTCACAAGTGGCTTTGCACATAGATATCAAGATGCTTCGAGTGTAGAATTCTTACACAACTGTCGAGACGATATCTTGACTGGCTATATTAATTGATTATCTCAGTTGGTTCAAACAAGATGCAAGGTTCATCGATACTTTCCAGGTGCACTATAATAGCACTCCCAATGTCCGGGCATCGTGTCTTTGTGAAATGCGAATGGAGAATGATTTCCATTCGTAGCTGCTTCTACCGAGTATTCTAGACTTAAAGTAGTCAAGCCACTTTACGCACAATTTATTAAGCTCTGGTGTCGCGTGTTAGCGGACAAGTCCTTCGGCCGTCGGGGATTAGCAGGCGCCATTAGACAACGTGAACTGTCCGCTTACTAACTTCGAATCCCACCATGACAGAGACGCATTGTCAGCCTTGCTTCCCTACAAATATCTGCGCAAAATCGGGGCCCATCTATTCATGGGCTTTGGCACGTATCACCCTTTATTGGTTCCTTGCATAACGCTCAGAGCTGTTTGGTTCCTTCCTTTGTTTATGCTATTTTTCTTACCCATTACAGACTTTGACTTCTGAAAGAGCTAGTGTTTCCTACCGTCAAAGCTTTGTGTAGGTATTGAGCTTCTGATCGGGAACCGAATCATAACGTGGCGGCTGTCTGTTTTCCTATTGGTCTCAATCCGAAGGAAGCAGCCAAGAGCACAGCTCCATGGGTGATGACTCTGTTTAAGATCCCATGCTAACAGGTCTTGGGTAAAGCTAATTCTCAGGCTTGCTTTCGACGTAAAATAAGAGAGGAGGCAGGGTTGAGTGGCTCGTCTGCGCTTGGAAGAGCAGGCTGCGTGGGATTGTAGGATCCGCCCAGTCCCTTGACTGTGGGCCGTTCACACTGAACATCCTCATGGGTCTTCCCTCATGAGCGTGTGGCAAAAGTTTTCATGCACTGGTACAACCTTGCAATGGTAGCCAAGGTCTTTTCCACCAACTCTCTCACAGTCGGACGTATCCACTACATGTACCTGCTATAGAACTTAAGTAACTTGAACTTACCTTAGCTCATACTCCAGAGATCTTCTACAGCTTTTGGCAAATGAATGCCTCTATTCAGAATCAAAATCTCAAGAGTAAGCGGAGGTCGACGACTTTCTAGTGCTGAGAGAGGCTTAACGTGTCGATTACACGGCCTAACGCAAGCTGGGTTGCTCGAACTTCTATAGTACCTGGCCAAACACAAGTCATGAGACAGCGGGATTTATCAAGTTTACCCCGGGTTTTGCACGATGATCCATAGTCTTTGGGACTTCCCAATTACTTCTAGTTATGAAGATGAAGCCGTTCTCGTCACTCTCTAGGTTCCTCGGTCTAGTTACCTGACAACTGAAACATGCACTTCAGCTGGCCAGAATAGGTCTCGAACCCGGCAATAGCGCATTGGCGGTGAGTTGAATGTCATTGTACACTTGGATGAGACAAGCTGTCCTCCCCTGTAATTCGAAGTCGAACTCCACTAACGTAGGGTGAGCGAGTTGTGCAGAACGAGCTATAAGCATACTGTCTGGCGCTCCCGGCCGACAATCCTATTGCCGCTAGGCGCTGTAGTGGCGAACCACACCAAAGTGCATTAGAACACGAGCCCGGCTATTTTGATTATAAAGTTTGGCTATCTTGACTATGTACTACTGTCACTAGCTGCCGCGTATTACTTACCTAATTATACCTCGCCGTGTTTAACTCCTTCTGGCACCTAATCAAGCGTAACTTACGATATTTACGGTCGTAATTGACGATTTTATAGGGTCGCAATTGACGTCGCGATTGACCCGTCTATGGTAATAGGAAGGAGCCGATTATATAGGTACTGGTTGGTAGTGGTATCTAGTTAAAATAGCTAGGTTTTAGAACACACGAATGTTAAGTAGGGGCCAATTCTATCGTTACCTAAATGAATTGTCTTAATTTGTCGTGGTTTAGACACCAATCTTTAAAATCCGCCACCTAATCACCTTCAAGTAAGGCTTGTTAAATTGATGACGCGTACTTCCGGAGATGCGAGACGTTTAAAGTATTTACTCCCGTTTTAATAGCTGTATAAAATACTGTCGTTACGATTCGATATTTGCTTTGGCTAGCGAGAGACTGCGCGTGCTTGAAAGGTATATTTTCCTATACGTCGCGCCGTTGTGACCGGAGGAAGGATGAATTACTATGCCGAGAGGCTTATTTGATGCGTAGTAAAAGCAGATTAGTCTTTAAAGCCTCAGCCATCAATAGGGAGTATACTTATTTGGATATCTATAGATAACTGATCTTTCTAAGCTTTCGTTACTTACGTACTCGTGCCGATTGGGAATGCTGTGATACTGCGTGTAATAGCCTCTGTCTCGAGCCTGCATTATTATATGAGTCATAATCTAGAGGTTTGAGCAAGCGTAGGGATGAAGTCAGCGAAAAAGCAACATAGACTCTGCTGCGTCAGAGGGGCATATGCCCAAGGTAACAGTCACTGATATGAGATGGTGCTCCAGAATTGATATGACATCTTCAACGTGGAGTATGGTATATAATGTGACGGCTTGTACAGCGGCAATCAATTTCTCCCTATCGTAGAACCCATGCTATATTATAACTGTGGTTAGTGTCTGGAAATTCATCCTAATATCATGGTTAATCTTGGTCGAGGTACAATCTACTTGTTGAACAGCTTTTGCTTTTCCATGTCGATGGTCTTCCATGCAAAGGAGCTGTCTTTAAGGCTGTCTTTCTAGAACATCCGGATTATGTTCGTGCATGCAACCAACGGTTGCGGAAAGCACTGATGGATTCTAGATTGCTGGCGCTGGATCTCGTCGCCGAAGCGCGGTGAACTAAGAAAAGGGGGTAGGTTAAGATCATCGATCAGCATTACAGGATACTTCTGTGTGCTTCCCAGCATCATTGTCGAAGTAAGTCTTCCGCAGTCGTCGGCGTATAGGTTCAATACCGGCTTTTCGCCACGTATGATTGGTCTTGGTTGAGTTGAAAATTCGACTACGACAACTTCATGCATAGGCTTTCGGCGTTTCAGAGACTCCCTACCTATTCTGCTATATGAGAAGCCAGATCTTCCTGGGTTACGTGGATACTGATGACTTACTATACGGCCGAGGCACAGCTGTGAATAGATTTGATGGGGTTTGTTAACGTTTCACGGGTTTGCTCTTTTATACCTCGAAGGACGCCACTTTTTTGGCGAACACGACGTACCCGTACACGATTGGAGGTAGATTAGTCGCTTATATCGCTATGACTGCCTATGATCGTGCTTCCGATATTAATAGGGCTGGATTTGAGGTTAGTAAGGAGGCGGAATAGAGTTATACGGACAGCTTAAAGCCTTACGCTTAATGGTATGCTACTGTGGTATCCTGTACCCCGACCTACTTTACGGACTATAAAAACCCTAAAGAAGAGAGCAAATCAAAGCTGCCCTTATTAGGCTTTAGTATGGGAGTTATGGGGCTCGAAAAGGTAATGGATTAGTGGGCTGATGGTAGCTTGGAAGGGTTCGTGGTCCAGGGTTAAGAGTAAAGCTTAGTTTACAAAGCGTCTAAGATCGACATATACTACCAATGCATGCTAAATGGAAATGAACTTGTATATTTTAAATGATAGGGAGGGAGTATGATGAACTCGAGGATGTAAATGCGGAAGCAGCCTGTTGAAGGGTTGCTGTTGGAGTATGGGCGGAGTAGGTGGATTTGGAAGATGGCCCGGGGTGATGCAAACGGCCCTTCTACATACACATATCTAGCTCAGTACTAGGTCTCTAAGGTTTGTACTTTCCGAAAGGCCCTAGTTGCACAACCCAATGAAACGGCAGAAGCTTACTTTTATTAAAGTAAAAGTGGAGCGTGTCTGTGAGGCAGACTAGTATTAAGGCTGATGATTAGCGGTACATGTTTTACCTGGGAAAGCGAGAATAGGAAACGAAGTCTGGCGTCTTTTTTCCTTTGTTGTAGGAACCCATGTCTGAGAGTTCACTCCAGGGAGTGAATGAATAGCGCCTAGCTTCACTTCGACTTGAACTCAGTGCGTACAGCGACTGCATATGAGCTGGACTATACCTAATGCTATGTCCGACTAAACTTCTGCAGCGAAAACGGTCCCTCCGTCATCAAATTCAACGGTAAGAACATAGATTTCTCTACTTAATTACGACTTATCCGCACTTTGAGTATACGATATTAAGGACTTCTATACACCACACTAACCAGACTATACAGGGTCAGTGGGTCCTGGCCTCATTGGTATTCTATGGATAATCATCAAGGGAACGTTCTGCGTTGTCCAAGCATCACACATTTATTCATTGCCATGGAAACACTGAACCTTGTTTTGAAATGAGCATCATTATCAGGACAGCGCGGGACATCGAGGATTTTCGAACTGAGGATACGAAACAAAGAGGTTCAATCCAGTTGCGCCTCACAGAGACCACTATAATGTTGCCACTTCGAGCACAGCGTACAAGTACTTTTAGGGCGAACACTCTTCTATAGTCATTCGATCTTCTCTAGGATACCTATGTCAATCCTCTATCCTTTCTTCCGCGTCGATGGTAGTACGGGAAGCTCTTTCATGAGCTTAATCTTGGTGTTAACTTAAAGAAATTATCCTTCTGCTTAGGTTATGCTTCGAGTCTGGGGCGGCGATCCAATCGCGCAGGGCGCAGGGATGCAAGACATCGAATTACCCAATGGACTCTCGATCTTACTGAAACATGAGGTCGGATCAATAAGGTGAATTTTCAGATGAAACAGTCCCCCAAGCGCTTTAGCTATCAATACAGGTGCAATCCAAAACAGCACTTGTAACACGCGAGTTTGCGCACAGCCCTTCTGGAGCGAAATTCGCAAAAGTTCAGTGCACGGATAGTTCAACGAGCTGAATAAATATAGAGAGTTTTCCTTGCAAGCCCAGTCGGCGATCAGCAGCGGAGTCCCATCTGACCATCAAGCTATCTGCATGCAACTTCACACCCAGAATGTCTTCAATACCCGAATATCAGCCCTTTCTGAAATACTCGGACGACCCGACGACCGAAGAACCATCATCACCAAGTCGGCCATCAACCCGTCGGAGCACGCTTTTTTCTCATGCTCTCGTGCTCATAGGCACATCACTAGTATGGATACTAGTCTTCTTTCTGTTCTTTCCAACACCAGCTGCGACAACGACGTCCCAAGGCACTGCACTTTCCCAGTCACCAACTACCTACTTAACTGGCCAGCGACACAACATTACCACCGGTAGAAAAAGAATTTCTTGCGGCTCCACTACACAAGAGGCAAGGGCAAAGGGCTGCAAATACGACGTCTTGTTGAATCACTGGGTCCCAGCGCAGTGCTTTGACAAGGACTCCGTCGATGAATATCAAGAAGATGCTAGTTGGGGGGCATTTGCGGATAAAAACATGACGCAGCAGTTGACCATTGACGAGATGTCAGAAAGAGACTTCTACTGGACTTCGATTCGGGACCACATCAACCACTGCGCTATCATGTGGCGGCGCCAATTTTACGCTCTCTTCGACGAGCGGGCTGCAATTGACACCATCGTCACCAGCCCTGGGCACACTGAGCACTGTTCGCAGTATCTCATGGATGCCGTGGACTCTAAATGGAAGGAACCAACAAAGACAATGAGAGGCTTCGCGGGGTGCTGGGTACGCGAAGTATAGTTCTCCATGCGATGTAGCACGACGAACGCCAAGGCGAAGGAGTCTGGTTTCTCCAGATGTTGGTTTAAGGGTTGGATCACGGCAACGAATATATAATATCGCACGTCCCCGCTGCTCGAACGTGACACCGTAGTAAAGGCCAAACCTCGTCGTATTTTAGTGAAGTTTGCCCACTTCGAGTTGCCCGCAGTTTCAATTTGCCCCCAATATTCTTTTCGAAGGTAAAAACAGTAAGTAACTCAGTCTTGGTATGTGTAAATCTACAACGTTTCTCGATGAGAGCCTGCGGAGCATGCTTGGTCAAGCACGAGACTGGCGCCCAGGGATTGATGTCGATTACGAGTTAAGATAACTTATATAATGCAATGAAAGATTGTTTCATTTAGGCTGGTGTAAATAGGGCATGATGCGAAGGTACCTCCTCGCCACACGTGCGATACCGAACACCCGCAAAATGCTGAGCCGTCTCGCGAACCATGCATCGCGTACAATCTGTAGCACCCAAGGTGGCCCAAACTTTGCTTATGTTGTTCCCTCTGGGGAATAGCGGCATGGCACGTGACCCGCGTGTTCTGTCTCGGTGTTGATACTGCCATTCGACTACCGCATGGCAATGACGCATATCAATATCACTTTATCATCGCTTTCCACCTAGGCTCCATCAGCTTCTGCTCTGTTTCCCTATGAGACTGTAAAGTATCGCCCAGGCAGTTTCGACACTCTCCGGGATATCCACATGGACGATGAACCCTTTACCCCTTGGACCATAGCCCTCGCCGTCGTCTCTGAGGCGAGGAATTTCCCCCATGAGTAAATCAACGAAGCGTTGCATGCTCCAAATGCCGCTTGATGTCTTGTGGCCAAACTGCTCGTCGGCAAATTCAAGTTGAGCCATGACATCCTTGCCAACGGACCCCTTCAGTGAGTCGATAAGTTTCACTTTGGGATTGAACGTAGGCCAGCTCTTGATTCGAGGTACAGCGTTGGACTTTCCCTCGTATGCCTTTTGGAAAGTGGCGACCGTCCGTCTTGACATCGTGGGATCCTGCACTATGACGATGGATCTCGGTGAGTAAACCCCACAGGCCTCGAGGACATGTTTTGACTCGGCTGCATTCCCTCCACAATTTGTAGAGCGATCCTCAACTACAACCAAAAGTTTGTTCGTATCATTTATCTGAATAGTTGCTTCCGCAGTCCCGACGTCATGAGCCTGGACGCCGTACCAGCGCTCGGCTATGAGTTGCAATACACGCGATTCGGCCTTTCCTTGTACTTCATCGGCAATTGCGCTGTAGACGGGGTGCCTTTTGATTGCTTCATAGAGAAATGGCGTCGAGTGGCCGATACCACCACATAGGACCAGAACCGTGTTTCGTCCCTCCCTGAACAATATGATCAGCAATTGATCGAATGATTAATAAATATACACCATTGGACCATTTGTATACCTGGCAATCTGCTTGTTCAACTCCAATCCGCCGGTAGTCACGGCCGAGAAAACTACATCTACGAGTGACAAAACCGAAGAGGCACAAAAGACGATGACATCGGTCGGTTGGTGCCGTCCTAAGCCGCTCGGAGCAGGTCCTGGGAGAGATTGAAGGAACTGGTTCAGACCGTCTACATCTTTGATCTCTTCATGTGATAGAAATGAGGATAGACTATTGATTGCGTGAGCAGCGTCAGCCATTACTTGAAGTGAATTGACAGCCATTTGGCATGCTGGGAGGAAAGGAGGAACGCGATCGAAGCTGCAACGTGAAGAGGGGTAGATGCAATAATGAGTTGCTTACATAAAGTGAGTTTCTAATACCTACCTTACGGATGCTAAGTGTCTCCACAGCCTTGCGGCTTTTGCACTAGGGTGTCACGTGGGTGCGAGGTAGTCCACTGGTCTTGGTGGAATCAGTAAGATAGTGCAACATCAGGGGCGTTAGAGTTCTAGATCAGCCTTACTCATGATAGCATTCTATCGTTTGTGATAATAAATATTGGGCCACCTTGCTTAGTATCACAGTCTCAAGGAGACCCCACTGCCAACATACATCTCTCTACTAATGACGATTAAGCGTTGATTTTAACAAGCCCATAAATAAGTCGCCCTCCGAGCTTCGTATGAGAAGGAAAAGACATGTCAGAACAACGTACGCAAGAACGACTGGTGAAGGTGCGGTGAACGATTTTCTCAATACAGCTCAGTTTCTTGTCTCTTGACTTTACATCTTTAGGAGGAAACTTGACGCAATCCCAGTGTTTCATTGATCTTACCCATGTGAGATCCTATTATCACTAAGTACGTATTGGAATTCACTCGTTGATATCTTTTAGCCAGTTTTTTTTCTTAATTTCTTTTTTTTATAAGAATGACACGTCCACCTATGTTTTTGTGTGAGATCTTCCTCCGGAAAGCTGCGGACTTGATACTACAAATTTGGTTCCGCAGTCCAGGAACTCCGCAGGCTATTGACCTCCCGTAGGTGTCATCAAGCTCTGTGAAACTCCAACGAACTATTGAATAGAGCAAGCTTGTGCCTTAGCCTTCGGAGGATCCGAAGAATTCTTAAGCGTCTTACCATGTGGCGGGTGTGGCACCTGGGGGTTTCGGGATCAAGAGCACTCGGGTAGAGGATGTGTCAAGTCAGGGGAGCACATTTCTGCAACATTCAGAACTCCGCTCCACAAGTGCTCCAATCCAACTTGAAAAGGAGAAATCCCATTCCAAAGCGCAGAAAGACTACTCTTTCTCGCTAGCATCCGAGTTCCCCTATCATAGTGCTTTCTCCACGGGGCGGAAGGTATGGAGAATCTGAGAGCAGAACTTCAAACTCACCCGATCCCCAAAGCGACTCCTGGAAGTGTCATCTTCCGTGTTCTGGCTGCCTCCGTCAGAGCCAATACGTCGCGAATCTATCGAAACCCGCAAAGTGGACACGCCCTACCTCTGCCTTTTGTCCCAAGGCACACCGCTATTTGCAGGGTGTCGGATGCTTCTTCGGATGTTACGAGCCTGAAAGCAGACCGGCTTATCTTTTTTAACTCTTACATTCATGCACGTGATGGAGATGGACTTTACATCTCAGCCATGATCGAGGGTTCCACTCCTGGAAGCTTCATGTTGTCCCGTGGAGACTGGCGAGATTCATACGCAGACTACGCCTAGCTAACCAATGAGAATTGTCATGTCCTTGATGAACACCGTTTGCTGAGAGACGAGAAACATGGTGGCTTAGGCTATACTATCGAGGGCTTGACAACCCTATTCAGCATGCTTGTGCCTTTTGGGGGATGATCAGATATCGATATCAAACCAGGAGACATTGTTCTCATCGCCCCAGCGACCGGACGAAGCGGATCTGCTGCGGTGCATCCCGCCTTAGCATTGGGTGCACAAGTTGTAGCCATTGGCCACAATTACAATATTTTGCCACAGCTTGCGACTATCAACTCACAAATCTCGACTGTCTCTATCACCGGAGACATTGCAAAGGATGCCGAAATCACACGCAATGCATCCCGCAGCTTAGCTGATGCATTTTGAGACATGTCGCCCGCCACTTCTGGGTCCTCGCTGTCTCGATGCACTCAAAAGCGGTGCTCGTGTCAATCTAGTTGGCGGTGCCCTCACTGAGGTCAACTTTAGCTATCCTGATATCATCAGCCGTGCGCTCACAGCTAGAGGGACTATAATGAGCACTGCGGAACAGACAAAACGACTCATAAAATTAGTGGAACTCAGTATTTTGCCACCCGGGGAGCGAGCTGACATGGGGCCGGTCGTAACGTTTGGCTTAGAAGCTTGGGAAGAGGCTTGGGATGCCGCAGATCAAAGAAGAGAACCCGGAGAAATGCCCCTTAATCCTCGGGCTAGATTGTCCGTGGGATGTATTGTGTGCAACGGCAAAGAGAGAGAATTTCCTCAAAGATTCCATGTTCATTGTCGGCACTTTGCGATGTGACCATTGACATCGTGTCGAATTGCGGCATTTGCCAGTATTCATGCACCACGAGAATGTACTAGAGAGAATCATTGAGCATTTTCAGGTATCTCATCCCTCACAGGAACAATGTGGCAAACTCGCCGCTTACTCAATACAGTGACCTTGAACGCCTCAGGTCAAGTCTTGATTGCGGAAATCGGGCACTTGAAATTCAGATCTCATCCGCGCCAAGTCCGCCTGCGGCCTGCGACGTCCGCGATCGCTCCGTCGCATCCCGCGGCCGTCGGCCGGGAGCAGACAAACATCCCACAGGCTAAATTAACCTTATCCCACCGGCTGCAACGGGATTCAAAAGAGAAGATCTACCGGCGCACATACGCAATTTGTTTTCCGGGAGGGACTGATCTCTTTTCATCTACTCAAAGCGCTGTTTCCTCAAGCTCAACGCAATCCCATCTCAAATCTTCCTGCCGTTCGTTCCGGCATCATGGCACAGGACAAGACGAAGGAAGTCGTGAGAGTGATCGATGCACCAATTTCCGATGTCTGGGCAGTCATTGCAGCTTTTGGTTCCGAAAAGCTCTGGTTCCCCAATGTCATCCAGTCCAGTCTCGAGGGATTTGGTATCGGGTCAATTCGCACACTGACTTTCAACAACGGTCATGTGGTCCACGAGCGATTGGAGATAGCCGATCCCGAGACACACACCATCACCTACCTGATTCTCGACGGCGTCCCAAACACGAAAAGCCCCCGTGGAACGCTGAAATTGACGACCATTAGCGATATCCAAACACGATTCAGTTGGTCGGGCGAATCTGAGTGGACGGAGCCAAGCTTTAAACCGGTTCTAGCTGGAATGTTGGACGAGATGTTCAACGGGTGCATGGATGCCATTGAGTCAATTTTCAAGTAGCTTGAAGGAAAAGTGTTCGTGGTTTATGAATTAAGTTGAAGAGTGAATATATAAACGGTTCCAGGCGATGGCGTGTTGGTGGCCGCAACTCTAGTGAATTAATACCGCACACGCTGTCCACTGTCCGCATCTTCTTTCGATGAACTTAACGATGCCCGGCGTCTGACCCGACCTCGTTGACGCCAAAATGGTTGAATGAGTGACGCACGCGTCATACCCTCTACTTATCGACAGGGTTTCAACGGCTTGTTGTTGTTGTTGAATCTGTCTAGTCTCTGCGTCCGCCCATCTTGTTGTTCTTCTTGCACGGACTTTCGTCCACAGGATCTGCGGCTGAACCCATGTTTAGCGACTTTCATGTCTCACTTGGCATTGTTTGTTACAAGAGCACCTTGCCCAACCTTCTAAGGTTTGTAGCTTCAATCGTCAAGTCTAAAACTCGATCATAGATTGCTTCCATTGAATGTAACAAAAATGTGTTCAATTTAAAACGCCATCTAGTAAATCTAGTTCGTACCTTGTTCACTCTCGATTATCTTCTTGAGGCTCTCATATGCGTTTTCCAACAAGTTCATTTCACCAGGGCTGTTCTGGGTATAGCGAGCGTTGTACTTCATGATGCTCTTCGTCTTCAGGTAGGTCGCAATATCGAGGGGGATCGGGCTGCCAACAACGTTCCAGGCAATAGACTCAGTGCAAGGAGGGGTGGTGAGAGAGCCTGTGTATCTTTGGTACGTGTTAGATCAATCTTCGGAAAGGCTTCTACGGATCGATAAAATGGACATACTGGTAGATGGTGTTCTTTGCGATATGCTCAGCCAGACTGGTGAAGTCCAGAGGTCCAGTTTCAGCGTGTGATCCGAACTCGGTGACCTTGTCAACGTTCTTGAAGACGGCGGCCAAAAGAGGGTCGGAAGTCTCAGCAACCTCAATCGGGAAGCCAACGACAGCGAGAGAGGAGCCTAGATAATGATTAGCCATGTCATACAGGGTTACAAAGAATCAGTGTTAGCAAGGACATACCATTTCCAATTTCAGCCTCCCAAACAAAATGAACTTCGAGGGGGAAGTGCTCGCCGTTGATACGATGCTCACTAGGGGTGTGGAAGTGGAATTGACGCAGGCTGTAGGTCTTGCCGCCATTCTTCATGGTACCGTTTGCGCGAACCTCTAGGAATCCGGAGAGATTCTCGAGTTCGCCACCCTCGGGATGCTGGTCGGGGCTGAAAGTGATGGTCGAGCCCTGAATCTGCTTGGTGTTTGACTCTTGAACATTGATGGGAGACTGGCTTCTACCAAGAGCACAAGCAGAGTTGTTGGAGCTGATGGAGTGCCAATTCAGGGGGCCATTCAGGCCATCGAATCCAAAAGTACCATCAGCCCTTTTGAAAAGCTGATCCTTCTTAAAAAGGCTGGTTCCATGGTGGCAGAAGGCGGCGACCGCGGGAATGAGGGAGAGGATAGTAGCTGACTTCATTGTGAGAACAAAGATTGTATAGGACAAGCGATCGTAGAGTAGGATAAAAGAGTGACTGGTTCTCGGTGAAGTGAGATGTGAGTAACTCTATGAAACATCAGATTAGGCAGTGGCAGATCTAAAGGTAAATATACACCAGCACTGCAGAGTGGTAGTTAATCGTAAGGAGCGGGAAGCTATGACAACGAGATGCGATATTAATTTCATGGAGCCATGATAGCACCAACCTGCGTAGAAAGCAACGTCTTGGCAGGTTTACCTGGTCAAGACGCAAGAATCCCAAGCCCCTTTGATGGACTGGCAGGCTTTTGCCAGCTATCTGCTCGGAGTATGGAAGGGGCGGTCCTCTTTGCGACCACGTGCTTGGCAATGATCAATCGCGGACGGGACCAGGGGGAATACTGGCAGGGATAAGAGTCAGGACATGGGAAACACATCACGAGAACGGAAGGGGGGCCTCTCCACGTTCAGATGAAGTCGGGTCCAAGAGAAGCATAGTAGCAAACGCTGCCAGAAAGACACCTGGAAAAGGACGCCGAAAGATTGCCCGGAACAGGTTGTCATCAAAAAAGTCAAATTGGCGAGCGCTTGGCGATAGGCGTTGCAATACCAGTGGAGATCACACCACGTTATCCCGCGTGAACACCACATCCCGCGATATTGAGCAGATATGTAAGTCTTGGCCAAGTGGTAGATGGTGAATCTTGGCCAAGCAAATGAGGGATGAGAGGGCCCTCCAAGACTCCAACCCAACAATGCAAGAGACTCAGCTTCAGTGCAGACAGAATGTCGAGGGAGCCATTCGGCGCCGACGCAGGTCCGTGAGCGGCTGACTCGCCCTGCTGGTGGCCACATCTTCATTAACCTCTGTCATCCGTGTTCAAGAATAGCCGCCGCTCACTGGGATAGGCTCATGCAATTGTTCCTGAGTGATGAAATCATCCGAACTCGCTAGAGCGGACTTGCGAACACCGCACATGGCATCGAAGGAGCAGGGCGGAAAAAGATGGGACAGGATCCAGACGTGAAGAGCACGAGCAGCTGCCAGCCCGTGACAGTGGTGGCGTTGTCAGTTAGGACCGATGGTGATGCGACAACGCTGACGCCAAGCACTGGGGACAGGGCTCCGGAGGTTCCAGAGCGCGCGCCTTACTCGGTACGGCAAATGTAGAGAGGCCCATCGTGAGGTGAGGTGAGGGCTAAGCGGTCGGCGTAGACGCAGGTAAACTGAGCTCTGCGTGGTTGATGCTGGTCAAGATAAAGTTTAGGGCCCAGAGGAACTATGCGCCTGGGTCATTGTGGCTTCGCTGATTGGAGCCTACGCCGCCCAAGATGAGTCTGCAGGTCGGTCTATGGCGAGCCAAGAGCCTCCAAGACTGAAGCGGGAGGGGTTTGCTCGTGGACGTGCCCTGGATGCATTTTTGGCACACAGCCACGTTGCATTACTTTACTCTTTACTGCTCACGTACGGAACAGTGTGTATGAATACTCGTACCATGCCCGAGACCACCTATAGCTTTCTAGGCTTTCGCATACCGGTACCTTAGTCCGGCAAGTGTAGGCGAGGACTGAAACTAGCTTAACCCGTCATGTGTACGTAACCTGCCGAGTGCTATTGAGCTCGGAGTGCAAGAGCTTCTTCATGTTGACTGTTGCCAAGACTTTGGGAACCCATCTTGGTCCATCTTAACAGCCACGAATGGTCTGTCTTGGCAAATATCTAGCTGCGGCGTTTCCTCGATGGCCCAGGAAAAGTCCAAGACTTTCCCAAGACTTTCTCAAGACTTGTCCAAGACTTTTCCAAGACCTCCTCCCAAAGGCCAAGACCTGGGGACACGACCGACATTCTTTATCGGGCATGGCGGCGCCGTTTCTCCGTGGGTTCGAGCGGGCGTACCGACGCCTTGGAACAGGAACCGGGCGGCGCATCTGAGCACTGACATGCGCCAGCGGCTGATGTCTCACTCTCGGGTACCGCCTGGGCGCCGCCTGGGATTCTCGTATCCGCTCATTGGCTCTTTGTCGACTCGTCGCCTTCCCCTGATTCTTGCGGATACCTTCACAGGAGACGAAACTCACTGCTTGCGGCGCAGCGGCTGTGTGTTCGTCTGGTATCTGCACATCTGTATGAATGGACATCCAATAAGTAGTGAAAAGCAGTACTTGCTGGCTTCTGACAGCTATGGCTCATCTTTAGATCGGAATGGAAACAGCAAGCGATCCTTGGGATGGGAGGAAACTTTGAGCTATTCCGTCATCAGCCAAGATTTGCGCATAACAATCTGCGAGCACTTTAATTACTAGGTAAGGCAGGTCCTCTTGAGCGAAAGGTCTAGGAACACTTGACAATGGCTTCATAGAAAATAACGTGCACTTATTACAACACTCGCTAGGTCTCATACTCGTTCATCCCATCCTTCAGGCTTCTCTTCAGCAGCTCTCCCACCATCCCACGACTTGCGTCCACTGCGCCAGGCGGGCGGTGGTCGTCCCTCCAAAGTCCAGAGTCCAGAAGGATGCCCATGCCCTGCCCAGTGCAGCTTGCCGAGATCCCTAGCGTGCAATAACGTTTTATCTTGGCACACTAAATTCAGGACTGCGGCACTGCGACAGATGAGGGCCGCCGCGTAATTGGCTGCATTGATCGGCCTTGACTTCAAGGTTTCCGTGCAGGACTCCAGGCCTCTCCGACAGCAGCAGATTATTTTCGGTGGAGGTGGGGGCGGGACACTGGGTGGACCTGTTGAAATCTAGAATCCTGGAGAGGAAAATATTATTCCAATTTTCAGTCTCCTCCCACATCTTGGCTTGGCGCAGCGGGTTTCTTCCATTTTCAGAAAGGTCAAGAAGGAAATCATATTCCAGAAACACCTCAGGGCTTATCACCAGTCATTCAAGTTGCTCAAAGGAAAGAACAGAAAGAACAGCCAAGAGGGTCGCAACCTTGGACCAACCCAGTCGGCCAAGCCTCAATTCTCCCTCAACCACTTCAACATCAACGACACAACACATCAAACCAATCCTTGGCAAACTCTCACTCTCATACATACGGATATACATACACATACGGATACACACACATCTCCGCTTTCGTTATCCATGTCGCTCTCCCTATCTCCTCTACTAGACGCGCTACCGACGGACTTTGGTTCCGAGTCAAGCGGACTTAACTGCCCCCGCCCGACTGTCACTGCCTCGCCAGCATCGTCCATCTGGAGAGATCTCCCCGAAGCTGTCTTTCGCCGACATGTGGTATCGTTGGAAAAGCTGACCAATGCTGTCCCTGTCGACGCTGAATCGTTCCCGCTGCCATCCTATGCAACAGCATCTTCAGATGGCAATGCGGAAGCACGTGTTCAAGTGCTTGCAGATGTGTCCCCCGTGGCGATCGTAACGGATGTCTCGCACAGAGAGGGCGCCGACCAAGTCCAGCATTCCCGTTATCGCCTGCTGACAATTGCCACGGAGCAACGTCTGGCAGACGATATTGCCTACCTGGTTGCTGTTGGCGAGGGAGCACAGTCCGTTGCTGCCGCCACTGTCCAAGAAAGTCGGATACAACTCGACGCTACGGATACAACTATAGGTCCCGATGGAGGCCCTAGTCAAGATCAACAAACACTCCCAGCAAGTCTCAAGGTCACCATAGCCTCTGCAGACGCGATCGAGCCCGAATCCCAGGCTTTCCTACGCTCTGTTTTCCAAATCCTCTCTACCCCGCTGCCTGCCAAGCCCTTACATAGCCTCTTGGACTTGGTCATCCGGCATCACCAAACGCGCCTTCTCAACCGGCTTCGATCCGCAAAATGGAAGAAGCCAACCTATCTCTCCCGCACTCACAAAAAACCCCTGTATGCCGACTTCGCCAACCTCATACACCGTGCACAATTTCTCTACTCCAAGAAAGAATCAGCCACGCGGGTAGCGCTAGAGTGCAAACTCTCGGAGATGGCCGCCTTGCTAGAAGCCTTTGAGACAGACCCAGACGACCACGGAAAGCTGGTCGAGATCGCGCAGTCTAGTTACCGACTTTGCGCGTCCACCCTGGTTGCTAACTATCTAGAACGCTTACAAGCTATCAGGGCAACAGCTCAAATTCAGGCTTGTCTCAAAACCCTGCGTCAGCTAGAAAAGATCGCAGCTTACTATCGCATCTGTCAAACTTTGACTAGTCTGTCCCACTCACACCCCATGATTTTCAACAGCGCTGAACTCGTTTTCTTACCTCCCTACGAGGCAGTGCCGCTTGCTCTCGCCTACCAGCCGTGGGCAAAATCTACCCACGTGCACGCAGAAGTCATTCTGTCCGTACATCACGACTTGGAAAAGCCTGAAAGTTCTTGGCACAAGCCAAGATGTCTCGGCGCCTCCAAGTACTTTTGCTACCTCTGCTTCTTGTTCATCCGACATCATGGGACCTATTTCGCGGCCAATACGCACGGGGCCTGCTACGACCAATGGACTATCCCAGATCTTGCGGACTATCCTGAGTCCCTCGTAGACCACTACAGGAAAGTTGTGCGAGCAATGGACGAGGAAGTACAACATCAAACGCATGGCGCGACGTGGAGGCCGGAGCCGATGACGAGCCGAGAGAACTTGATAGGACTAATAGATGGATTGATTTGATAACGTGAGTTCTGCCCAAGCCTAATCTGATCCAAAGTGTTCCAGGTTAGACATTTGCCCGGACTTGGCCCACTATGTCTGTTTGTAAGTCATGACTCTACCATTTACATCGATTGTTTCGATGGCAAAGCGCCCGCTAGAGACGGCCACGATTCAGGCACGGCCAAGCCCTGTCCACTCGACGGTCCTTCTGCCAGCCGATCTTTGCAAAGCAGGCAAAGCCCCTTGAGCCCGAATTGAGCGTGTGTAATTGCACACTTACACCCGTGATTTTTCACACGTTGTGGGAAAGCCAAGCTCGCCAAAGGCATTGACGAATTGCTCGATGTCCATCATTCGCCCACCGCCCCCTGAGTCCCTTGTTAATATCCAAAGGTCAAAACCATGCCGCCCCACTCTCTCGCTAGCACACCCATTAGTACTGATAAGAAAGTCCTGTGCGATTCAGTTTTCGTTTGTTGAGAATATAGTACTGGACATTGGCCCAAATACCACAAGCTGCGGCGGCAGTAGTGAGGCCTGTTATAACGGTCCACCCATTACGATACTTCGGTGCATCTTCTTCTCTGAAAAGCTGCTTGCCAACAATGCCTGAACAGTTGGCAGCCATGATGAGGATAGCCATGGTGATAGAACGCTCACCGGCGGACTTGGCATTGGCAGAGACCCAAGCGCCGTTGACAGGGTCTGTAATGCGCGTCAGTTACATGAAGACGCCGTGTATTCGGAAGGGTTAGAACCTACGCCAAGGAAACGAGAACGCTGTTGATAGGGTCAACATGGCAAATCTCGAATTGCGGCCGGCATCAATGAGCAGGAAGTTGCCAAGCTGTGTATAATTAGCTGGGGAGCTCGCCAAGATGAGGCACTTCACAAAATGTCAACTAACATTGAAGCCCCAGAATATCAACAGGCCTAGGAAAACCCATGGACCACGAACTCCCGTTTTATCACTGCGAACATCAGTCAACTCTGTTTTGTTTTGATGGTGACTATCTTGGCAGAAGAATGACTTACGCAAGAAATCCCCATAAGAGGTTAATTGGTTGTTGTTGTTGTTGTTGTTGTTGTTGTATTTAACGCCGTGGCGGCCGGGCTAGAGCCCTTACCGCAGACCTCCCGAAGGGTATATGGCGTGGAGGGCCGTGAGCCAAGGCTACCTACTCTACAGTACGTCGTCTCTTTACATCGTCCTCCAAATCATGCCTTGTGGCCACTACGCGTTCTGTCTGTCCCCGGTTCCCGCTGGTGCCCCAGTTTCATTCTTTCCCAAATCGTCCCTTGGAATCGGGAGGTTCTTTGTAGTCCGCACTCACATCTACGTAGGTGTGGATGCTGCTACCGCAGACAGATCTTCTGGAAGAAGTCCGTCACGCGGAGAAAGGCCTCGAAGCCTCGTGGGTCGGTGATTAATCTCTTGAAGTAGGCCTCGAGAGATCCCATAGGGCCTATGGGCTCGGGCATACTGCGAGAGTGGAGGGTCGGCCACCGTTGCCTCCTCGCCAGCGTTAGTCGACAGTAGACCAGGTGGTCCACGTCTTTCGCCTCTCCACAAGAGCACATCATTAGAGCGTCGTCGTGGTTGAAACGTCGGTGATATTGCTCGAAGTCCCCGTGACCCGATCGTGCCGCCAGCAGGTGATGTAACGTAGCCCGCGGCAAGGCCAGTTCAGGAGGGCTGGACAGAGCTGCCTCAAGCCCCAAGTCCGCGTACCGCGGCCTTCGCTCTTTATACCACCATCTCCTGTGCTGGCTTTGTAATTTTTCCCTTGCAAGCCGCTTGATGCCCGCTAGTGTTGCCATTTGACCCATCCGCGCCGGCAGTGTCGTTCCTTCTTTGGCCAGCCGGTCCGCGGCCTCGTTTCCTTCGATGCCCTGGTGTCCCGGGGACCAGTGCGTCCGTATATCAAATATCCTGGCCGCTTCTTGGATTTCGAGGAACGCGTCTTGTGACGAGTCCGGCGCCTTGCCGCGGATGCCTTGTATAACGCTGGTGTTGTCGATACATATGTGGATTGGATGACCGCGATTGGTGAGCAGAGCCCTTCTGAGGCCGGTTCGCGCCCCTTCGACCTCGGCGTCGAACACTTCTGCTAGTCCGAGTCGGCCGCACCCTTGTGCTATGCGTTTGGAGTCTCGGTAGATGACGAAGCCGTACCCCACGGCTCCGTTCGTCGCCCTGGAGCCGTCCGAGAAGACGATCATATGGCTTTCCGGTACTGTCTTTAGCCAGCGCTCGAAAGCTTTCGCAGCCTCTTCTTTGCATTGAACTACTATCTGATCCTGTGAGCTTGGCAGGTACTGTGATTGAAGGAACGCTGGTCTTCCGCATCTTGGCAGAAGTTCAGCCGTCCGTTGTAGTCTCGTCTGTTGCTGTCCCTGCTGGGAGAGCCGCGCGACTAGCGGGTGTCGGCGATCAATCCTCTGTAGTCGGACTGCGGCCCGTAAGCGGACGCCCTCTAAGGCGACTTTGGCTGACGGTAAGCCGGCGTCTCGGAGGAGGCTACTGGTTGGCGTTGTCCTCCAGACAGGCAGAACGGCCCTTGCTGCCGCTGTAATGACGCTGTCGATCTTCTGCACGAGCCCCTTTTGGCCTGTGTTGACGGGTCTTCCTTGGAGAGGCGGATTCGTGTCTGTCTCCGCTTGGCGTCTCGAAGCCGGCTTCGTGATACCTGCGTACCATGTTTCGGCGCCGAAGAGCGCGATCGGCAGTACGCAGGAGACGACGGCTTTTCGCACGGCGGCCGCTGGGAGTCCCCTCTTTGTGTTCGTAAGCTGTCTCAGATGTTGAGCTGCCCTCTTTGCTGCAGCTACTTTTGCGTCGACATGGTGCCGGAAGGACAGTCTCTTGTCGAACCAGACACCCAGCCAGCGTACAGGTTTCGTCGAGGCCTTGACCACCAAATCCCCCGCCCGGACCTCTGGCAGCTCCGCTGGCTGGCCGTGCTTCCTAGTAAAGTGGATGACCTCGCACTTGCTCGGGTCAAAGGAGACCTTGTTCTCCAAGCCCCATCTGAGAATGCCGGCTGCGCTTCGGTTGAGTATTGCGACGTTGCTCTCCAGGGAGGGGCTGATGGCCAGAGTGGCGATGTCGTCCGCGTACCCGAATCGCGCGTTCGGGTCGTCTTCAAGTATCTCTGCGATGTAGAGCAGAAAGGCAATGGGAGATAGTGGTGACCCCTGAGGCAGCCCGCATGACAGCGGGAAGTACTCCGTTGTGCTTTCTTCCAGTCGGACTCTAGCGGTGCGGTTGCAGCAGAAGCTAAAGATCAGTCTGGTCAGGCCATGTGGCCATCCCTGCTGACGCAGTCTAATGACGAGCCGGTTCCGAAGGACGGAGTCGAACGCCCCTTTTACGTCCATAGTCAGAAGTGTCGCCGTGAGTCCTTTTAGGAGGGCCATCTCGATGTCGTGGGTGAGGCAGGTCGTCAGATCGACGGCTGACCTGCCTTGTAGAGCCCCGATCTGTTGCGGACTGATGATGCGCTCGACAATCGCCAGGGACGCCATCCTTCTGGCTATCAGTCGCTCTAGTCCCTTGCCCAGGCACGAGAGGAGCGCGATCGGCCGCCAGGACCCGGGCTTGGAGGCATCCCTGCCGGCCTTCTGGATCATGACCACCTCAGCTCTGCGGAAGGGCAGAGGAAAGTGGCCGGCCCGCATACAGGACTGGAATAGCTGCCTGACCGGTTCCGAGATGACATCCCAGCATGCCTGGAGGAGGCGTGTTGTGATGCCGTCCACACCAGGGGTCGTTGTCTTTGTTAAGGTGGCCGTCTTCACTTCTTCTCCGCTAACATTGTCCTGCCAAGTAATCGCTCGCCTCGGGACGACGGGTACGTCAAACGGGTCACCCGGTGCGTCATCTTCCGCACTAAACCTGTCGAGAAGGGCTCCCCGAAGCGCTTGAGCCTTTTCGTTAGTATCCTCGATCGTCTGGTTGTCCACAACCAATGGGGGTGCTCTGGTCAGTAGGCTCGCCTTCCGCCAACCCATGATCTGGTACAGGTCCCGGTCTGAAGCGACTCCATCGATCTTTCCGGCCCAGTATGCTCGCTTAGCCTTCCTCACCGTGCTCAGGAACGCCTTTCGTTTCTCCATTAGATAAAGGTGCGCATCTTGCTCCGTCTCCCAGGCTTGTTGGTTGCGGGCAGCACGGTATGCTCTGTGGGCCTCTGCGCATTCCTCCGTCCACCAAGCCGCGCCTTTACCATGTTTTCCTCTCTTCTTGCCGACCGCCTCAATGGCTCGGGAGAAGAGCTCGACGATGTGACTTGCCTGCCCGTCCAGGTCTTCCGGAGTAGGTTGATCCCCCAGATTGGGCATCGCAGCTAGCCCCCCTTCGATCAGGTCTCTCAGCCGAGGCAGCGCCGAGTCGGGCACTGACAGTGGCCGTGGCTGCGGGTGGCCCTCTCCCTGTGACACTGGGCGTTTGAGTAGTGGTATGACGGCCACGATGGCCTCGTGGTCAGCTCCCGGGTGTAGCTGTGGGCTGACCTGCGCGTGCGCAAAAGGGATATTAGAGAAAGCCAGGTCCAGGACATGTCCGCAATCCTGGGTTGCCACCCCAACTTCGCTGATAAGAGAGAGATTGTGGCCGTCTGCCCAGCCTGCGATGTCATCTCCCCGGTTCCCGTTCCTCGTCCCGGGCTCCCAAGAGTAGTGATGCGCGTTGAAGTCACCCGCGATCAAAGCTCGCTCCGGGGGTTTGAGTTCTAGCAGTATCCCTGTTGTGCGGCTGTGGGGGTCGCGGGGTTGTCTGTACACGTTGACGATAGTCGTCGTTTTGTCGACCACCAGCCACAGTACGTCTCTCGTGTGGACAGGCCTCTGCTGCTCCACCGTCATCCCTATCCCTTTGCGTGTGTAGGTCAATACTCTTGGTCTGGTTCCTTCGCTGTCCCAGAAGTCGACCGGGACGAAAGAGTCGAAACCCGGGTGCGTGTTCAGTTGCACGTTTCCGTCCTTCCAGCCCGTCCAGGGTTCCTGGACGAGGACCACATCTATCTGAGCCTCCCAGCAGAGCTGCAGGAAAGCCGTGTGCGCCGGGGAGATCTTTCCGACGTTGCCCTGCGCAACGCGTAGCATCCGTGGGGTCGCCGCTCTCGGCTTACGTCTCCGAGTCGAGTTCGAGGTGGGTGTAGGCATTCGCGACGTTGTAGTTTGGCTTCTGTGCTGCCCGTTGGCTCCTGCTTGGCATGGGTAGCACGGGACGGTCGATGGAGGTGTTGTCGGGGGAGTCTTCGCCTTCGCCTTCGTCCGCCTCGTCTTCATCCATGCTGCTGCTGTCAGTGCTTCCGTCACCGAGGCAAACGATCGAGCTTGCGGAGGGCGTTCTCGTGCGCGCGCGCTTGGCGCCGGGTTGCTGGTTCTGGCTGGTGGAGGTAGGGACGCCTGCCGCCTCCTGGCTACTGTCGGATCGAGTAGCCTTGTACAGAGTGTCCGATGCTTTCTGGCCGGCCTTCCGGATCCGAGCCCGCTCCTTTCGACCGGGAAGGGAGACGACGCCGTTTACGGCCGAGGGCCTCGCTGGGCAGTCTGTGTGGCTGGCTTGGAAGGGGCCGCAGCAGTTGGCACATTGGGGCCTGGCCATGCAGGGTCCCGTTTCGTGTGAATCGGAAGGTCTTCCGCAGTTGCTGCAGATCGGTCGTCGTCCGCAGAACCGGTTGGAGTGGTAGCCCTGGCAGCCGGGGTCGTGTCGGATGAGCGTCCTTCGTTTCTTGACGGGCAGAGATCTGCCGCTTTGGTTGAAGAGCCTGAAGGGCGTGACCTCTGATGTGAATGATATGAGCCAAGATATTTCGTTCGTGACTGGGTTGGGCCCAAGGCGGGACGGTCGAGCAAGGACAGGCTTCTGTCCTGTCTGTGCGAAGACCTCATCTTCAACGAGTGTGGCTGGGTCCAGGACGTCCCCGCCAATGCTGTGTAGTTTTGTTGGGCATCGCGGCACAACGTAAGTGTACCACTTGATAGGCGTCTCGACCTGGTGGGCGCCGAGGCATTCCGCCAGCTTTGCCTTACTTGCAAGTAGTCTTTCCTGTATTTGCTTGTTTCGCGGCTTCAGAGAGTAACCTGTGCTGATATGGTAGACGTGGGGAAGGTCCGCTAGCCCCAGGCCAACGGCCTTACAGACGATCTGTCGTACGGCGAACGGTGCGATCTTCCGAGCGGCCGCTAAGCTTTCTTCCGGGACGCGGGCAAAGATGCGGAGGTCCTCCTTCGGCTGCGCCTGCGGCTGATCCTCGGCGGGGAGTGTGGCCTTCGGGCGGGCAGAGCTCTGGCAGCTCTGGCCGCTCCGGGTCGCCGCAGTGGTGTTGCCCGCCATCGGTGCGACGACAGCCGCCCAACTCCGGGCCGCTATTGGGCTTGTCTCGTGATTGATCAGTCTCTTGAGGGTTTGAATGACATAGGCAGTGGCTTCTTTCGCGATCTGCTTTCTAGAACCGTCAAAGCTGGCGACAACGCTGTCGACGGACCGTGCAATGGTCAGAAAGACGTCTTTCCGTGCCTCGTACTGTCTAGCTTCTTCTGCAAGGGCTGTCAAGACGGACCCTGTGGCAGATCCGCTCGGAGCAGATGCGGTAGAGGCTGCGGGCCCCTCGGCCGAGGTAGGGGCGTCGGTGGTGGCATCAAGCTGGCTTCCCGTTAGGCTGGGCCGGGTCGGCTGTGCCTCGGCGTCGCGGCGTCGCTTAGCTCTTGAGGTGGGGTTCGGCTCCGGAGGTGTCCCGGAGCCTGGTTCGGGGTCGGCTTGGTCGGCCGACATCAGTCCGGTGCCCGACGGCGGCTGTGAGGCCATCGCGGATGCGGGCTCCGGCAAGGGGAGGTGAAGAGTTTTCGGCTGTTAGTAATTTGGTGGTAGGCTCACTCATTCACTAACAGCAGATGCCAAGAAAAATTAGGCGAGAGGGAAGTTGGAGGTTAATTGGTATCAAGAGCCAAGCGCCAACTGAAACCATGGCATTGGATTCCAACCTTTCAAATCCCATAGAGTTCACAAGAGACGGCGCATAAGACGACAGAGTCGAAGATGGCGCCAGAGCAGCGATGGTGAAAACAACGTGCGGAACAAGTCTCCAATTCGTCAACTGATTTGACGTCAGCTTACGCTTGGTTTACTCCGACCTAAGAAGTCAAACACGTACCGCGGATTTCAGCTCTGGCCAGCTGACTGAGCGTTTCGAGTGAGCCTTGGAAGGGTCATCGATCATGACTCTCCTGTGTAAGATTTCGGCTTCTCGATCGGAGAAATAGCGAAAGCCAAGCATCGAAACTGGGTTGTTGACTTGGTTGGGAAAGCAAGCGAAAAAGGCGATTCCGACTAAAATTGTGAAAATTCCCTCAAGCTGGTGCTGTTAGCGATGACTTTGTCTTTTCTCGTTTGCCAATCTTTCCTCCTAGACCAAAGCTGACCTACAATGAAAAGCCATTGCCACCCCGCAAGTCCCGCGATACCTCTCATGTGCAGACTAAAGGCGTACACTCTGTCAGCTCTTGCTCGACATTCAAGACAAGTTATCACTTATGATTTACTTACATCCCGTACGCTATGAGGCCTGAACAGGCGGCAGCTAGCATGTTGCCAATGAAGAACCACGAGAACCTCTTGCTCGTTTCGTCCCTCTTGTACCATCTCGTCATAGTGAAGAGAGCTGCAGGAATGAAACCTGCCTCGCAAAGGCTACGCGTATGAACTGTTAGTTCCCTTCGCATGGTGTTGTTTCTCAATGGAAGATGTTCGTGCTTACCCAAGGAGAATGCGAGTTGCCATGTATGCTCCTAGCCCTTTTTGAAATGCTTGAAAAGTCGCAACCAATCCCCTGTCCACTTGTCAGTACTATTGAGCTATCACGGTCTTACTAGACAGGTTTGAGAAGAATTCTTACCAGGCCACGATCTGACCTCCAATCCAGAGCGTCGGTCCAATGCGGTACAGAACTAGATTACTAGGTATCTACAACTCATGTCAGCTGGGTGCTCTGGGTAAGGTAGGTGATTGCTGTTCCCTGAACTAACTTCCAGAATGACGATCCCTGCAGATAACAACTGCTGGCCAACATTGAACTGGTTCTGAGTAATTCCAATATCTTTAAGAAAGTAATCCGTCAAGGCGTTGCCACTGTTGCTAATCAGATATTGTTTCCATACAGATCAACGATGTGTAGATAGGTAGAGTTCGTACATGTTGCCACGGTCGAGCTGCAGGGCAAAAAAAGCGAGGATCAACAACGGCATGATAATGAAATCGATTCTGTATGACCATCAATCAGCTTGAGTTATATAAACCCCGAGAGCGGCCATGCAACTTACTTTCGCACCAGCCGACGCTCTTCCTCCGGCGTCCAGTCTATATCTGGATTTTCGCCATCACTCTGGCTTTCTGGGCTCTTGGCCACCGCGTTGACGTTCTTCTCGTCCATCGTTGCAAATTCTCAAGGCCAGAGCGGTTCGACTTGATCTCCCTGACATCGATTCGGGAGCAGTACGTCGAACGGCAAGGTGAACATGGCAACAGGAACCTTTTTCACATTCTCAAGCAACAGCTACGGCTGTACGGCAAACAAGACAAGAGCCATTCTGGAAGAAAAATTACATATCGCCCCTCATTGATCCCGGCTTACCTATCCAGGTCTCGCCTTACTGTTCCGCGTCCCACTTCTGATGCAGCTGTCAATCTCGGCCCTCTTGCTTCGACGGAACGGAATGTTGCCGTGGTCACAGCATTTCTGTAGAGAAATGAACAGATACCACGCGTCGCAGAGCCAACTTGTTGGGTTGTGCTAAAGCTGTTGCATGTCATTTGGGCCGACACTCGGCTGTCTGCCGTGTCGACGTATTGTAAGATGACCCACTCTCATGTTGATGCCATCGTCTGGATCGCTCACGCCATCGACGGCGACCCCTCAGAGTGCTCGAAACTCACCTTCACGCATCCACTCTCTATTCAGCTAGGCTTAGGTAAGATACTGATGCAATCGGCTTTCAGAATTACGAATATCTTTGGCGCCAATTGACAGGCCCAATTTATCGGGAGCGACCGACTTTCCCATTGTTGGAGTATTTGCATTGCCACTCTTCACCAGATCGTCGGCCGTGTTCCGACAAACAAAATCGCCGATGCAAATTAAGTGGCCTTCTGAAATGGCAATGTTGATTCTCTGCAATGCCGGTTTCTGGATCAAAAGTCAAACACGAGAAAGTAACCTGTAGTTGATGTTGGTGGCCCTCTTTTGGCGCCTGGGGAGACGCGTTGTCTAGTTCTGGTAACACTGAACGCTTTTCTCAGAGCTCTTCCCGATTGAAGCAACTTGAAGTCGACGAAAATTCTGACCAGCATCTCAAAAAGTGCGGGAAAAGCTTATCTTAACTAAGTCTGATTTGAACGTGTAAACGCCGACGTCATCGCCGACAAATCAGGAGGAAGCCTCAATAGCGGTCTTCTAAGGTCAGATCGCGCAATATTCAGACGTTGACGTGCTTGATTTCATAATTCGAGGGGAAATGAGAAAGGTGTCATCATGTTCTCATGGCAAAAGTAATATGAGTTCTTGTGCTGCTTGAGGTAGACCTTTGAGACACAAAATCATCTTTTCTAGGATTCGCCCTCCATACTGTTGTCAAGGCTATTCAATATGTCGAGTTTGGAGTCTAGAAAGCATGTTTCCCCGGACTCGGGCTTCCCAATTTCCTTACATCCCCACTTCCATCCGAAGATCAAAGATCACGTACCACCAGAGCCTGTTCGTGAGGAGAGATTCCCAGACAAGGATAGAGCCTCCTTCGCCGATCCCAAAAAGACGGCCCTCCTTTCAGGCGCGAAAACATTTGAGTTGACAGAATCAATCGGCACAGTGCTGGAAGGTGTGCAGTTGTCGCAACTTTCGGCACAGCAGCTAGATGAACTAGCACTTCTCGTTACAGAGCGCGGGGTCGTCTTCTTCCGGAACCAGGACCTGACAACTGAGGGCCAAGTGAAGCTGTTCGAGCATTACGGCACTCTCGATCGTCATCCTGCGCAAAAGGATGTGAAGTACGTTATCATCAAGGGCAGCCGCGAGGATCACCGTGAAATACTCAAGTACACTCCTTGGCCCTCTGGAGACTTTCACGCCGACACGTCTTTCGAGATCAACCCGCCGTCCTACTCCTTGTTGCGCATGGAGGAACACCCTGAGGTCGGCGGTGATACGGCTTGGGTGTCCCAATATGGACTTTATGATGCTCTCAGCGAGGCCATGAAGAAATTCGTTGACGGCCTTCACGCAGTACACACCTCACGATTGCAATATGATACAATTTTAGACCTCTGGGGCACTGGCCCGAACCGACCTCCCATTGATTCACATCATCCAGCTGTCAGAACACATCCCGTCTCCGGACTCAAGGCGCTTAACGTCAATCCAGGCTTTGTAACCGGCTTTGCCGAATTGAAAAAATACGAGGCGGACAAATTGTTGGACTTCTTCGCATTCCACATCCACTCTGCTGACGATCATGCCGTTCGCTGGAAGTGGGAAGTGGGTAGCGTGGCTATGTGGGATAATAGGTCAGTTGGATACTGACATAACCATGTCCAGTTCTTCATCACCGCATTTGAGTATCCAGAACTGACTCTTCCTAGATGTACAATTCACCGCGTCATTCCCGGAACGTACGATGCACCACGCAAGGGTATCAGAACAACCGTATTTGGTGAGAAGCGTAAGTGTTGTGACTGCACTCTCAGTTTGACATAACTTTGCTCGTCTAACGACATACTTAGCCTACTTCGATGCAAATAGCGAAAGCAGAGCCGAGCGGGTGGCAAGATTGAAAGAAAACAGCCAACAAAACTAAGACCTTGCACCGAAGTATATGCGAGAAAGGGCCCGCAAGAGAAGACAGGCGTACGCGGTTTCAGTTACTAGAATCCCGAAAGCAAGGTGTCGTTCCGATTCTTCGCTCTCGACTGTTATCTGGCAATTCCTTCGCCAAACCAAAGCTTCTTTACACCCTTATGTGTCTATAAGCTAAGAAAAATACTGCTCTTCCTTCCCAAGTTGAAAGCCCAAGAACTTAGTTAAATTGAACACTTGCTAGTTTCTGCGGTTTTTCCAATGCTGCTGCGAGGCAGGAAGTTTGACAGTCATTTGGATCCTCAAGTAAAGCAGTGTAACGGCCAACTGGCTTTCTCCAGCCCTCCTCTCGTCATTTCTTCATTCCCGGGTCACTTTCCAATTTGTGTGTACGTGTATTGCGGCATTGGTATGTTCTCTCGTCAATTTTCGTTCGGAACCGCAATCGTCATTGCTGCCAGTCTCGTGGTCCTTGTCATTCTTGAGAAGTCAGTAATTCTCTTACAGTACCTGAGAAACGGGGCAGATGCCATTGGAAGGATCGACGACTGACTAGTTCTATCCATGCCGTATACTGGCCAGGTTTGGGTTGTACTTTGATATGCTCACTGCGCGACCCCTTGTTTAACGCGCTCTGGCTATTCCAATTTTCTAGCGAGGAGGACTTGTACTTAGCTCTCCATCTGAGGTAGAAGGGTCGAAGCATGGGGATATTGATGCAAAGACCTGCAAGCATAAGTTCAACTGTACAGAGCATGAATGTCGTTAAGGAAGTGCCAGTCAAATTGCCGATGAGATCGATAACGTAGATCTGCCAGAAGCGAACAATGCCAATCACGCAGCATCTTCGCGCAATCAGTTCACCGAGCCATGGAGAGTAGTGACGGAAAGTAGAGGGTGTGACTCACGCTAAACCAAGGGCGAAGCAGGCAATGACAGCAAACTTTTCTGTTTTCCGCATTTGCAATTTCCAGACGGTCCAGATGGGCAGAATGACAATGAATAAGTCAGTGACAACGTTTGTCATGATGATGCACTTGAGCACTAGAATTTGGTCCATGCAGTGGCCGATTCGTTGCACTGTCCATTGTTGGGAGATCGGATCACAGAGAAAGATGAAGACAAAAGTGAATACCAAAGCCCATGCAATGACAACACCGCCAATGACGAAGATCCACCACTTGAGTTGGACAGAAAAGGCTCTATAATAGAACCATAACTGACTGAGCTTCAAGGATGCCAGTGCCCAGAGGTAGATGAGAGTAAAGGCAAATGTCGTCTAATACGCTGATTAAGCATTGCTCGTAAAGTACAGTAGGGCGTTCGAAGTGACGGTCCGTAGTCGGCAGCCTCTTTGCTTACCTTCAAGATGAACTGCATGTTGTTGAGTACTGACAAATTTTGTCAGCGCCAAAAGCATCAAAATGACAATCGCAAGTTACCTCCAGCTTGAATAGCGACACCTTTGGTTTTGTTACTTGCTCACTGGCACATTTCAAGAACTTTGACTGACATTTTGGATACACCTCAGATTCGGGGTCAAAGTTGTACCCGACACCAGATGTGAAAACTTGGGTGTCAATCAGTATCATTCCTTTGCCTGCAGATAGGGAGACCCTCCCACGACATACCTGCTGCATTCATACCTATAGTGCTGCCTGATAGAAGCTGTGACACTTGTTAGACCCCATACGAAATGCATTCGTCCATCAGCTGTAACTCACGCAAGCAGCCGAAGCCAAGATGTCATCCCCGCCAACGCCAATTCCACGATACCTTCCCCAGAGTCGAGCAAATACTACCGATGCGAAAGTTGTCCATAGAAAACAGATAGCTATGAGCGAGTCTCTTGCGCTATTCGTCATTGGGATATATATCGGCGGTGGCGGCGCCAGCGCCACTGGTGAAGCCATCGAGGGAGGCGGTCGATTGAGGGTCCGGTTTGAACGAGTCGAGGATTAGTAGATGAGTGATGGATGTGAGCTAACAATTCATCATGGATCAAGGAGAGACGTGAGAAATCTGACACGCTGAGGGGAGATATACTGATGATGAGTAGCAGCCCTGCTGGCTCCAGGGGCCCCAGTAGTTAAAGTTATGACGCTCAGCCAGTCAAACTCGGCGACATTTTGCGTACCTGGCTAGGCTAACATTGATCGCGAATTTCAGCGCTCTGTAGTAGGCAATTCTAGATGAAAATCTCCAGTTTGTTGACTTAGCTGGAACCGGGAAACATGCTTTTCGTTGGCGAACTTAAGAACCCTGGTTCCTGGCGCACTATCTGGTGTCGCCGAGACTTCGCCTTACCTTCCTGTCCAGGGTCTGCCAAGCCGCGACTCGCGCAGACCCAATGTTGATTCTGAAATATGACCGCGCTGGATTTGAAGAGGCAGTTATCCAGCGACGGTAAAATTTGAGAAGCCACAAGTCTGAGGCTCGACCGAAACATCTAGGGTAATCATCTGTGTGGGCACTTCTTATATAGGTAGGGGAAATCTTGCACATGAGGAAGACCTTGAACCGACCAGGTCTTAACCAAGTAGTATTTCGTCTTGTGCCACCTCAACTTGCAGGTGAGGATCAGGCCGTAAAACCTTCTGCCATAGACTAGCGAGAAGTGATAATCCAAATCATTGGTGTTTAGCGTGACATCATAAATACTGCTCCTTCAAACTCTCGAGGTGGTAATGTGTCGTTTGCTTCTCTCATGGGTTGAGTACAGAATACGTGCTACTTGTAACTTGTACTCCGTAGGTTCTCCGGAGCTCGTCGTTTCCCAGCTATGGTTAACAGGAAGTCACGATTGCTTGGCATCGACTGAACCCGGTTATTCAAATTTTACGGCGTCTCATCTTCGGTTTTAGCCCAGTTCCCGGTTGCCAGTGAGAACGGACTCGCTCTACTCCCTCTCAAAAGTACGTTGCATGCCAATGACTAAGCCATGCCGAACACAAGATGGGCAAAGGAAAGTGGGCTGTGGTTAGCCAGCGGGCGCTCAAATGGGTGCTCGCGAATGACTACAAACTCAGATAGATGTTGCAGACGCTTGATCTTCTCTTCAGAATGCAAAGAAGACCTGGACAGTACGCACATAGACTACTTAAGATGAAAGAAAGACGTGTCGGCAGTCGGTGCCTGAGTAAAGCCCATTGCTCTGAGCGAACACTGTCTAAGGTTTTAAACATAACTAAGCAACATTGTTGTGAAGCCATGAATCGCTCGGTCGAAACACTACAGTGAGAAGATAACGACGATCCAATTACTCAATGTAGAGAACTCCCTCACTTCGATCGTCAACTTCGACCGTCAGGCGGGAATAACGACTCTGTCATCGAAGAAATCCAGCCATCAGACTCGAGTTGGCCATGGATTTGGAGCTCGCATCCCTCAATCCTAGGGGTGCCTGAAGGAACGTATACGGTATTGCGTCTTTTCTCATGTCAGAAATGTCCCATCAGTCGTAGAACCGAACTGCTGTTTACACAAGTGGCTGCCAGTCATCTTGATACTCAGTAATACAGCTGCGGCTGCCTATTCATATTCAGCGGGGGAAAGACCTTGGACCCGACTGGCTGGTGAATCAAGTGTCACAATAATTCTGTAGTGGATACGTAGTGGAGGTGTCTCCATCACCAGCCCCCGGTCCGTTCCAGTATTCCCTGGGCCCTTGAAGATCATTGAGATATTCGTCCTAGTGCAGTGTGCTGGTCATGTTGCATTCAGGCGGTATTTCTGTACGTCCCGTTACAATGGCCTGGCGAGCTTGTCTTCCGGGATACATTTGTAGCGCAACCCTGATTCACATTTCTGTCCTCCCTCAACTAGAACAAAGGATGCCTAGATTCAGAACTGTCCTCATAGAGACCAACGTATACGAAGAGCTTTTTACTCTCACAATCCCTTATTTCCTCTGATGTCAATAAGATCAACGGTACGGAGTGTTGTGCTTGTTTTCGTACGTGGGTCAACAGTCGGTGCTATGGTCTCATTGAGGAATTCTTCAACGGGCACTAGATGTCCCATCTCGGCATTGTGGGTCGCCCCCGCAGGCTCACTACATTAGTAAACGCTAGTTGACTCTTCTCGTCAAGGTTGCTCCTTTTCTCACAGGCTTGTGCTTTGGTCTTGACGTCCAGACGGGTCGTAAAGCTGCCCGTCCGGCCAGTAAGCGCATGGCTTTTATCAATATCCCGGTATCTGGTGGGCCAAGAAGATTTAAGATGCACTGCCTCGGTGGTGAATCCGTGAGATAAATGTCACATAAACCTACGCTCAACATAGGTTGCGTCGCACCATCGATACTAAGAACGCAACCTCCTCGTGCACACTCGTCGAAGGCACCCCAGCAATTTGTGCCCGAGATGACCTCAAACGCCATCGTGGGCGGCTTTAAAGCCGCCTTAAGTCCCAATGTAGTCATTTACTTTCTTGGTCTCTATCTCGCTTACCACATCGCCATAGCCTTGTACAATATCTCGCCTTTTCATCCATTAGCACGTTTTCCTGGTCCCAAGATCGCAGCTGCATCTTACCTATACGAAGCGTACTTTGACTGGTGTTTGCTTGGCAGATATGGCAAGGTCATTGCACGGATGCACGAACACTACGGTAAACTCGACGATAACCTTGGTCTGAGACGCAATTCGCTTCTAACCAACTTCAATCACAGGGCCCATTATCAGAATAAACCCGGATGAGCTTCATATATCTGACCCCTACTTCACCGACGAAGTCTATGCTGGTCCGGGCCGTATCCGCGACAAGTGGCAACATCAACTCAACACCGGCGGTGCAGGCCCTGTCTCGGTTACCGGCTTCTCCACCGTCAAACATGAGGTTCATCGGATGCGTAAGGGCGCTTTGTCAAAGTTCTTTTCTCGTCAGCAGATGCTCAAACTTGAGGGTGAGGTGCAGGAGTTTGCCCAGCTCACGGCTGACAAAATGCTTCGCTCGGCGGGGAAGGAGCCTTTCGACGTGAAGGAGGCCTTCAACTGCTTCACAGCAGATATCATCTCTCAATATGCTTTCGGAGAGCCCATGGGTTTCATCTCGCAAGAAGGGTGGGAACCCAACTTTGCTACTTGGGTGAAGTCCTTCTTTAAGAGTGCTTACATGATGAGACACAATGCTCTTGGTCGTAAACTGGCTCAAGTGATGCCTATGATGGCTGATTACTTGGGTGAAGACATCAGGTCTGTCATGAGACAGATGAATGTTGTTATTCCCGGGTATATCAGGGCGGCTTTGAGCAACCCAGAAAACGGAAGAGTTTTTGCCGATCTCATGGAATCCAAGACACTGCCCGAAGAAGAGAAATCCTTGTACCGACTTTCTGGAGAGGGCTTCAACTTCTTACTCGCCGGTACTGAGACCACTGCTGTGAGAAGGAGTTCCCACCCATTATTTAACATTTTGCTAATATTGCTACGCAGGCTACTCTGACTGTCGTGACGTACTACCTCCTCGCCCAGCCACAGACCTATTCTCGCCTGATGGAGCAGTTGCAAGGTCTCAACCCATCGAATCTAAAATGGACAGAGCTTGAACAGAAGCCTTACCTGTGGGCAGTCATTCACGAGTCTCTTCGCATGATGCCTGGGGTCTCGCACAGATCTGCCAGGATTGCCCGCGAGGAGGACCTAGTCTACAAGACTCGTGACGGGAAAAAGGAGTGGCTTATTCCCAGAGGTACCCCCGTTGGCATGACATCAATGATTAACCACTGGAACGAGGAATTGTTCCCCAACCCCGGGGAGTTCACTCCTGAGCGTTGGCTGATAGACGGCCAGCCAAACTATAAGCTGCAGAAGTTCCTCCTTGCGTTCGGGAAAGGCAGTCGCTCTTGTATTGGTGAGAAGTAAGTGCTCGCTTCGAGATCAAACCTTTCGGTTCCCGATGTTAACAGGATTCCTCAGCTTGGCATACTGCGAAGTCTACCATATGGTGGCTATGATGGCTCTTCGCGTCATCCCGAGATCCACTCTGCATGAAACCACAGTCGAAGATATTTCTTACGACCATGATCTCATCGTGGTGCAAACAAAGAAGGGTTCAATTTCTGTCAAGATAAAGATCACCTGAGCACCAGGCAAATCATAGCGTTGGGCTTTACTGGCTGTTTAGAAGTAACAACAGCAGCAATGGCTTGGGTGTGACGGCCGTCTATCTTTTCTTGACCGAATTTAGTATTGATAGCTGAGTGCCCGGTTAACACGCTGCATAAAATTCACACTGGGAATAGATAATCATCGGTTTCACCATTTTTAATTCGGCCTTCGTTCTCGTAGCTATCTGATCGTATACAGTGCTACCTGAAACCAAGTTCGCACTAATCTATGGGCAACAGAGCCTTGAATGCGTGATATGAGTCGGCCTCAGGTCTAGAGCAATATAATATACTTAGTAAAAGTCCAGCTCTCCAGAGATGCACATATTTACCGCCTTTGCAGTAGCTTCGTCTAAACTCTCAACCGGAAGGTTCAATGCCACATTCGCCAACCCATGCTTGTGTTCGACGTCACCGTCAGTCGGGGAGAAAAAGATACGCGAGTACATCATTCGCGAAAACCCATTTCTATCGCCTGATCTCAGTGCCTCGTAGCCAGCCTCCCACCTCTTCTTCGAGCTCTCGCGCTTGATGTCCCAGTCCTCGTCCGCTGTGCCTGTGGCCCGTTTCATACTTTCGAACATGTCTCGTTGTGACACCAAGAAACTAGAGACGTAGAATACATCGTTGGCCCAGTTCTGGATGTTGGGAGACTTATCATCCTTGTCATCAGGCAGCCACTTGAGGTTCAAGAAAGCGGCCAGCCCACGGCCACACTGAGACCAAGTAGAAGTGTTGATTTTGACATCGCCCTCGTCAAATAGGGTCAGTGACTTGTTTCTGATGTCGAATCCGTACCGATTAGGCGAGCCGGCCACGCTGAACTCGTACCAGAATCCGCAAGACATGATGATCCATTCGCTTACCCCAAGGCGCTCAATCTCCTTGACTGCTCCTTGGAACGAAGAGCCAAGAAGAGCGTCTTTCATCATCTCATCATTCTTCGGATCCGGACCCCACGCATTCGGCATCACGTAGGGGACGCCAGCTTTTGCCGCAGCCTGTACGAGTTTGTTTTGAGTCTCCTGGCCGACGGTGGACTTCATAGTGATGATCAAGTATTGCTGTCCCGTTAGAGCCTTCACGATCGAGCTCTCGTCGTCGTAGTTGATCTTTGCAGCAATGACACCGTCCGGCAATTTGGAATTGCTGTCATGTCGGGTAATTGCGGTAACTGTGTGTCTTCCGCCTTTGAGAAGTTCCTGAGCTACGAACTTGCCCATTGTGCCGGCAGCCTTGAAGGTGTCAGTCTTCTTTGTCATGAACAGCTTAGGTCTCACGATTCGGTTCAGGAAGTACTTACACCGACAATGGCAACCTTCTCGATGCGATTCACAAAGCCTTCCGGCTGGTCCTTGGCGAATTGAAGAGTCTTGGGGGCCATTGTGCAAAGTTAATCTGAGGATTGATACGATAGATGGTTGGTAGGTAAGGGACGATGATCGCTTTTACTCAAGGTAGTTGGCTTTGATATTCTTTTGATACCAGTAAGACAGCTTAGATGAAATCCGATCAAATGAATGGCGGGATGGCTTTTATACCTTTTCCTCCATCGTCTGGAAAAACTAGCATTCTTCAATCGAGAAGGAAGGTACTTCTGTATTCAAGACCCATCACTGTGGATCACCATCGTAAGACAACGAATGCATCGCAAGGCGAATGAGACTGAGCGCTAGACTCGGATATACAGGCACACTAGGCGTAAATACGCTTCGCCGTGTGTATGAGATTTCAGGAGGAAGAAGTCTTTCGATTGCAGGCAACGTCAGTGCACTTTTCACGCTAGCTTCCAATCGTATTCTATGGACTATGGTCTGTTGGCCGTGCCGGTATTAAGCAATCCAAATGCGCTAAATATCTTGGAACATTAGATCAGACTCGACTCTCTTAACGCGTTTATCTGTCAATGGCGCTTGTATCACATTAGCGTTGTGAGATTGGCGTAAGTCCGTCAGCTGTGGCCAAGAGTCGGTAACTCGAGTTTCCTCATTGGGAAATCTCAGCTCCGACGCTTCGCCATCGGGCGGTGTTTACCCCACTGAGATCATGGACAGCCACAGATATTGATGTCTTACTTCCCATTTTAGACGTCAGAGAATCCGTTTTAGGCAATCTGCTCTCATATCTGCAGATTTTTAACTCCGTCATGGTGCCTTCTTCCTGTTTGCGCCAAGCCGGGCTCCGCGCCGTGGTCACCGAGTGTCCGTGGCCTTGGCATTCTCCACACTCACGACGTCAAAGACTCTTACTCGGAAGACGTGAGGCTGATAAGATGTATTACTGAAAACCCGTCGCGTTTTGGTTCAGAAGCATCTCATTCTACAAGACCCAAGTATTTACACGGCGCCTCGTACAGAAGATTAGCAGGCAATGTCGCCCTAGAGTATGTGCAGTTTGATATCTACAATGGTTTATAGCACATTTGCCAAGCCTTACACAGCCAGTCTTGGTGACAACGTATTTACAGGAATAGAAAGCCATAGATAACAAAGAGCTTCGGGCTTTGAGAAAGAATGTCGGTTTATTCCGTCAAGTTGTCCTCCGCGATGGTGATGGAGTCGATGGTCCAGGTGATGCCGTTGTCCTTCGTCTGCCATTCCGTGTGGGTAGCGTTGGTGTAAGAGATAATGTCAGCCAAGTTGGTCACAGCCTTGTCGAAAACAAGGGTGATGTTGGTGTACTTGTAAGCGGGGAGAGTACCGCAGCCATCGCCGTAGCATTCGTTGCCAGAGTAGAAGACGGCAGGTCTCATGCCCTTTGCTGTGATGGATTATCAGCACGTGTCTTCAAGGTTGAAATTGGCGAAACTTACAGTCAGACTCGGAAGAAATGAGGTCTCCGTTCTGCCAGATCTTCTGGTCGATCATGTCGGTGGAGGAGTTGAGAGAAACTACCAAACTTTTTAGCAAACTTGTCTCACAATCGCGTCGGGCATGGCAAACATACTCTCAAACTCAAGGGTGGCCTCCTTGTTGACCGGGACGTAGGCCTGACCAATTTGACCGCTGGGCTGGTAAGTGCTGGCAGCAGCACACCACTGTGTGTTGGGAGCACTGCAGCCCCAGACGGAGTTGTCGGGTCCCCAATTGAGAAGGGGCTGGACAAAGTTCATGTTGAGCACATCGGCGTTGTTCGGGTTGTCCTGAACGCCGATCCAGAGAGAGAGCCAGCGCTGGGTCTCATCGGTCTTGACCCAGTTCGTGGGCGGGTTGGGAACCTCCATGTTGTAGGTGGCCTTGGTGATGTACTGACCACCGGTGGTAGGGCCAAGGTAGAACATGTTACCATACTCGTAGTTGGGGTAAATGTCAGCTCTGGCTCCCAGAGCCAGGGAAGCGGCGGCGGCAATAATTGAGTTGCGCATATTGTAAGGACTGTTGCGTAGAAAAATGACGGAAAACGAATGACGAGAGGTCCTGTCTCTTTAGTTGGCAAAGGTTCAAAATCGAAGGAGAGTGTGATGCTGTTGGCTATCGTGAGAAACGTTGCCAAGCCCCATGCTTATGTTCTTATAAGTCTGCAAGCCTTCATTTAGTTGATACTGCCCCTAGTTGAAACATTTGGTAACAAAGGTGGACGTGCCCCCTATCGTGGGTCGATCCAGCCTACGGAGAAATTAGTCCTGCCCACACGGGTAGATCGGCATCCAGCGCAACGGTAAGTTGCGGAATGATATAGATGAGATCGTCCGTCGGTTTCCTCTTGCGCAACTGAGAGTTCAATTTCGCCTATGCTCTGTTGGCGCGACTCGTAAGAATCATCAAGCAATAGAGGCTCGGAGCGCATGTCAGCCCTGGTAAAGCGAAAGCCATCACACCACTGCGAGATACCGGCCCGGAGTACTGTATTCTACGGCAGGTACCCGAGATTACAAGTCACTTTTTGCACGCCTCAAAGCTTGAGCATTGCTCTTTCGTCGTCGTTACTGGACCCATCGTCAGTTGAAGATTTCGAGCTAGACTCGGAAGAGGCAACACAACCCCGCAACGGTTTCAAATGGATTGCCTAGTTCAATACGAAAAATTGACCGGTTAAACGATTTCCTCTGAAGTTGTGAGCTTCCTGATTCATCAGAAGGGTTGATTGATGTATCTTCTCGTGATAAGTCATCGCCTTGTCTTACTGAGTTGTCAACCCCTTGTCAGCAACACAAGCATCCACCATTGACGACACGAAGGAGAGGGCTTTTCACGATCTCATTATCGCTCAAAAATCGATCTGGAGAAGCTTATTACAGCATCCATTTTCTTTCTCTCACTTTAGATACTCTGCTTTCACCTTAACGACCGCCTACCTTACCACAACATTGTAGCCCTTTGGAGTTGTTGTAGTTCAAGCTCATTTAAGGTTCAAAAGCTTCAGCTCTTGCGAAGTCTGAGCTGTCAATGCCAAGGACAACAGAAAACTCTATTCAAGACTCCCTTCAAAGGCGGAACCTTGATGTGAACGACGAGACAACGGGTAGGGCTAACTACCAGAACAGACGAGAGCCTCACTTAATGGCCATTGAAAGCTATTGGCCGTTGTAGAGTCGCACAGATCAAACGGTGACTTGGTTCTGATTAGCTTCCAATATCGGGATATATTTGAAACAGAACAGTACTTAGGTACTACACAGTGATGAATGTCGCGTGACCAATCCCATCGGCAAAACTGTTCGCGCTAATCGTTAGTTGTTCTAGGAAGAGTGAAGTTGCTTGAGATCAGCCAGGTTTGTGATCAAATGCTTGATGCCCTGAAAACACACTCCCATCCACGAGTTGTGAGGACTTGCGAACAGTTATGTGCAAGTTACGACCTTCTTGACGTCGGCTACAACCAATGACTTATGAACCTTCGTCTACCTTGCCAAATGTAGAACAATGTAGAATAAGGTATACAGGACCGATTAGAGCTTGTCGTCTCAAAAGCGGCCCTGACTTAACAAATAGACACAGAGCTAGCTATCGCAGTGATAGTTGCATAGGGCATCGCGATACTGGGGAAGAGCTCGCAGTCTGATGGCCTTGATACACCACTGAATTTGAGAGCGGTAGACCCGCGCTTCGAGGTTAATAACGAAATCGTTATTGGTCGCAACTCTCCTTCTCGACATGCCCATCCTGATATCATGTTCTGTGGATTGAGGGGACCACTAGATGATGATAGATACGGCAAGAAGGCACAATGGGAGCTAAGATTTGGTCGTTGTCGCAGTCGATGACCAGTTCCCACGTGATTAACGTGATCACAAGAGATACTTGGTCACTCCGAGAGCCTGGTGATACAACCAAGTTGCATGCACCTGCAGTTAACGCACAAGTTTTTAGCAAATGTGTGGTACTTCTTTGCATCTTTATTGGCTGATTGATATGATGAATTAATGTGTCGCTGAAAACGAAAGAGCCCAAGCTATGCTACATCGTTAATGACCCTAGATGCTCTCAACCACTCTTTGGTCCGTCCAAGGGGCTAACAGTTGGGTCCCAGCAGACCGGGGAGTACTCGTCTGTCTCCAAGTTCTTGACATCCTCGTCCGGCAGCTGGAAGTCGTAAATTTTGGTGTTATCCAGGATACGGGTGGGCGTAACACTCTTGGGGAGAGGGATGTAGCCCTTTTGCAAGCTCCAGCGCAGCAGGATCTGAGCCTCAGACTTGCCGTGCTTGTCGGCCAAGGCCTTGAGAGTCTTGTCGCCCCATTTCTCACCTCTGACCAGAGGGCTATAGGCCTCAATAGCGACGTTGCGCTTCTGGAGCCACTGCACGATGTCGTTGCGCGCGCACCAGGGATGGATCTCGTACTGTGCGACGTTGATGGCGCCGCCTTTGCCTTTGCCGCCGCGCTCCTCCTCAAGCTCTTTGATGTGCGTCTCGAGCTCGTCCAGATGGTGCACGCCGTAATTGCTGACGCCAATGGACTTGACTAGACCAGCTTCTTGGGCCTCGACGAGGGCCTTCCAGGCGCCCTTGCGACCCTCTGAGCCACCATAGGGGCAGTGAAGCAGCATCAGGTCGATGTAGTCAAGGCCGGTCTTTTCCAGAGTCTCCTCTACCTGGTCCTTGGCGTCGTCGTAGTTGATGTAGCGAACCTTGGAGGTGAAGAAGAGTTCGGAGCGGGGGATGTCCTTGGCACCGCGAATGGCAGCTCCGGCACCAGCCTCGTTCCTGTATGAAGCCGCCGAGTCGACCTTTGAGGGTAGTCAGGAGGTGATGTAAATCGAAGCCTATGACGCGGAACTCACATGACGGTAGCCGACTTTGAGAGCTTCAGTAGTGACCTTTTCAGCTTCCTCGGGCGCACTATCAATTGGTGTTGGCAACGTCGGTGGTTATCATTCAGTTGTAATTCTACTTACGTCTTCCAGAGCTATGTGAAGGTCAGCAATAAGGCCACGATAATCGCGCAAGGCAAGGAGTCGCACGCCATAACCCAGCACGGGGATTTCGAGGCCGTTGTTCAGCTTCTGCTTGGATTGAAGTGTGAGTGCGGACGCCATGGTGCAAAATATGTGCGTGGAGAAAGTGATGGGGTGATTGAGTTTGCGCTTTTGAAGATGAGAAGAGTTGAAGAAAACAGATGAGTTGGCCGAGAGCACTTGCAATCGCGATTTGGGAATTTTCGTCCCGAATGAGGCCATTAGTCACTCCGGTCCGGGATAAGATGAGGAGAGATCCCCCGCCATTTGCACCTTCCAGGTCCAGTCTATCAGCTGCATGTTCGGTGTTGTTATGCCGAACTGTTGCGCGCTGCCGTAGGCTCCTGTTCACTGGATCACGAATCGCGTCAGGTGTCCCTTCACTCCAGGTCGGGCTGTTTAGTGAGCACAAGCAGTGGCCCAGGTACCCGACGTCATGAGCCTAGCCCGGAAATGAGGGGGAGGGGGAGCGGGCAGCACTGATTACCCCGCCATCGATGCCCCTCCATCGCGATCTTACCTTCGCCCATACTGCCTGTGTTGTTCCGTTGTATCCAATTCAGATGCGCTAGTTCACCCAAACGTGTTTGATGATTTAATATGTTTTTGTATTCCCTGCTTCTATACAATCTTTTCCCAAGACGCACCTTTTTGGATATCATGAACTCATATATATATACGCACTTGACTCAGATGATCGACTCGCCTCCAGCTTCACCACTAGTCGCAGCGCTATCCTCGTCCTCGTCATCATCCAGGTCGTGGATGGGGTAGGACAGAATGGCGGCAACGCTCCCCAGCATGTCCAGCCGCTTGCCGCTCTCGTGATCACTGCTGAGAATCCTGACATCGCCACCGTCCGCCTTGACCTTGTCCACCATGGCCACGTACTTTTTCCTCGTAGGAATGTCAGAGCTGCGGAATAGCGAGTTATTCATGATAAGGACGCCGCCACCAGGACCGATGGCGCCTTCGTTGACCGCTTTTGCCACTGATGTTGTCCCGTACCATGCCCGTCCGTCTTCCAGGCGAAGTCTATCAAAGAACTGATCCATCAATTTCGTCTCCTTGGTGAACTTGAAGTCCTTGAGCCTGTTGCCCATCTCAGGGCTCTTGAGAACCTCATTGAGGCTGTGCACGTGGCCCGAGTTTGTGTGAATGACGACTGCCTCCCTGACTATTCCTAACAGCTTCTTGTCCGACTTGTCTCTTCCTTCGTCCGCAATATACTTTTTGAAATCGGCCGCGGTGAATCCGGGACTGGCCAGTAGCAAAGGCCTCGGGGTGTCAAAGTTGACGGTTCGGAGCAGGGCGGTCAGCGTCTTTTCGAAGAAGCGGGTCATGCCCTGAGAGGATTCGGTTGCGGCGCTTCGTTTTTTGGGTATAACGCTCTCGATGCGTTGTTTGACGACGGTGCGGAATTGGCTGATGAGACAGATGTTCGCGATGCCCTCCTGCATGACGACGGCAGCCATGGCGCCATCTTTGTCGTCCGACAGACTGTCTGATAATGTGTCTTTGGCGACCGAGTCCCAGCCCTGCGGCTTGCTCAATGTAAAGGGGCGAGCGACCTCAAGGTCTAGCGTGTGGTATTGGCCCATACTGACATAGGCATTCTCCGACTTGACTACGCCGCTGACCTGGAGCTGGCCGACAATAGGGTCGAAGAATGTACTCTTAACTTGGATCGCAAGGACGGTGTGGACTCGTTCGGAAACGGTGCTGCCGGTCTTCGTTTCGGCGACGACCTTTCTCACGGCATGCGCCATAACGAGGTCGCCGGGGCTGATGAGGTTGTAGGCATGCCACTGTTGTGCTGTCAGCCGGACTGAACTGGTCTGTTGGGAATAGAATCTCGTCGCATGGCTTCGCATCGTGGGGCGGCGCATCAGGCGACAGGACAGAGTGGATTAAATTGCCTACCATATCCTCAGAATCTTCGGGCATGAGAGTAACTGCATCTTCGGCAATATTTTGCGACGGCTTGGTAGGAACGAGCTTCATCTTGGAGGAGAGAGTGCTACAGAAGCACGCGGTGGTGGAAAGAAAGTGCCGGGTTCCGGTAGGAAAGAAATCGAAGTTGCGACGAGGAGGATCAAGAATGTTTGAAAATATCTCGACGCAGATTGGTAGATTGGATTGCCTCTGGGCTCTGACTGCTGGAGAAGGGAGTGCACTGCGCATCACTTTAGGCCGTCACTGCGCTGTATCTCCGAAAGTGACGCCAAAAGCGCTTGGCGGGGAACCTTGAGTAAGGTACGGAGTACTCCACCAAATGGAAGGCACGTATCTCCGATTATTCTCTTATCGTCATCGCTATTCGAGACAGGTCCGATAACAATCCTCACCTTTTCAGAGCCTCTATTGTTAAGGTTGCCTTAGGTGCTTGGGACCACGTGAAAAGCCGAAAAGGGAACACAATTGGGTTTGAGTCTTCCCTCCATGATCCCAGAAGTTTGGGAGACATTCTGCTCCAAATCCCGTCTCGGCCGGGTGCTCAAGGTTCCCTCCTGTTGTGAAGTTAGAACACTGGACGAATCCCCGACGCCTCAGAAGGGTCGGAGCTGCCACTTGCCTCATTGCCAGCCGAAGTGCTGAGGTACTTTTGCTTGAAGCGTCGCCGAGGTCAACGTCTCTTTTGAGGAAGACTCGTCTGAAGTCTTTGATTTTAGCAAATCTCCCTGAAGACCGTCGATAGTTCTACGTCGCAGACCCTTTGGTCCCTCCAAAAGGGTATCAATCCAAACCCCCATGCGGCTCAGATGGGTCAAATGACGGCCGGTGCTATGGTGCGTCCCCTGCCCATCTCCGCCTGGCTTGGGCTTCCACGTTGAGTTCCGGGCACAGTCGGGCGAGTGTAGATCGACGTCATAGGTCCCGTCATCGTTGTGACACCCTGCCATTTCCCAAAGACCCTTGTTCTATTCATACTCTGCATACAGCTTATTGCTTTATGGCCTTTCCTCAAAAATCGCCATTTCCAACTTGCCGGTGCAGAATTGAAAGGCGGGGGTGTTTGTGGGGAAGCGATGAAGAGTGCACAATTGTGTCGGCTCCTTGTCACTGTGGAAAACAAACTAGACTGTCTAAACTCTATAAGCAAACGCCATGTTTGCAGTCTGGATGGATTAGATGTCGCATGGTTGGCTGGAAGCCTTACCAGAGTTGGATTTGGGCTCTATCCGTAGCCTTGAGGAGAAGCAAACCATGGCTAGCTGCAGCCCTCCAAAGTGCCACGATCAAAGGTTGCTGGGTGGGTCGCGGTATTCCATATTCACAACACAACACAGCCTTGACTCTAGAGGGTGATGGTTCAATGTGCCCCTGGTTACTGCGAAGGAGAGGGGGAGGAGGAGCTCGCTGGTGGCGATCGTCCAGTGTTGGCGTCAGCAAGCAGGCGATCCAGTTCCGAGTTCCAGTCTGGTGTCAGTGCTCCAGCCTCCAAGCCTCCTGTTACCCAGGGCAGTGTTATTTTGTGTGTGTCGCCTTGAGTTTCGCCTTGTGTTACCCTATGGGACTGACGGGAATGAGTGTTGTCTCTGAGTTCCCTCGCAATCGTTTCTTACATCTGACGCCGACCTGCTGTTTTCGGCGCGCCTGCCTCCTCTCGCTTATGGTCCACTCTTCCTTCCTCTCTCCAAAGTTCTGTCCACTTTGTACATTTCCCTGCTCATCCTTTCAGCCGGCTTCTATATTCAAGACAACACTCTTCTATATCATCTTTGCGCACTCCATAGAGAGAAATCATCGACAGCATAAACATCGTCATCTCCGCTCCGACTGTCAACTGCGCGCAAACCCAATTGCCAATGGCCTCGTGCCTCGGCTCGGTACCCATTACTCCAGACTCTATTTTTTGCTGTTCGATCTGGCCAGGGTACGCTTAGATCTGGGCCAGTCTCATCTTCCCCGACTCTTTGCGCCAGAAAAAGAAACGCGACCGTTTCTGCGTTCCTGTTCCCCCACACTCTGCCCTCTTCGAAGCCGGTGTATCCTGGACATCTGCAAGGGAAGCTGTGCGGATCCAGCCGAGAATTTACGGATACACACGTACAGCTTTGTCTTTCTTGATTACTTTACTGCGTATCCCTCCGAGTACAGATACGTTCCATAACCTTGCGGTAAAATTACCAAGCAAACCCGACTCGCCGCAGAAGGCAACTAGCAGGGCTCTGGAATTGCTTACCGACCACCACTAGCCATCACAGGCTACAGGTGCATACATTACCTGTTCTAAGTTCATCAAAGAAAGGGTGGAAACGCGGGCTGCGTGGGTGCTTTGCTTTAGCATACGGAATACGCGGACTGGACGAATCCGAACCCGCGTAATACGTACCCAGTCTCCCAACCACCAGAAAACACCACCACCGAACGCGTTTGACCAACGACGGTCAAGCGAGCGGGCGCCGTTTCTCTTCGGGAGAAAACTTCGCGTCGCGCCCAGGACAAAGTCCGCTTCTTCTCGTTTCCAAAGAAAAAAATTCGTATCGGGAACGACGGGCCCAGGAGAGCGACGTTCTTAGTAGACAAACCCGACCGTCCAATTCACGGCCACCCGCGGCGACGGCAATATCGGCCGTCTACGTATTCCGGCCACCCCGTTGGACCGTCAAATCATCCGCCCACCGTCGTCACACTGCTCCAATCCCATTCGTGAAGCTCGGGTGTCTCGGATCGCTCGTATTACTACATCTTGAACCGCTCAACCACCCACCGACGACCAGCACACCTCGAATTCAGGGCCACGACCTACTCAGCTTACCCGCGCTTACCTCTGGCGCCCACCAACGGCCCAAGTGTCTGTAATTCTGTACGCGGCTGTCTCTCTTGTCGGTGTTCGCATGATGGGAAATGTCGACTCCTACATCTGCCATAAAGTCCATGGACGCCGGCCGTCGCGAAGATGGCCAGGCACCACCACTACCGCCCCCGACGCCCGTTTCTGAACCCCGTCTCTCGACTCCCCTCAGCCGTGAAGGCTCCTCGACTGCCCAGAAGTCACCTGGCGGTTCAGAGTCTCAAGGTACGTAAAGATATGCGAATCTACCATGCACTAGGGCCACCAAGAGGCTCCTCGTCTCTTCAAAATTGAGACTGGGGAACGTAATTGACCCTGTGTGGCGGACACGGTGGATGCTAATCGTTGCATAGGCAGCAGTTTTCCGACCTTTGCCAAGAAGACGCCCACGAAGCTCGTTCGGAGTACAACACCGAACGCAAAGGACGGCAAGGCCGACAAGCCCTCGCCAGCCGCCGTCCAATCTCCAGCTGCAATCGACCCACTATCTCAGGTTAGTTGCCGCCGTTGGCATGGCCGTAGGGTAGGCTTTCGTTGCTAACTTTCCACAGCACATTTTGATGCGAACCAACACTGGCCATACTGTTCCTCCTCAGCTTCGCAAACGCCCCGACAGTCCGACTCCGGATCCAGAGCAGCCGACGAAGCCTCCGGCGCATGCGTTCGATGCCACCAAGGACAAAAAGTGCGCACTCTCGTGTCCCCTCAATTCATGCCAATGGTACTGACCAATTGTAGGAAAGGGCCGTCGTTCCTAAGTCGATTGAGTATGCGAGGTGGACGAAGACGCGAGGATGACGAGGAGTCCGTCTTTAGTGATCACCGAATCGACGGGACCAATGCCCAGGCCTTTGGTTCAGTCATCGGGTCCGGTTACATACCTCACCACAAAGAACCTCCACGGTACATCCGGGTCAAGGCACACAGCAAAAAGATGCGTGAATTCAACCGCATGTTCCTTGCCCAGGAGCTATTCATCCCGCAGTCCGACTCGAAAGACGACAAAGGTACGCCAATAAGAGCAACGACCGACACTCGACGATCGAATACGACCGGAGCTATTTGGGCCACGGAATTCAGCACTGATGGCAGATACTTCGCTGCTGCGGGGAAAGATCAAGTTGTGAGAGTATGGGCTGTGATAACAACGCATGAGGAGCGGCGCCGTCATGAGGAGGAGGAAAATGCGAATGGGGCCAGTGGAGAAAGGTTGAGTGCGCCGGTCTTTCGAAGCAAGCCGATTCATGAGTTCCGAGGGCATACCGGTGAAGTACTGGACCTCAGTTGGAGCAAAAACAACTTTCTGTTGTCGTCATCGATGGACAAGACTGTTCGCTTATGGCACATCAGCAGAAAAGAATGTCTCTGCACCTTCAAACACAAGGACTTTGTCACATCGATAGCGTTTCATCCTACCGACGACCGGTTCTTCCTTGCGGGATCCCTCGACTCGGCACTGCGTCTTTGGAGTATTCCAGACAAAGCTGTGGCATACTCTGCTCAATTATCAGATCTCATCACAGCTGTGGCATTCTCGCCTGACGGGAAGACTGCGATAGCTGGAGGGCTCTCCGGCATGTGCATGTTCTACGACACAGAGGGTCTCAAACAGAGCTCCCAGCTGCACGTGCGATCATCGAGAGGCAAGAATGCTAAGGGCAGCAAGATTACTGGCATTAAGACGATGGTCATTGATGACGAAGTCAAGGTGTTGATCACATCCAACGACTCAAGAGTGCGCATCTATAACCTGCGCGACAAGAGCCTGGAATCCAAGTTCAAAGGCTACGAAAACACCTGCAGTCAAATCCATGCCGACTTCAGCGACAACGGACAGTGGATTGTGTCTGGCAGCGAAGACAAGAGAACGTACATCTGGTCTGTGAAAGCTGCAGAATCGGACAAGGAGAAGCCTTGCGAATACTTCGATGCGCACTCAGATCGAGTTTCAACAGCAATATTTGCGCCGACCAAATCGCGCCAGCTTCTTGGTGGTTCGGGAGATCCTCTTTACGACCTTTGTAATCCGCCCCCCGTAACTCTGATGAGTCTCGAGGAGTCCATCGCCAGCCAAACAGGTAACTCGGACGATGAGAAACCTCAGGTCAAGCAGCAGAAGATCAAGAGACCGGAAGAATCACCTGCTTACATTGAGAAGTCGAAACACTTTGATGGGCAAATTCTCGTCACTACGGACCAATCTGGGGGCATCAAGGTCTTCCGTCAGGACTGTGCATACATCAAACGCCGTCATGAGAACTGGGAGACGGGCTCAACATTCTCCCGGCGCATGGGTGGAAGCATTGTTGGAGTTGGACGCAGCGGAAGTGTAGCAACACGCACAAGCGTCGGCAGTCAACCGCGCTCACGCCGGGGGTCGGTTTCCCGTCTGGCAGCCCCTGGAGGCGCTCAGCTGAGTTCCGACATCAATACGTGGCGGCAAGGGATCGAAAGTGGGCGCCCGAGCTCCATGGTCATTACAGCGTCTCAAAGTCCGCGGTCTCTGTCACCTAGCAAAGCGTCACGGACACCAATTAACAACAGTGCCTCCAACCTTGCATCAGAAGCGCGAAAACAACCATACAGTGGATCGTCACCACCGGTACGTCCGCAACTTCCAGCTAGTCCCACATCGAGCCGGGCTTCCCGCGACCGGGCTCCGTCCATTCCTCCGACCCCGAGTTTCTCTTTCCGATCCGCCGACGATGACGAAAGCGACGAGCTCCGACTTGATCCTGCCGGCGCCAGCTATTCTTTCTGGAATCTCAATCGATGGCGAGGGATCTCATCATTGCGATCATCAGTGTCCTTCAGTAACGTCAACACATCGCAATCGCAGGTTGGCCAGGGGCGAAACAGCATGAGCACAGCAGACACAACGCAAACGTCGGCTAGTAATGGCACCAAAGCATCCCGTCGCAAGAGCCTAGGGGCGGGCATATACGATTTGGCCGTGGAGGAGGAGCACAAAGGCACAACGAAGAGCATTGAGGATGCTGCAGATAAGACCGAGGCGGATGAACATCTGCTACAACCAGACGACTCGAGAATCGAGAATCGTCTCCGTAACTCTGTTGTCAGCCGTCTAAGCTCCGAGTACACCAGCGAAGACGGTGAGCAGATGTCTTGTCAAAAGTGTGCGAGCAAAGATTTCAAAGCGAAGAGAGTTGGCGGCAGACAACGTCTTATCTGCGTCAAGTGCGGTAAGCTTGCCGAGGACGGCAGGTAGAGACGAGGGAGAGACACGAGAGGAGTTTGACTAATGACAGAAGGTACTTGGGGTTTGTTTTGATCTTTTCCATTTCTTTCCGACGGCGATGGGTTTGACCGTTTGGGCACGATACGACGAGGCGCATCTATCATGATCAAGAACACCAGATACCCCACACAATAACGGCTACAAAGAGATTATCGAAGATGACGGTATATATTTTCATTGTTCTTCCTTTTTTTTCATACATACAGACCAGCGAGTCTAGCGGTTTCAATCGGGTAGCATTTTCTGGGCGGCTAAACAAAGCAACAAAGCGGCGCAAACGAGGGATTAAGGGCACGAAAAGTTTTGAGAAAAATGGAACAAATCTGATATTTTTCGCTACACTATAACCAACAGTTCACCACGTCCTCTAAGTCCATGTGCATAGCGACGCGATAGCCGCGGTGTGAGTGTGTGCTCGAAATGATGAGAAACGCGACGGCGGCAATCACCCCCTCAAGGACATTTTCCAGTCCGACCTCGGGCCCGTGTTGCCGCCGAGGGTGTAGCCGCCAGAGACAGTGGAACCATCATCAGGCTTGACGTCCTTCTCGGCGGCTGCGGCGGCTTTCCTCCTGGCCAGCCCACCCAGCTCCTGAACGGTGGTCTGCAAGCTCCTGGGATCGGCGCCGCGGATGACGCTCCGTCCGCCGTTGTAGGGCTGGCCATTTTCGAAGAACATGAAGGTCGGCATCGCGGTCACGCCATAGCGTCGGGCGATATCCTGAGCGGAGTCGACGTTTACTTTAACGAAGACAAGGGAGCCTGGCTGGCCGTGCGTGTTTGAGAGGGATTCGTATATCGGTTTGATAGCGTGGCAGGGGCCGCACCAGTCTGCGTAGAAGTCGGCGACGAGGTATGTGTTTGATGAGAGGAGGTTCGTAAACTCTGTGAGATTCGTTGCGTGGAGGACGACCATTTTGGCGGCTTGGGTACGTGAAAGCTTTTTGTCGCGAAACGAGATGAGGGTTGGATGTCGCTGTCTGTCGCAAAGTGATTGAGAGATGTCTTGTTACGTGTACTTATCCCCTTGTCGATGAGCTGTTGTATGTGATTTTTTATAGAGTTGCTTTCGCCACACGAATTTAGTTCACTCAAAAAGATTATGAGAGTGAGCGCAAGAGTGAGAGTGAGAATGAGTGAGAGCATTCGTCAGCGACGGCAGTGATCTCGTCAGCTTCTCTTTCCAGCGGTAAATGTGGGGTCAGCGGCCGAGGAACCTTCCAGGTGCTCCGGGGCACAGGAGCGGCCACCTGCGTTTGAGCGTTGGGGGAGCCTAACACTAATCTCGGTCTTTGGCTGTGCCCCGCGCTGTCCACCTTCACTCAAAGGCGCCCGAGAACTCCACACCCGCCGCTGCAACCAATTTGTCACTATCGCATCTCTTGCACCTTGCACCTTGCACTTAAAGCACCTTGCCCATTGGATCGACCTTTGGCTCTCCCAGGGCGGCCTGCTGCATGTGCTCCAGATCGCTGGCCCATCTGTCTAGCAATGCAGGCCGCCGAATCGGTTTCTTCTGCATGGTTTCCGAGTCACTGGATCCTGATAACTTCTTGTTCGCTCCAAGTGACGTTCCGTTATCTGTGCTGAACACTTCGTCGGCACGCGAGAAGCCGTATATGGTCCCTGTGAGTATGTTGCAACTGGTGTAGTTCTCATTGCGATGATGTTCAGAATCGTTTCATTTCCTTCCTTCGTTGATCTCTTGCCGATCAATCTCAATCAACACCATCGTTCTTTCGGTCGCCCCATGTTTACTCCTGTTCTTGACCTCGATGTTACTGATTTCATTTTCAGACTTCACGAGCTCTGCCGAATTGACGTTTGTTTGCGAGGTGACTTCGCTGTATCATATACTCTTTCAGGGTAAAGAGCACCAGGACCTACTATATCACCGTCTCTTCCATCAGCAAGCGCCCACAGCGTGAGGCCAAGGTGGGCATCGCATCTTAACACTCCCCATATATGTGATGAGGGAAGCTTACGATCTCGCGAAACGCCCACACCACCAGCGGCCGGCCATCGTGGAGTGACGGCAACACACGGTATAAGGGGACTCTACCAACACCCTTGGCTCGCAGAACAAAATGTTTGTCTGCCCTTGGCGGCTCTTTTGGACAAATTGTTTAGGATCTTTGAGTCCATTGACCAACAACCCCTCATTCACCCTTTGACATTGCGTCAGATGACCCCATTAGGTGTCTCGCAAAGTCGCAATCCCCCAGACCTCAAAGCGCCAGTCGCCCCCTTACTCCCAACTCGATCCACGGCTCTCACCGCCCCTCCACGTTGATCATTCACACCTTCACGATCGTCACAGGCGCCTAGTTCAGCGCGAAAGGCTCTTGGGAGGCCATGTGCCCCTTCCAAGGATGTCGGGGATATCTCATGTGGTGTCGGCCATCTTTGGTCTAGTCTTGTACTGACCCTGCAGGCTCTGACCTTATCGAGGTTGATCTTGCCCCTGGAAGACCAGGCTACCTCCAGAAGGCTCGAAGCGCCTTGGGCTGACAGCCAACCCTCATTCAGAAACAAGTAAGATGTGTGTAGTCTGGCCTTGTTTGGCCCCCAACCTCCACGGCTCGAGGTTGAGTTGAGCCTCAGGGGTAGTTGCTCCTCTTATCCTTACCGTTTCAAATAGCTAGTAGCTATTCTTGAATAGCATCAAGCGCTAGCCATGAGCGTCTCGCCGGACCATGAAGTGGCATCGGTCGATACAAGCCTGTGGCCGCCTTCTCTTGGCTCACCTTCGACGCGATTACAAGGTCCTGTATCTCAAGTTTCAGGGGCAGTATGTATCACGTCGAACAGGACGGTCGTCTAAGTGGTGATATTGCCGAGAAGGCTGTTGAAACGGCCGCGAGATTGGTGAAGTTGGCCGACGTGAGTCGGGATAGGCGCACAGGCAAGCTCAATGAGCGATAGACATATCCCAAACCGCTCAAGACTATGTGGATCTTACCTGGTACTCACTTGAGACGTCGGATATAAGACATCGTCCCGTGTTTTTCGAGTGAGGGCGCGAAGATAGCAAGCCCTTTCCTTTTCTTTTTCCTATACCAAGTCTCACGCTCCAATATCGTCGTTGTACACAACCTCATCCAAGATGTCCAGCTACCAGACCCTCAACTTTGGTTTCGAGCTTGAGTTATCTCTCAACAGCAGCAAGAAGCACAATAACTGGCTGTCCATGGCACAAGACACCAGCAGTCGCTTAGCCAAGAAAGGAGTCAGCAATCATGTCAAGGAAAAGGTGGGTGGGAACTACCGCAAGTGGTCCATTGTCCAAGAGATTACGATCCCTCAAAATGCTGCCAAGAACAACTGTCAGTGTATCGAATGACGCGAAAAGGCCTAGATGCTGATGTTGAGCCAACTCAGGGGCACTTGAATTAGTTTCCCCTGTCTTCAGCCTCGAGTCTCAGTGGCTCTCCGATGCAGATAACATCTTTTCTGTTGTCCAGAAGCACTCGACTATTCAGATGCTCCCCCAGTGCAGCACTCACGTACACGTCAGCCAGGCGGACCAGGAGTTCTCTTCATTCCAACTGGCCTCTTTGGGCAAGGCAATCTTAACATATGAGCCCTGCTTCGATGCCCTCGTCCCGAAAGACAGAGCTTCCGCCTACTGGTGCCAAAGTAACCGCCGGAACCCGGTGCTCTCTCGGTGCCAGACCCTTGAAGACTGTCTCGATATCCTTGACGTGGCAGCTCAGAGAGGTACGACCGCCGTCGTGGAAGCAATGTGCCTCTTCCCGGCATCCAGTGCGTATGGAAGAGCACACGGAAGGAAGAGAGATTTTGTTCACGGCAAAGTCTACAAGTGGAACTTCGCCCGCTTGCTAGGGCACGATAGCAGCCGCACAATTGAGTTTCGGCAGCCTTCAGGCAGTACTTGTATGGAAGATGCGATTGGCTGGGTTCTGTTGACACTGACGTTTGTCGCTGGCGCAACTGGAGGCGGGAACTGTATCGGTTCATTGGAGAGTGGCGGTGATGACCGGTCGGAGTTTTGGCAGCTCTTGTGCTATGGTGCTGGGGTTCTAGGGCTTGATCCCTTTCTACTTGATCTCTTGAGCGGACTCATTGGTCGTGCTGCGACTTGATCGAGTGTATGCCGCCGACCAAGTGAGAGCTCGCGCCGTCAGGTCATCCTCTTAAATTGACTTCATCCACCTCTCATTACATCGCGTGTTGTTGTTTGAAATGATAGACAGTATCTCAAATGGTTCAGCCACTTCATCTCCAGACAGGTCCAAAGGCTGGTGTCATAATGAGAGTCTCATGTTGCCCAATGAAAGTGGCTTTGGTCCCGGGATTCCGGCAGCCACTTCCGGCCCGGAAGAGTACCCTCCGGGAGAGCACCCCTTCAAGCACGTATACCGTTCAACGTAATCTCTTTTAGGCTCTACTCTAATATTGGTTCCGGGCATCAATTGAATTGCAACCTCACGGTCTGCAGTTAATATATCCGGGACGCCGTTCCCACGACAAGTTTGGTCGATTGTACACTTTCCAACGCCGCCCATAGACGACGTTGTACCGGAGTTCTCGTCGCAGGAAAATCATAGATCATCAGGAGAGGAGCAGCCAGTTCCGTCCGTCTCGTTCAGCTGATAGGCTTTCCGAGATTGAATGCAACGTGAGCAGAGATCTCGTTGGTCCCTCACAAGTATATAATCGTTCAAACTTGGCATCCACTTCATTCGTTCGCCAAGCTGTCAACTTATCTTATTACAACCTCCACAAACAACGTTCGTATCCCAGTGAAACTTTCGAGATGAGCATACTACGATTCTTGGCCACCGGGCTATCAGCGGCCTTGTTCGTGAGTCCTGTGATAGCACAGACTACAGCGCCAGCTTGGGGACAATGTAGGTCATGATAGTTCCGCCACACCTGGTAATGCTGGAGTCAGTATCTAACGCGATTGCAGGTGGCGGCAATGGTTGGACTGGTGCCACAAGTTGTGCCAGCGGCTATACCTGTTCGATTCTGAAGTAAGGTTCTCATTCTATCTCCTCAAGCCATCCGCTGACCATTGGAATAGCCCCTACTACTCACAGTGCATCCCAGGATCCAGTACGCCCACAACCGCTTCCAGCAGACCTACCTCAACCTCAACCACCCCCATCGCAACGGCCACCAACACTCGCACAACTTCTCGCGCAACCACCACCCTTGTGACTGTGACCACCACGGCTACAGTTGGCGGCGACTCCGTACCTACAACTCTTGTCTCTGGATGGTACTGGATCCGTGCCGTGGCCTCGCCCAACTTCCACAGCTACCTCCAGGCCAAGCCCACTGGCACGCCCAGCAAAGCCTACCTCGATTCACCCAGCAGTGCAGGTCAGTTCAAAGTTGAGGATGGTCAGCTGGTCCACCTGACTGGGTCATCACCGCTTTACCTCAATGTCGAGAACCCGACAGACAAGACACAGAGAAAGCTGGAGACGTGGTTTAGTACAAGCAAGGGCACATATGGAACTTTTGCTTTCCAGGGTGATACGCTTACATGGAGTACCCCGGATATCAACAGGCCCAACGTGGCTGCATGGCTTGTCTGCGAGAATCAAGAAGTGTTTGTCAACACGGGGGCATATCTGTATCAGACGCCCACTGGCTGTTTTGATCAGACTGTGAGTGAAACTTGACTTTGGCCAGATAATCCTGCGAAACTAACCAGAACTAGATACACTCCTACGGAGGTTCGACCGCAGACCTCTAGTATTACCAAGGCATGTTTCCTTGACATCAAGCCTGCAACCCAAACACATTATTCTCTCTGTACTACTTCAAAAACATAAGCCACGATTACTCCATGCTCTCTCCCATCTCCCTCTTCCCCCCAGGATTATTCATCACCATGGTCGTATCCAAAGTGAATTTATGCGGTCCGATATAGCTCTGTGACGTGCTCCCATCTGCGAGTGTCGTGTCCTTGAAGTACGACTCGTCGAGGTGTATCCCGCCTAGCGACGAAGCATGACTGGTGAAAGCCCACCAGACACTGAATTGCATCCCCGTCCCCATCGGCTCCAGACTCCACGTTATGGAGTTGATGTCAGTGCAGACCATCTTGTCGACCGTTGGTACTTTGGGGCCAGTATCCGTGTTAATGGTGCAGTTGGCGAAGTCGGCGCCAGGGGTTGGCTGGACCGAGAATATGACACTGTTTCGGATCATGTCAGCATTGTGTTTGCAACTGTGTACCCGACGATGTCTCTTAGTCTAGCTTACAAGTTTCTTCTGTTTGGTGGAAGGCTTCCCGCGAAGAATCTGTCGACTTTGAAGACTGCTGCGCGTGCGGCGTGCTCGCTCGGTGGAGTAGAAGGGGCACCAAGTACCACATGGCAGAGGAGAGCCAGACTTGCAAGATACCGCATGTTGTAGAGTATGATGTTGAGGAGTATGTCAATGATACTGTCGATTGTTGGTTCTTGTTGTTTGGGAATTTTTGTAGATGAAGCGACGCATCTTCTTCATTTATGTCGAAGACGCTCGGCCTCGCGCCCCTTGCCTCGAGAATCTAAGCAACATTCGACAACCACGATAACTTGAAAGGATTGCCCGAATATTCAACCGTTTCTGGATACTCAAAGGAGGATTCCAAGGAGATTCCCTCCGTCTCGTGCCCGGAATCCAATATTGCACCTGGAATAAACACTTCCATGTGACGAACGGGTCCTACCAAAAGAAGCAAACATCAACCATCTTGCGTTATACGAGTGATTCCAAGGCTTTGTGTAACAAAGCATACGACTTTTGATTCCTACCAATCGGCTCCTCATCCATGTGGCGCCTGAGCCATGCAAGGTTCTTCAAATCCGAGTGTAGCAGCAAATTGAACACGCAAAAAGTCATCCATCATGAACAAACAAAGTTGGTATCCCATTAACTTTTGACTAACCATCCGTCTAAACGCTAATCGTACGGAAAACACTGAACTCGTCACCAGTTGCCATCAAGGCACCAGTGATCTGGGGGTGCCAGTGGAGCTCCTTGACGTTGGACAGGTAGTGGACGAACAACAGTTGAGGCGGCACGTCCTTGACGCCGCCAGTGTCCTTGCTCTCTTCGTCGTCCAGCTCGACTGCCAAGTCCCACAGGGTAACAGTGTTGTCGCCCGCCGCAACTGCGATGATACTGTCGTCCGTGGGGTGCCACTCGATACTCGTGACCTGCTCCTTGTGGTAGTTGAAGCTGGCAATCGGCGAGGGCTTGTCGGCCGCCGAAGTAGAGCTCTGCTTCCACTGGCGCAGGTCCCAGACGGCGAATTCACCATCGTCCGCGCCCGAGGCGAGCAGATGCGTTGTGAGAGGCGACCACGACATGACGTTGACATCGTGGTTGCTGACCTGCATTGAAAGTGCAGGCTTTCTGCTCTTGCTGCGGACGTCCCAGACGCGGATTGTGCCGTCGCTCGAGGCGGACGAGAAGACGGACTGCTCTGAGGGACTCCATTGGATTTCCTCGACGCTGCTGGTGTGACCCTGGAATGGCCTAGTGTCAGTGACGAAACCGCCGCCGTCGGTGCGTGTTGTGACGTAGATGAGGCCATCATTGTCACCAGTGAGGAGCTTTCCACTGGGGACAAGGGGGGACCAGTCAAGAGCATAGCCCTCGGCCTTGTGGGCGCGGATCGTCGACACTGGCTTGTTTTGCTGCGCGGAGATGACTGTGCCCGGGTTATCGAAGGAGTAGATGTGAGGAGTAATATCGTGGATAAAGATGTTGGATGACTCGGTCATTGTGGCTGTGAGGGTGGTGGGGGGTCTGGAAGCGTCCTGGGAGGGGATCTGGTGGGCGCGGATTCGGTTCGTGGTCGAGTTCAGGGGGATCGCCTTGTGCTCAAGGATGGGCTCGGCGTCCTCGTCACCATCTTCGTCGTCGTCGTCAGAGTCCTCGTCGTCCTTCTCCGTACGGCTCAGACCGCTGAACTTCATGACCATCAGCTGGTTCTCGCCAGCCCGGGCGTTCTCTGCTTGTGTACCAGCCACGGTGTACATGGTGGCGGGGTAGACCTTGCGGTTATCGCCAAGGCTGTCGCGGAGGATATCGAAAGACAGACAGGGCCACGGTGAGCTCAAGTTGTGCAGCATCTCGTAGGTAGACACGTCGGGCGCAAGTGTCTGGCCAGCTTCAAGCTTGTTTCGTCCGACGATGAAAGTGCCTTGGTCAACAGCAGCTATACCAGTCAGCTAAGATCTGAGTCACAAGAGTGTTGCGATCATACCTTCCCTCTCCTCGGCCTCCCTCTCTGCGTCAGGCCGTCCATCAACACCGGCCTCCATGATTTCGTCCTCCTCGAACTCATCCTCGAATTCGTCCTCGAACTCGCCCATGTCGGGGGCCTTCTCGTCAATCTCCATACCCTCAGGGCGGTCACCACCCTTGAGGGGGGCGTCCCCCATCTCGACGTCTGCTGAGCGTTTCGACATGATTTTGTTGTTGGTGAACAAATTGGAATTGACAGTCAGGATTCTCTGCTCCTCGAAGCCTGTGACTTACGAAAATGCTAGTGCTGCAGAAAAAAAAATCAAGGCCCCGCGATTTGTGGCGGCAACGGTACCCCGCGTGGCGCTGTTTATGAATTGAACGGTCGCAGGGGTCCGTTTAAGTGTGGCTTGACTTGGAGACTACAGCACGTGATCTCGTATGTGCGTCGCGTCACCCGTCATTCCACAGCTTCTAGGCGCATCCCCGTCACGTCGGTGTTGATTGCCCCGCCATGTCTGATGAGACCTTGAACACCAGAGCATTTTAGGCTTGATTGTTGCTCCTTCTCTCGCCTGGCGAGCTACGCCTGCGTGTTCCCACTCGACAATGCCGTCTAGAGGATCGCCGGCATCATGGCGCCGCAGCAGAACACCTTCGCCGTCATTCCAGACGCCCCCGGGCGCGTCGGTGGCCCTGCGAACCGGCCGCCGATGACGTCGAAGCAGGCCCAGAAACTATACAAGCAGGCAAACAAGGAACCGAAACGATCCAAGGCCGAGCAACGGAAGTGGGAGAAGGAAAAACAAGAGGAGATTCGCAAGGAGCTGGAAAAGGAACGTGCCGCCGTCAAGGCCAAGGCAGCGAGAGATCGAAAAAAGGCCAAGGAAGAGGAGGCCCGAGAGAACAGGCGAAGGGCCGGGCAGCCTTTATTCGATTGTCGACCAAGTCAAGACACGATTGCGCGTTTCGTACGAGGGAACGGTACACACAAGAAGAGAGATTCGTCTGGGGAACCTATACCAAAACCCGAGATTACACCTGCTATATTGGCCGATATCAAGCCGAACACCTTGGCGTCAACCGCAGCTTCCAAACCTCCCCTTCCAACTGAGTCAACAGAAGAGCGGAAACCCTCAATTAACTCCATGGCACCACCACCTTGTCCTTCACAGATACCAAAGTCGGCCATGCCACCTCCTCAGGGCACGTCTACATGTGAAAGACCACCTGCGGCTGAGAGTGTGGCACCAAAGCCAATTGACAAAGACGCTCTATCACGACAGCCACCAACCTTACCTCCCACCCTCAAGCCGCTATTCTCGGTGCCAGAAAAGACTCCAGCAGTAACGACTCCCGTGAGACCTCCTTCACGACCTGCTGCAAAGTCCAAACCAAGGCCCTTCATGATGCCCAAAGCGACATTACCAACCCATCAGCCACCTCGGCACAAGATCTTCAAGCAAAACCCCTCTATCCAGCCTTCTGTTCGTATCAAAACAGAGGTCCCGCCGCCAAAAGAGTTGCCATCAGCAAGTTCTGCACCGCAAACGTCATTACCAGCGATGCCTCCACCCCCAGTACCATCACAGACGCCTAAAGTTGAGGCTGTAGCAGACAAACCCCCGACGAACGTGGCCATACCAGCAATCGCACCGTCACCAGTGGTTATATCAAACCAGATGCCACCGCCACCAAGGCCATTGCCAGCGATGCCTCCATTTCCAGTTATATCACGGAAATCCAAAGTCGAAGCCGCAACAGAAAAGGCCCTGACGAATATGGCCATCCCATCAATTGCACCATCGCCAGTTGCACCATCAATACAGATGCCACCACCACCACCGCCACCAAGGCCATTGCCGCAGATGCCTCCACCCAGCACACAAACAATTGTTCAAGATTGCTTTGACGACTTCTTTCCAACAGCTTCACAACTTGCTGTAGAGCTTGAGGAGGATTCTGATTCAGTGCAAACTACACTAACGTTACGATCCGGCACTTCCATGCCAAACCAGGCTCCTACTCAGGGGCCTACCCAACCTTTCAGCCGGCCCAAGGAGGCAAGGGACTTGGCGCATGAAAGAATATTACCACCAGCAAAGACCAGCCTCCCGGTCGTACAAAAATCTGAAAATACAAAGAGTTCACGGCATATCCAGCTAGCCAAGACAGAGGCACAGGTCCGTGTCAGTCAAGCACCAAACTTTATCAAGGACAAGCCACAGAACCGACATGGATTGGCTCAAGGGGAACAAATGTCAGAACCACAGAGGAATCAAAACACAATGCCTCAAGGGGCTTTCGGCCCAAAACTGGTCGCAAATAGATCGACTTCAGCAACATACAACACGCCTCCAGCCAAGCGACATGATGCTCCACCACTTCCTGTACCTAGCCGGCTCGCAAAGCGTGGCATCCTTCAAGAACTTAGCAGCAACCACCCACCAGCACCAAAACCCGCAGCTGCAAAAGCTATGCCTCTTTTTGACGACTTCTTTCCCTTGATATGCACTCAGGACCTGATGATGTCGTCTCAGGAGGTGCTGGATATAGAGTCCCCGGCCAAGGCCATGACGCAGTCATCGTCGGGAGGATCGGCAGTAAACCCTGCCTCACCACTCATAGAGATGGATTTGGGTTCTATAGATTGGGATGATGACTTGGATGATTTTTGACTTGATGCATGCATACACGAGAGGGGCGAATCAAACAGACGCCATGATAAGACCCGAGCATCACAGCGCGTGAACGTTTAGCATTAGGAGGGCACTTCTGGAATCCTTATACCCACTAGACAGAAACACGAGCATGTCGGTTTCTCCATTCGCAATAGACTTTTTCTCTTTTCAATAGTAGAAGTACCAAACTTAAGAGAGAGTCTCACGATGATGGATGGGAGCGACTGAAAATTATTCACGAGAGGACTCTGTACAGGGGATTGGTCTGCGCTCCCCTGCCGCTCAAAATATGTGCGCGTGACCTTGATCATGTACAGCGAGTGCCGCTATAAGGTAAACCATCCGCTGAGAGACCTTGTCCCTCTCACTGGACTCCTCAAATATCAAGCCCTTCAATTGAAGGGAGAAAGTAACCCTATACCGTGACCATGGGAATCTCTGACCGATCATGCGATGCCGTTCCAACCCCAAACGCCAACCTAATGCCACCCATTTAACCGGATGACGCCAATTCTCATTCATGTCTCTTTGGAAGACCACTCTGCCTGACTTTACGCCGTAGCTCAAAGGTAGATTCCGACCCAGGCCGTCTTGTTTGTAGCCTGCGTTTCGCAACCATCAACCGCACAGATGAGTTTGCTATCGTCATCGCGCCCAAATCCAGTATTTGGGCGTTTAGCTATTGGCTTGCGGTTCTCGTAGCAGTCTTCACAGTAAACCTAGCACAGTATTAGTAAAGTGAGTGGAATGCGACAGGTCTTGATTCTTACATGTCCGCATCCCTTCAGGGCCCAGAAGTGATGCTCGCTGCGTTGCCGTTTGTTACCCTTGCGCGCAGGTTGCTTCGCGTTCATAGGCACGTCAGGGTCATAAGCCAGCTCCTCGTTGCATGCGGGGCATATCACGACCAAATCAGAGGCGGTGTCCCTTGTGTATCCGGGTCTAGGGGGAGGCGGAGCTTGGTGGACTGGCTTGGGTGATTCGGCGCGTTGATCAAAAGCACCGTGCTCGTACTGGAGTTGAATATTTCCAAGGGGGTTGTTCAGGTCTCCTCCTTGATTGATGCGGTTGTGCAGCATGCCGAGCAATTGTACCTCGTTGTCAGGAGCACCAGGAAGGAAGCTGAAAGGATACAGCGAACGCCTTATTCCGGCTGTTAGCCCACTGAATGCACCACTTGGGTTCAACGTGAATCCGACCGATTGTCGACTGCGATCGCGCTGACGAGGGGGGGGCGGAGGCGGTGCACGTCGTCGCGGAACTTCTGGGGAGTCGTCCGTAAGGTCGATGACGGGTGGTGCAATGCCGGCGAGGATACTACTATCGCTGCGCGCGAAAGACGGCGGGTTCCTGCCTTGGGAGTGTTGCCTTCTGGGGTTCGTCGGAGGTCGAGGCGCGTGTCTCTGGACAGGGCTGTCGGGTTCGTTGGTCAAATCGATGACATCCGCAGGGCCATTTTGGTTGTTTTGAGGTCTTCTCTCATTTCTTCCCTGTTCGACATACAACTCCAGGTCCACAAGGACATCGCCCGAGCCATTATGACGAGCCGCACCGCCTCCATAGTGGCCTCGCATGCCTTCTCCTCTGGCGCCTGGGGGTGGCATCCTTTGTCCACGAAGATCTGGCAACTGATCCATTTCGGCGAGAAGCGCAAGCTCAAGTTCGTCTGCGAGGTCGGGAGAGAAAGGATCCGAGTCATTAAATAGCGGATCGTGGGGGTTGATCTCGAGTGACATTAAAGACTCTGAATCAGAGTCTGAAGGCTGTGTATTTGATGGTGAATCAGACTCGGGGTCCCAATCCACTTGAGCGTCGGCTTCGGAGTCGAATATGCTTGAACGGTGATCCACTACGTCGGAGGAGGATTCGGGAATGTAGCCTGGGTAGATGGGCTCGAGGTCGCTATCGTCGTAAAGTTCTTGATCAGGCGAGGGAGAAGGTGATATTGACGGTGAAAGCGGAATCGGAGAGAGCCGAACCGAAGAAGGCGACGTCGATGGAGAAGATGGTGGAGAAACTGAGCTCATATTACGTTTATCGAGCCAATATGGGTTGGCGCTGGAGTAATAATTAGCTTAAGTCCGGCAGCTCCTGTCAGCATGTGGCCACGCACAAACCGTCTTGTCCTCGGGTAGGCGTCTAGAGTGCGGGAGAAGAGTCGTAGTCGTAGTCGTGATTCAGGTCGGGTCGTGTCGGGAGACGTGAAGTAGAAGTAAATCTCCTACGACGGACACAAGGGTAAAGCGACCATCCCGTGGAAGCTGTTGGTGTGATCGAGAGGCGGAGGTAGGAAGAAAATCCGAGGGCGCTTCACAGCACAAGGAAGAGGCGAGGTCCTTGGACTTGCCCGTCGTGGTCGTGGTGTTGTTGGTGGCGGTTAAAGGTTAAGTGCGGGTCTAGGCCATTCAGCGGGAAGAGCGACGGATGGTTTGGTGCTTCAGCCTTAGATAAGCTGGGACACACGCACTGTGCAGGGGGCAAACACCGCCGATAAGGCAGGAACCCCTCTGGACTTTCAGGGTAAGGTGAGCCTGTTACCGTGGAGGTAACTGCAGTCTGCGGCGGAATATTTGCTAAGCGACGCTGCCCTGCATTCTCCATTGTCTCCATGCAATTGCAAGGTACCTTACGGATACACTGTCCCTAGATTGATTATGTCATAGTCCCGAAAAGGGTCAAGAAAGCGTTATGCACCTTCGCCTCAGCACACCCTAGATCACCGACTGCCTTGCCTCAACGTACCTCATGGCATCTTCAACAAGAGTCCGGCAAGCCATCCATTTGATAGATGGCGGCTAGCCTTGAAGATCGATCGTTTGCACTATTCCTCGCATGACCAGAGTTTTCATACCTTGTGAGCCCAGACATCGGATATCATTTTAGTTGAGACTCTCCTGTCCCCATTGCTTATAATACAAATCGCAGGACATAAATGTCTGCTTATTCCTGCTTGACTCCAAATACTGAAACGACGCCCTCCTCGTTGACCGAAACCAACTGCTTGGCCCCAGCACCCCACTGGACCGACAATGCAGCCACCGACGTTCTGAGGGGCTCTGACCATTTCTTGGAGCTCTTGGTGTACTGTTGGACAGTAATGCCGCCGGCACCCGCAGTAGCCAGGAACTGTCCGCTGTAATCCCAGGCCAGTGACTGCACGGGTCCGCCGGTCTCTAGTGTCTTGACCTTCGCAGCCTCTCCCTCCTTGCGCAGATCAAATATGGTGACTGAGCTTTGACCCTTGGCTGTCGCCGCAAGCCAGAAGCCGTTTTCTGAGAAAGTCAGAGCCTCGACAGGGGCTCCAAGGTCGAACGCAGCCGCAACCTCCAGCGTCGTTGTCATGAAGAGCTTAATCTCGCCTGTAACGGTTCCAGCTGCGAAGAGGTGTCCATCGGGGTGGAAAGCAGAGGATGTCAGGGCTGCGCAGGTTAGCAAGTGTGTTGGGAGTACTACGATGCGTTGTTGACTTACCAGCGTCGGCGTAGACACGGCTAATCTTCCTGAGAGTGTTGAGATCGTACAAGACAATGCTCTTGTCAGAACCAACGGATGCGAGCAGATCGCCGGTAGGGTGAAGGCTCAAGGATGTCGCAGGGCCTGCGTGTTCGGAGATTGACGCAACTTCGCTACCGCTCTCGAAGACCTTCACCGATCCCTTGCTTGTAGCAAAGATGAGCTTGCTCCCAGTCCACACAGAGTCGATAACCGGCTCGTTGACCGCGACTTGGCGCTCGACCTGGTCTGCCTCAACAGAGTATATCGCAGCATCTCCTCCACGACCACTGATGGCAGCATAGCTTCCTTCGGTTGCAAGAGAAGAGACGTTCGAAACCGGTGTTGAAGTGGATGCCATAGTGGCCAATGAGGCAACGTCATCGGATGTGGCCCAGCCGTCGGGGACCGGACGCTTCTTGCGGCTCTTGGAGAGTCTGTGACTTGTTAGTAAACCATTCTAGAGTTGCCCAATCCTGTGCCTGCTGAAGACTGACTCTTGATGCTTTGCGTTGACCTTCTCAACCCATTCCTCCGGGAGACCTTCGGCCGAATCAATGGCCATCGCATCCCCATTTGTCGCTCCAGCGCTGACGCTGACCTTGGAAAGCGCCTCTCTGGCCTCGTCCCGCTCCTTTGACAGACGCGCAATCACTCTGACTGCGGCATCGTGCTGATACAAAGCTGTGGCAAGCTCCTCCCGTGTCCTCGCGAGTTGTTCTTTCAGGTTAAAAGTCTCGAGAACAATTGCATCCCACTCGTTCTGGAATGTCGCAAGCAAGGCCGGAATCGAAGTGAGCGTCGGGGGTCGGGGTCGGACAACGTGGGACTGCGTCAAAGGAAGGAGGTCCTCGATCGTCAGGGCTTCGCCAGTAACAGGTTCCGTTCCATTCTCCTCAATGTACTTTTCGATCAATCGCTTCTCGAAGACGGTGCCTGGTCACAGTCAGCATTTTGGGGTTGACGCGAACAGGCGCAAAACACGCACCAGACTTCTTTGAGGCAACGGGCTCCCGAGGAGCTTCTCCAGAAACTGAGAAAGCAGTCAGCGATTGCGCAAGACATTCCCGAGTATTTCAACCTACTTGCGCACAGCATTGTCTCGAATGTCGCGATATGGGCCGTCTCAAAGTTGGTTCGCGTCGACTTTTCCCTTCCAAAACAAAACTTCAGCCTTGCTGCACCTGCAGTTCCAAGGCAATGTGGGTCTTGCTTCGTAGCTGGCAAGCACGAGCCACTCCATCACGTGTAGCTTCCAGCGGATTGCGGTACGGTACCAGGCAGGTGTCCTGTCATCGGCGCCTCCCGTCTTCCATTGACTTATCTTATCGCTATCTTATCTTCCATCGCAGCATGAAGTCACGCCGAGGTCTACTTCACCAAGCACCTTGCCTTAAATAGGTTGCAGAGGTACCCTTCGATAGCTGAGACTACGCTGGTATGAACGGTCACTCATTCGTTGCTTCATCATAAGTCAAACAACCAAGTGCGTTTTGCAGTTCAGCATGGCTTCCCTACCCGACGTCAATAGTCTCAACTCCCTCCCCGTGGAGCAACAGACCAAGATCTTGGATGCACTCTTCGAACCGAGCCCCGCGATCCACGCGATTCTCCTCCCGTTCATTTCTGCAACACAATTCCAGTCTTACGACGAATTTATCAATCAAGCTCAAAAGATCTTTGAGGCTTTAATGACCGACCCTACGCAAAAAGCACAGCTGCACTCAATCATCGGCTCACACCCACGCCTTGGGGCGAAGAAGGTTGAAAGTGCTCAGTCCGCCGCAGAGCAAGCCCAACTCCAGAGCGGAGATGCCACTGAACTGGCTGCGCTGAACGCCGAGTATGAGGCAAGGTTCCCAGGTCTTCGTTACGTTGTATTTGTCAACGGTAGAGGTCGGCCGGAAATAATGGAAAACATGCGTGCTCGTATCTCGCGTGGTGACTTGGCTCTCGAGGAGCTCGCCGCCGTACAGGCAAGTACACCATTGAATTTAGATCCTGTAGACATTCTTCTAATAAGATAGTAGGCCATGTGTGATATTGCCAAAGATCGTGCAGCTAAGCTTCTGGCCGCTTCGGGATGAACGGCTCAGACACAAATCAGAAGCACCTCTCGGGTCTAAATATCCGATTTGTTTCCTAGAAAACTATCCAAACCCCATCTAAGCCTATAGCACAACCCAAATCTAGCTTGCCTACATGAGAACATCGTCCAACACTATCTTCAACCTCATCACAACTTCGCATTCTCATCCAGCAGTCTCAAAAGTCTGCCGACACGCTCGGCCTCACGATAGCCGCTGACGACTGCGCCAGCCACGCTTCCACGATTCTCCATCTCAGTGTGCTCACCGGCAAATCCGAGTTTCCCATCCCAAACAGGTCTGCTCAGCTCCTTGAAGTCAAGTGGGCTTCGCTCACCATTTTCTGAAACAATTGACGGGGTAGTCGTGGCACCGCGGGAGAATTCGTCTGTCAACCAGTTGGTCAAGTTGGTCTCGACCGGCTCCGCAGGCTCAGATGATGGCTTGAAGCGAGAGACGAGGAATTTGTGGTAGGCAGTCGCAACTTCCTTTTGGTCGAAGCGGAGCAGTGCAGTAGCGGGCGTTTCGGAGAGGTACGTCAGCAAGGTCGGACTAGGGCCGGGGAGAGACGGGCCAGCGAAGTTGGCGCAGACGAGAGTCGATGCCTCAAAGATTTCGGCGGGGGTAGAGCTCTCCGTCACGGGCTTCGTAGATGTAGGCAAGAAAGTGTAGGATCCAGCCTTGTCGGCCTCGGGCCACCAAGCCGTCTGGTACTGAAGCAGAAGCTTCTCCAGAACACCGACGTGGGTGCCTTTGATTACCTCCTGTAGGCGCAGCGGCAGCGCAGGGTTGAAGGTGCTTTCGGGCAGAGTCTTCAGGGTACCGAGCGGGATGCTAGAAATGGCCGTCTTTGCCGTGAACTTGTTGCCATTGGCGTCAACAACTACAACTCCATCTTGGCTCTGTAAAATACTAGTGATCTTTGTGCTCAGCTTTACTTCGGTGCCCTTAGCCTTGGCGTCATCAAGAACCTGGTTGACCAAAGACTCATAGCCTCCCTCAGGGGCGGCGTCAGAACCGCCAAACGCGGTGGTAGTCTCCCAGCCGGCCCACTTCAGAGAAGCTTTCTCGAGCTTGAGTCCCAGAGGAATCTCGAGGGAGCGGGCAAGGGCAGCTGCCAGCTCGTTTTGGGAAGAACCCGATGCGGAAGCTGAGAAAAGAGTTGAGTTCTCAGCTAGAAGGGCGGACGCGAGCGAGGTTGATGGGGAGGGAGCTGGGTGAGGAAGCTTCAAAGACGCTTGAGCTGTACCAAGGGATGCGCGGAGGTTGTCTGCATCGGAGCTCGAGAGACGGCCTAGTCTTGATCAATACAAACGTTGTGGTATATGGGTAAGAGTCTCACGCACCAGTTGGACCGTAAATCACACCCTCGGCAGCCTTGGGCAGGTGAGCGGCCTAATTGATCTCATTAGCTTGTCACCTCTTTCACCCAATATTTTCCATGTCAAACTCACAACGCCGAAGTCTTGGGCAATATATCTCGCAGGATTTCCTTCTTTGTAGCCGTGAATCCAGCTACATCCAACATCAATCTTGGCATCTCTCTTCACCCACGTACTCGCGCGTCCTCCGGTTCTGTCTCTAGCCTCAAGCACCAATACTTTGCGGCCCTTGTTGGCAAGTTCCCGGGCGGCAACGGCGCCAGACCAGCCGGCCCCGATCATGATTGTGTCCAAAACTTGATTGCTCATCGTTACAATATTGCGTCTAAACATATGTCTGAAGTTGAACGTTGAACAAAATACTGGACAATAGTCCTGACGATGTCGTGCTTCAGCTGCCCTGGTTAAATCGCCCCGCCCCCAGTGTCCCCGCCGTCCCCCCAGGCCCAACGTCACGGCGGGGCCCGGGAAGATGTCCGACCGGGCCGACCATCGGAACTGGTGGGGGGGTCATGGTCCCTCGACTGTGATTCTCACCCTCAGCTACACCCCGCTGCCAATACAAAAGCCCTCGATACGAAGAATCCCTCGATACGACTCACGTCTTTCAGCCAGATTCCAAGGTGAGTTCGTTTGAGTCTCTGGGCTTTCGGGATGTCTAAATTCCGGGCGGAACTTGAGACGGAATTGAAGACAGCTTGAAGCATAAGCTTTCCTGTGGGCAAGTATTGCCTTTGAACGAGTCTTTTTTCTTCTTATTTACTTTCTTCTATACCAGAGCTGCGGCTCAATCTCTCCGTCTGCTTCATAGCGCCATCGTCAATCGAGCATAATGCCCGGATCTTCTCTTCTCTTGTCAAGCCAACAATGGCAGTGAGTAACCTGCTTACGGCGCTCATTTCGCATGTCCTTGGACAGAGCCAGTTGACCACCCTGCGACTTCAAAGCCTGGTCCAGTAGACCCTCCTTGGATGTCGTCCACACGTTGATTAACCCAGTCTGGTTTCGATGCCTTTTGTCTACCTCGGCGGGCTCCTTGGGGTTTCTGATACCCTCCTTGCTTTTGTTTTAAACTTGGTAACACCCAAGCTGATTTTCCCTCACCCGTTATCCAACAGCGCTATCTGCCACCGACCCAGGAAATGCCATCCAATTCATCGAGATATTCCTCGTAAGAATTGCCATCGTCCTCGGTCTCGCCAGTCTGTTCCGATCCTCCGAAAATGGCTCCAAAGTCAGAATACACATCTTCCAGATCGTCGTCATCGGCCCATGCGTAGGAACACTCGTGAGTTGATGTGGGAAACGCCAAAAGTCCGTCATCCTCCATCTCATCCAGCATTGTGCTTGAAGGAGCTAGGACCGGTGACCGGGTTGGGTTCAACCTCGGCGATACAGGTTGTATTCGGGTCGATTGAGGCGTCCACGGAGGCGATGGTTTTCTCTGTGCCTGGACGGATAGGGAACCAGTTGGATGAGGAGTACCTGGCGAGATCCCCGGTCGCATCAAAATAACTCTAGCTGGTGGTGGTTGCTGTCGGTGTTCTGGGTGTGCGGGCGATTGTGCAACAAACCTAGCTCCCGTGGCTAGCTGCTGGCCGTGGTGAAGCACGGCTGCGTTCGCGGCTGTGACGGCGACACCGATATCACCACGCTGCGTCGCCTCATTCCGAACTCGAAGCCGAATTCTATTGAGTACCGCCGCTCTCAACATGATGGAGCTCTCTCGAAGCAGGCCCTGTTTTCCGACCTCGGGCGACGTGGCCACAGCAGCCAGCTTCACGAAACGCTTGTCGCCCAAAGGACTAGCTTCACGGTTGATGATGTGTGTTGCGGGTAAGGAGTAGGGCTGAGAGAGTCTACTTGTTATGAGATGAAGTCTCAAGCGACGCTTTTTGCAACTCAGCCCGGCTGTATATGGGCCGTCAACATCGGACTCGGCTCTGCAGCGCTTCACTCTTTTGGATGATGGCGGTTGACTCGAGAAAACGAAGTTTGGTTTTTCCTCCTGGCTGGTGATGAAGACGAAAGATGGTACCATCGGTGGAGTGGTCGGTGAAGGGGTGGTTGTGTTTGTCTGGGCAGTCCCAGTGGGTGTTGTTGCAGATGTTTTTGGCTCATGCTCCGGGCCATGATCATTCGTGGTAACCAAGGTACGTCTGAAAATTGTAGCTGAAGGGCAGTTGGCATGATGCTTGGCACATTCTCTCAGAGCCTGTGGTGAGAAGAGGTGAGAATCGATGTTGATACCGCCGTCGTCTTCGCAAGCTGAACTCCCGAGGCGCCACGTCTTGAAAGGTTCCAACGCATTGCGGTTCAAAGAACCGACTTCAACCACCATTGTTATCTTGTTGTCTCTGGTGATACCTCTCGCTCGAATGGGAGAAGGGGATCACTCGCTTCTTCCGGGTAATTGAGTTGCGTTGACAGGAAACGATGCTCAGAGAGCCGGTTCATATCCCACGGCCACTCCCACGCCCGATCTAACTACCGTCCGCTGCCAACATGGAGGCCAGGTGACCCTACAGAAGATTAACAAAGTCCGTCGAAAGGTTAAAGCGGCACAAGAAAAGAATGACAGATTGAAGTGGAGTAACCAAGGAAGATGACGAGAAAAGACCCTTACGCTAAGTGCGAGCGACCTTCCTAGCAGGATGCGTGACTGAGAGTGGGGAGAGCGGGAAAGGCGAAAAGGTTGATGCCGTCCGCAGCTGCAAGACAAGCACAAGACCCCGTCTTCTATTTATTGCTCTATCTACTCTCCGTGCTCCGTACACGTTTACCGTCAGACGGGTTCTCAGGTAAATGCATAGAAAGCGGGGAGAGGCACAGAGCGAGAAGGGAGATCAGCACAAACCGACGGGGCGGAACCGCCCATTCAAACATTGAACGTGACCAGTTCGTGTTCCACCCCCCTTCTCCTCTCTTTTTGAGAGCCCGGGAGCTGTGCTACCCATTGACAGGACGGGCTAAGAAAAACAAAAATTCGTGGTTGACTGATGTGTGGGCGTGTGAGGGAGAGGCGGCAGGGGTCGCGGAGGTAGGAATGGGCAGAGACCTGGGGAAAGCTGGCAAGGGGCGAATGAGATGGTCGGGATGCGCCGGTCACCCCCGGTCCTGCACCGACCCCGGTCTGGGGTCGAGGGGGGGGAGATGCGAGTGACATGGGCAGGAAATTTGGGGCGTTTTCAGCCTTCAGGCAATGGACGGACATGCGTTGGGTACGGATTAGAGGTTGTATCTATTCGAGTGAAGTACGCATGCTGTGTAGCCTGGTATACAGCAGGCCAAAGAAGCAGATACTCATGGTTCTTCCGTGGCTTTATTACATCCGTGTTTGAAGCGCGTCAAGGTTTACCGCAACCAGGTATTCTAGGCCCTTAGACTATGCTCATACTATCAAGAATGGTTCAGGAATCGAGCTGCTATTTACACACTTGTTATGCATTAGAAAAGCAATGCCGACCTGTGACTAAAGGTCAGGTCCGTACGGATAGATACTACTGTAGACAGGGAGGTAGAGACATGTTTTCCTGCACCCCGGACCGGGTGGTTTTGTCCGGCCAGAGGCGATGTGACAAGCCGCATAAGAGAACACCTAGGCCACTTTCTTCACCGACTGGTTTGCTGACCTCTTCCCCATTTGCCTATCGAACGGACGCTCGGAAGCTGGGCAAAGACATGCGTCGACAGAAGAAGCTGGGAATTGTGGCAGGATCTCACCCAAGGTTCCAAGACAAGATGTGGGCTGTGTTTCTGCACACATATCCAGCTACCGTAGTCCAGGTGCTTACCAACAAAAGTCTTCGCCACTCGGCAAGCTTTTGGCTGTTTTCCTCACATTCCAGTGCGTCTGAGTGATTACTATCCAAGTTTGTTTGGTTGGATATCTCCGATGTTGCAAGCAAGTGCAATTTCTGAATTTCCGGTCATGTTTCATGGACCTGGCACTAAGAGTCAACGTTTCTTTTTCCCGCGCAAGTGGCTTGGGTCATCCGCTCTGCTGGATTTTCATCGCCGCTTTGATCACACTTGCGATATCGCAGCACTCAAATGTGATGTTAGCTCGAGGGCCTCATTCTTCATTTGTACTGCTGTCGAATTGAGCCCATACCCTTGGGTTGCCAGATTCGTCATAGGTCGTCAGGCACTTTTGCGAGGGTTGAGTCTCTGGTGATAGGTCTGCAGTACCCGTGCTCGATGTATTAACCAGCATGTCAGTAGAAAATACCTCGAGACGGATGATCTGCTCTTTTGCCTCCCCGTCAAAAACATCGGTCTCCTTGCTCCCCTCCCTGTTGCTTCTTGAGTACCGAGAGCCTCGAACGGCCAAAGCGACACGGGATGCAATACCACAAAAGGAGCAGCCAAGCACAATCCCGATGTGACGCCAGCAAACTCCCATTTGTTACCACACTTTGCGGGGAAACCAGCCTCGTCCAACCATCCCCCAGGTTTTGGTCCTCCTATTTTGTGCGTGCGTTTACGCCTGTTGTCAATCACCACGGGGTGCATAATGCAGCGCTCGCCGCTGCGTATCCAACGAGAATTGTTCCGAGACCGCTCATCGGCTGCCAGCACAGCTGAGAAAGGGGGCGAGGCGAGACCTCGAATGCAGGATGCCAGGAATGGCATCGTACGGTAATGCGTATCCTTCCCCCGCCCTAAGCCTGCTCAGTCGCGGATGGCTGCTGTTCGTTTGCTTGCAAAGTTGGTGGCACTAGGCCGCTAAGTTCGAAATGGGAGGGTCACGCGTGGTCCAGAATATTTATTTGCTGAGAGCGATTTTGAGCTAAAGTAATGTACCGTAGCCTAGGTAGGCGAGGGAGTATTTGTTGGCCAATGAGCTTAGTGACAAATGAACATTTACAGGTTGGTGAGAGTAAGACTAGTAGTTGCGGCAAAGACATCAGAAGAGCCAGGGTATACACCCCATCTCGGGTTTCCCCATCTTGAAGACAGAAATCGATGGCATGGCTGTCAGCAAGAGGGTAACTTAAGTCCGAACATAGAGTTCTCTTATCACTAGGCAGTTGCTTCTTTACTCTCTTCCTAGATCAATCCTATCGCATCAACTCTCTCTCTGTCTTGCTTGCTTACCCTTCAAGGCTCGAATCGAATACCAAGACTTTGACATCCCAAAGTGAATAAATTCATCGCCTGGAGCGCCCGCAGGCTGCGACGTGTTGCATGACAATCCCAGTCTTTTTCGAGTCAGCAAGGCCCCAGACGGACTCAGTCCATTATTCAACTACCTTTCAGGGCCAAGCGGCCACAATTCCCATCACTTATCAAAATTTTCTGCTCACTCAGGGACACTGGGGCCAAAGCGGCGCCAAACTGCATGTGTAAGGTGACAAGGCAACCCGATCAGAAAATCAGCTGAAGTTCGTTCTCGGTCAGTTGGAAAGACAGGTCGCTGATGGCCCCAAGGGTCATCATGTCAGCGGAAGCTTGGGCAAACAGGTGGGACAGATCCATCATCCCGCAGGGTCTGAGAGGGTAGCAGCGGCTTTGACCTCTAGAGTCCAGGGTATGGTAGCAGCAGGGCCATTTCTTGTCAGCTGTGTGCAGCGCTGCAAGGTCGTCTTACATCAGCCACATGTTGTGAATTCCGCCCGCCGCTTGTACGCCGTCGTGTTCCGGTACAGAATCACCGGCAACCGTTGTTTTCATGTTGTATCCAGGCCGAGTAATTATGGGTATTCCCCGGAGACCAAAGCCGGTATCCCCACAAAGTGCCGCGGCGGTCCTTGGAATGAAGCGGTGGACTCGGCGTGGGAAACTAGCCGACCCCCTAAGAATCATCTGGGGGATTCCCCTCACATGGGGTGCCTCGGCTCCGCACCGTGATTCTCTGAAGTCTGCAGTCCTAGAGAAGGAAGAAGAGCAGCTCCGCACGGCCACGGCCCCCGCCACAAAGCTCCTCGTCCCGAGGTACAATCTCGTCCTGGTCTCAGAGGGTTGTTGGGGAAAGCTAAGCTGAACCCCGAAGCTTAACTTCAAACCAGACAATCCCTTCTCCAAGCTCCAACGTTTCGTCATTTTTGACAGGTAGAAATTATTTCAAAAGCCGCTTGAGGATCCCTCGTCATATTCCGCGATTTCGTCAATCTGCCCCGAGCAATATTACTTGTTTCCTTCTTGTTTCCGTTCAGTAACCCCGCCACTCGCTATGTCTAAACTCTTGTTTAACGATGTTATGGCCCTAGCCTTACTACCGACAACCCCAAATCATACGACATCGACAGGTGGCATCGTCAAGCGTTACATGAGTCTTTACCCAGCTTGGGTACCAGGATCTGAACTCGTTGGCGGCAAAGGCCGCGGGTCCAAGGCAGATCCTCGAGCTGCATATGGGGGCCATGTTTACTGTCAGGCACCGCTAGCTGCAAGCCGAGCTGTGAAAGAAGAGGAACCTGAAGGATCCGGGACGCAGTCCGGGGGGTTCGGGCTTCATGTGAGATTGGAAACCAATGCATTTAAGTGGAAGATGGACCCATCGCTAACACCACAGCAAGGCCATTCAAGGAGTTTTCTCAGCTGCCGCCAAGTCAGACAGGCCATTCATATATGAGGTCACCGTTCTCTCGACTAGCCGGACATTCTGCTCTCGCCTGGTGACTGTGCGCCAACCAAAGGAGACGAGCAAACGCGACCACTACGAAGACAGCTTCTTGCTTGAGGATGCTGAAGGGCCTTTGGGTGACATCTGTTTCAGTTGCATATGCACCTTCAAACGGCCAGAGGAAGCCCGAGTCGTTTCTCAGGAAGAGCCACCGCAAAAACGCTTCGCCGAAATCTTGTCAACCAAGTCGCCACAAGATTGGCCATTCGCACCGGCGGTTGACGTGGAAGAAATCAAAGCCATGTTTCCGGATGTCGGCCAGACAACGTTTCCCATTGTTGACATGCACAAAGTCGACTTGACGGCTTACAATGAAGGAAAGTCGGTCTCAGAGAGGAAGGAACTCCTCCTATATCGTCTCAAAGGCCCTCTCCCAGCGGACGATCCCAATTCTCATGTTGCTGTTCATGCATTCGAGTCCGATCGCAACGGGCTGTTGATGATATGCAACCACGTTGGTCTCGGATGGAGTCTGGGCACCGCAGCCAGCTTAACGTACAAGTTTGTTGTCCACGTCAATGTCGACCAAGCCGTGATGAAAGACGATGGCTGGTGGATTCAGGAGGCATCATTTCCTCGGACTGGCCAGGGGCGAGGGACATTGATCTGTAAGATGTGGAGTCCCGAGGGTGTACATGTCGCTACCGGGTATCAAGACGGCATACTTCGAGAGCGGAGAACAGAGGGGGATAAGATTAGTCAAAAGCTATAATGAGATGACAAGAACGTAGACTTATGAAGGGCTAAGTTAGAACAGTGTAAGTTTATATAGAGTTGATATAGATAAACAGAAATGAGATTCTAATAGGAGAAGATCAGGCTTTCATCCTACCCCTACACCCATGGCTCAGCTATTTTATACTCATCATAGACCATTTCACCTTATCTTATTATCTTCTTGCTTCTTATGGACCGCTTAAAGGAAGGATCGCTCTGGTTCGAATATTCCTATAGTGCCTTCCTTTCCCTATCTACAGATCGCTCAGAGTATGGATCGCACTTAGTGGTTTAAGGACGTTCTTACTATCTACCTATCTAAAGATCGATCAAAGGAAGGATCGCACTGGCTTGAAAACGTTCTTGCCATATCCTCTTTGCCTATTACCGTTTAAGACTTGTGTTATTGCCTACATAACCCCTTCGTGCTTACCCTCACTACTCGTAACTTCCGTGCTAACATCTTTTTTTCATTCTCACCTCCGTTCCTTCTCTCATAGCCTCTATCGGGCTCTCTAGAAAACCCACGCTACCTTTCCACTTCTTCTCTCATACACCACCAGAATATTCTAGCCCTGACACATCACACCAATTGCTTCTTCCTCTGCACACCACACTGGAGTCTTTCTCCTTTGACACTCCACGACAATCAACACTTCCCACTCACACTCAAGACCGGCAGTTCCATTGATGGCATTTACAACTCATTATTCTTTGACATTTCTGAGCATCTTCATGAGCCGGAGTGGTTTGGTATACATTCTTCACCTGGCATCTCATACCGTTCGCACCAACCTTTAACTCTCTGATACACAGATTGGATTTCCCTCTCACCACATCCCGACCATCTCTCAGTTATTTGAAGCTACCATCGTTCAACCAAGCACAGACATCTGGGTAAGCTACTTTTTCACAGCTAGAGACTGGTCTCAGCTGCTAACTAACATTCAGAAGACCGGATACGGAAGCCACGATGGACCCGACTTCACCCTCTTACGATGGTATACCAGTCAAGCGATCGCAGCTGCTGTCTTCCATCACAGAATTGAAACAAGGAATTCAAGCTGCTGAGGCTGATGCAGACCGTATTGAGACCAGAATCTCATACAAAGAGGACTGGATCACTGAGCTTAGATCTGAGCGCATTGCCTCTGATGAACCCACACCAGCGATCGACAAGGCCATCAAGAAGGCACAAGCACGCCGTGGAGTCATTAAAGAGACACTCTTTGCGAAGAAAGATGAGATTGCACGCCTTAGAAGCAAGCTGAAGAAAAAGGAGATAAAGCTTGCGGCGATCCCACAAGTTGAGTCATCCAATGCGCCCGACCCCAATGACAACGAAGATGCTGCAGCACTGCTCGAAGTCACAGGCACCCCAATGAATGCAATCTTCACAATCAGTGCAGACGGCAAGACCTATACCAATCCGCCCATGCTTCGGGGTGTCCCAGTTGCACCCATCAGCGAAATCGACGCGTACTGGAATCCCATGTGGAAAACGTTCGCAGAGGCAGTTAACGAAGAGAAGGTGGAGAGGGAATATCAAGAATACCTCTTGGCTAGACACCAGCGAATGCTCCAAGGACCTCTGCCAGCATCAGAGGATGACCCAGAGCAAGTCTTCAAGAAATACCAGCGCAGCTTGAGACAAGCCAAGGTCACTAAGCAGTGGTTCAACCCGGGACACACGATCCATCCAAACCAACTCATGGCAAAGGAGCACTTACCTGAGACGGGACTTTGCGACAACTATGTGCTCTACAAGATCTGCAATATCCTCAGCCGCATCAATGCCATGTATGAGCGCGGAGAGCTGGGAATGCCGCCTCTACACTTCCTCATGTGGAGAATGAGTGTCTCCCTGGAGCGCTATCCGCACGACCCCTGGAAATCATTCTGCCGCGTCATGGTTGACGAGAAGCACAGTGCTTACGACAGTATTCTTCGGCAAGCCGAGATCAGAGGTGCACAGCATGTTGGCGACTACAACTTCTACTTGGGTAGATGGAAGCAGGCATCTTCTTCCAGAGACCAGGCCCAGTCATCCGCCTTGGCCACGAGCAGATTCACCGCCCATTCTGCAGCAACTGCACAGCCTTCAGCGAGTTCCCATGGGTCCCTCTTCCGACAGCGGCAAGATCTGCCCGAGCCTATCTCGAATTTCGCTCCGATCCCAACTGGGGCATCGAGCTCTCTGGTGCAGATGCAGATGTTCTCTGCACAGAGAGACGGACAACGCGAGGGAGATGGACGCAAGACGCGCCATTCTGAAGAGGGATCTGAACAACAGACTTCTAATTACGACGGTAACCGCTTGCGCTCTGCCATGAAGCTGTGTCAGTCGCCCCTGCTCGTGGAGGAGCAGCTTGCCATTCGAGCCGGAGCATCTTCTGAGAATATGATCTCAGCCCATTCCTGGACCAGAGATGGCATGGATACCGAATCTCTTATAGACCTGGCAGCGAAGCCTGGAGACAAAACTCATTCTCAGACATCCGTGTTCGGGGCAGAAAACCTCCCAATGGGGGATGGACTCCAATGGGACAGCTTTGAGAAGAGCATGGTCATCGATGCTTCGGGAACCGAGGCCACGGCTCCAACTCCCGAGGACGCCGCCGCCGAAGACACAGTCTATAATCACGAATGGATTGACATGTTTGTCGGCTCGGAAGAAATCCGAAGGCAGATGCAGCCTACGAATATGGAGGCCATCAGAGCTTCAGTCGGAGAGAGTCCTTTCCCGAAGAATACTGGAAGAAGAGTCTCTCACGGATTCGTCTTCCCCTGGTACCGCAGCGAGGAGGCTCAGAAGTTTGACGAATTGGAATTCCCTTTCTAGATGCGACTGGGTTGGACATCTGTATGGGAGGAGACTATTGGTATGAGAGCCGGATGAAAGGACGATAGCCGTCTCAGGCAGGCAACCAAGATGTGACTGGGTTTCTGGAGACAACCCGTATCATAGGCTTTGGCCATCTGGGTAATGAGAATGAGAGGTGGAATTAGACGGTAACCGTCTCAGATAGGCATCGAAGAGTGACTGGGTTTCTGGAAAACAACCTCGTCATAGTCCTGGGCCATCTGATCAACGGAAATGGCTTGTGAGCAGCTTGAGTTCACATGATACTCTCTAATAGAACAACATCAAAAGTCATGCCATTCGCATCCTTTGTGAGCTGCATCTGAGAACGGCGCGGATGAAAGGGGATGAAGCTCTGTAATGCTCCAGCTCTCATTTGGTGATCTTTCCATCACGTGATCCTCCGTCGCTTACGATTCCGGTTATGGCAAGTACCTTGGCCAGTGCTCTCGCTCTGTAGGCTCTGACTGGTGGTTCCCCGTAGCTTACCCGACAGCCGCAACATCAAACCATCAAATCAGGCCATCGACAAATCCCTCTCTCTTCACCCAAACCCGACGTCACAACAACGAACCTCTCCTCTCTACCACCCCAATTGTCGTCGCCATGTTTTTGCAGCGCTCCGCCATTATGGCTGCCCGCCGGGCGGCCGTCGCTCCCCTCGCCAGACGCACCTTCGCGACCTCCATGATCCGCCGTACGAACCCCAATTGAAGGCCCCCCCCAAATCCCGAGAAAGAAAAAATAAGCCTTGGAGCGAAGCCATTCCGAAAGTTCCCTTATCGCTGACTCTACGGCCATCCGGGGCCACAAACAGGCGACGCCAACTCCTCTACCCCCGCCAAGCCCTACAAGACCATCACCGGTAAGGTCTATCGAGCCAATTGATTCGAAATTATCGTCGTTCCCGTCTCCCGGCGCGGTTCCCCGGAATGCCCAAATCCCGACCGCATCCCTTCGGGACCGCGTCGTACGATCGAAGCGACGCACCATTTTCGAACGACCTGAAGGAATAGAGCACGATGCTAATCATTTCAATTACAACGATACAGAGATCAAGAGCGAGGACGACCTCCACGGACCCGGTGCCAAGCCCGGCTCCATTCCCACCGATCTCGAGCAGTCCACCGGTCTCGAGCGTCTCGAGATTCTCGGAAAGATGGAGGGCGTCGACGTCTTCGACATGCGCCCCCTCGATGCTTCCCGCAAGGGTATGCGATGACCCCTCCTCGGCCCTCAAGCGCGAGTTCGAAACCTAACTCTATCATTTAGGCACCGTCGAGAACCCCATCCCCGTCCGTTCCGCCGGTGAGGAGCAGTACCTCGGCTGCACCGGTGTCCCCGTCGACTCCCACGTCACCATCTGGCTGACCGTACGTGCCCATGGACCCGATTGAGCTTGTCAAAGGAGCTCCGTAACCTGACCAAATATGCACATAGATCTCCCGCGACCGCCCCATCGAGCGCTGCCCCGAGTGCGGCTCCGTCTACAAGATGGAGTACGTCGGCCCCACTGATGACCACCACCACGGTCACGACCACCACCACGGCTACGAGGAGCCCAAGACCTTCGCCGACTTCGTCAAGCCCGAGTACCGATACCAATAGATGCTTTCGCAGGTGGCGAACACGTAGTAAGGAGACTGGAGGCGAGACGGCATCGGGGTTGCTCTGGAGTGAGCACGGAAGATGTGTAGATTACCTTAAGTTGTGGCTGTATAGAACCTTTTTCTCCCGATTCATGTCTCCTGTCTCCTGCGGGTTTTGTGTGACATCCGCCAGGTCGTTCGTGAATAGCGGCCTAGATAATACGAAGAGCCGCAGCTCTCTCGTGGCTTGACTCGCTTCCGTGCGGATCGGTTGCCTACTCTCCGCGTCCACGTAGTGTTTGATAGTGATGATGTTTGCCCTGATCCTAACGTGCCTCATTCCGGATCGAAGCTAAGCTTAATCTTCTTTCCCATCTTCTTGGCAGGTTTCTTTTTGGCGTCCTCGTCATCGTCGCCGTTCTTCTCGTCCTTGGTCCCGCGCTTGTTGACGACAGCATCCTCCTGAGCATCACCGCCAACAACCTTGCCAGCCTTCCTCTTCTTGCTCGCCCCGATTCCAGCAAGCTTCTCCGTCTCCCGTTTCTCCTCCTTGGTATCCTTCCCCTCACCCTCCTCTTCTCCATCTTTCTTCAAGTCATCGGCCTCCACGCCACCATCCTTGTCCACCCGTACGTCGACAACATTACCCTCGTCGTCCACCACAAGCGGCGCATCCTCTGCCTCCTCGCTGTCTGAGCGCTTCTTGCCCGCCCGTCGCCTTTTCGAGAGGATCTCGTCTGGGCCTCCGTTCCCTGCCGCCTGTGCTTGGAGAGCGCGCAGGAAGGGCGGGATGTTTGTGTCGTAGGATAGGTTTTTGCCGGTGATTTTGTCCGACATTGCGGCGGCGGGCGCGAAGCCGGGGAGGTGAACGCGAGGTGCCGTTACGGAGTGCTTTGGTTTCGTCGAATGCTTGCGGTCGTTGAGGACGTCGGTTCAAGATCACATCAGACCTATTCTATTTTCTCTAGGTGTCTCGTCAGTGAAGGGTGTGCGATCATGGATGGTGAAGCAGCTATTGCCAAATGCCAGCCTTCGCGGCAAAGGTCGTTCGCAGTTCTTGGGGGGTGGGGACGGGATTCTTCAGTGATCAATCAGCGTCTTTAGCGGATAGCGCAGCCGATCAGCGACCTTTCCGACGTCGTAGCGCATCCGAACCTCGCTAAACTACAGTGGGCATACGCTACCAGGCCGGACAGTGGGCGGGACCCATCCAGGTTAACTGCCGAAAGACAAACTCGACGACACGACTTCTCCCCTCTCATCTCCAAACACCAGGCAACTTCACCAAACCCAGCACATTCACATCACACGGACGAGCAAGAAGCGTAATATTCTCAGATGAAATATCTGTTTTGTTGAGACTTTTGAAGAACGATGTCACTAACCCTAATGACTTTGGTATCTAATGCCGCGAAAAAAAAAACCCTCCTCAAATCAAGCGGTTTCATGTCTGTACCAGCCAACTCATGGTTGCCGCTCTCCAACGCCGGGCCTTGCAACGCCAAAGCTAATGCCGTAGAAAACCTACTAAAGGAAACCATTCCCTTGATACACATAGAAAGACGGTAATGAGGCACACGCCATGCCATCGAGATCTTAGACGATCTGCTGGATAAACACGGGAGTACCGACCTGAGTGCCCACCACAAAGTTCGGGACTGGAATGGACGCGATGGGCAAAGCAGTCAGGATGCCGGTGTCCTCGGCACGGCTGAACGCCACCACACCGGATTCGCCCGCCATGTTGGTGGAGAAGAGCGTCTTTTGATCCTTGGAGAAGCTGAACATACGCGGGTTCACGCCACCAGAGGAGATCTGATCGACAAACTCGAGGGTGATGCCACCGGCCTTGGGCTTACACTTGGAACCGCCGGGGGCCGCTTGCTGAGTGATCTTGAAGTGGGAGATAGAGTCGGTTGCGTTGCCGCTAACGCGGTTGGAGACGTAGGCGTGCTTGCCATCACTCGAGATGATGATCTCGCCAGCGGCAGCCGAGGTGGCGTTGGCGGGAGGGAATGCAGCGCCGTAGGTGCTCAGCTCCGAACTATGAGTAAGGGAGAGGGAAGAGCCGTTGTTGGTGGAGACGGAAAAGACCTCGAGGGTGTTGCTGAGCTCACAGGCGACGACGAAGGCGGTAGGCGCGCCTCCGTTCTGAGGGTACCAGGCGCCGTGGCGAGGGCCACAACCAGCTCTAGAGACGCTGTTGCGAGAGACAATGTCGTACTTGTCATCCTGGGAATCGATGATGGAGATGGAGTCAGTGCCGAGGTCGCAGATGGCGAAGTAACGGCCAGAGGGATCGAGAATAGCCTGGTGAGCGTAAGACTTGTCCTGACGCAGCTTGTTGGGACCAAGCTCGCCACCGAGGGTGAGGCTCTTCATATGCTTGAGAGCGCTGGCGTCAGAGATATCCCAGACGTCAACAGTGCCATTGGTGCTGGATTTTGTTAGTTTATGAGGCATTCAAAGGGACCAAAATAGTAGGTAGTAAAAATAAAGAGGCAAGTGGTACGTACTAGGAAGCGCCAACAAGACGAGTCTTGTCCTTGTTGAAGTCAATGGAGACAACTCCAGTGCCGCCCTCAGTGGACTCAACGGCGACCTTGAGCTCATTGGTAGTGGTATCGAGCTGAAAAGAGTTAGTAAATGTTTTTGATGAGTAGGTTTCGGCAGCTACTGAAAATAAAAGCCGAAGCGACTTACGTTGAACAGGCGAAGGTTATTGCTGTTCTCGTCAACGGCGTAGAGAAGGTTGGGCTCCTTGAAGGCCATCCAGCTGGGGTTGGTGCCAGTCTGATTGTCGCTCTTCACGACGTTAAACGACTTGCCATCGTACTCAGCGACAGCGAGCATCCAGGTAGAACCAATGACGACCTTAGCCGGAGCGGCGGGAGCGTCCTGGCGGCCAATGACCGCAGCAGAAGCAGCCGCAGCAGTAATGATGACGGAGGTGAAGCGCATCGTGACGATTTGTGTGAAGTTGAAAGGGTAGAATGAGGGTATTTGAGTGATCAGTATCGAGCGATCAGAAAGAGAAGTGTAGAGAGTGAAATGTGAAGGAAGTGTGCGATGGAAGAAGAAGAAAAAGAGTAGAGACTGGTGAGTGGTGAGTGAAGGGGAGAAAAGTGAATGAGTCGATGGGTGGGTGGGTGTGGGAAAGGCGTGAGGCAAAAGTGGTGATTCAGAAGTAGGTGGAAGGAAGGAGCAGCCGGTCGAGTTAAGGTAGGCAGGCAGGCACGAAGTTTTTCCCCAGAGTTTTGCAGTAGAGGAAAGAACAGGGCTGATTCAGGTCGGTCCAAAGCAGAGCTGAAAAAATTGGTGATTCGCTGGTACTGAAGTGAATACACAAGTCTGATATTTCATCCGAATAACAAGAGGGAGTCCTGGGACGGTGGAGGCAGGAAACTGCAACCTTATAAGATGGTTGAGAAGGCAAGGGAAGTCCGGGAAGGCTGTGTGTGTGTGCATGGCCATGCAGACATGTTCACATCAGAACATGCATAATAAGGCAGTCTTTGACTCTGGTTTCCGTGCATCTGACTCTTTTACCTTAGCTGGGCCAGATCTACCACCCTGACAGACCCAATCCCCTAGCCATGGCTGAGTTGAATGAATGGAAGGGATAAGGTGAGATGGGAACACAAGCCCAGCCTACTCAGCCTGGAGCCAAAAGCCCGACACCGAACCGCCTTCACGGCCACCAAACAGTGAGGTACCACACAAAGAGCCCCCCTTTCTCTGCATACATGGGTATGTGCGTCTGTTTGTGTCACTGTGTTCATTGGTCTCAGACCCCACATCATCGAATCCTTTTTGTAAAGTGACTTGTTCAAGAGAGCAAAGATGCAAAGTGCCAGAGGCAAGGGAGGGATGGGTCAGGGTTACGGCTTACAACGGGTAAACGATTGGTGGGGGTTACAAGATGGCAAGCTAGGTGACCAGCTGTTGGTTGGGTCTGTTGCATGGCTTACTCGCCAGGCCTCAAAAGCCTCCAAAGAGCCGCAGGACCAACGCCTCTTATCAGTCTTCCCTTTTCTTCTTGATACTCTTGGTATAATCTACAGTCAGTGTTTGACTGGATTACCAACTGCCAGCCGCCAAATTTGATGGTAACGCGAGATGCTGCATGTTTGCTGAGGTACACTCAAACCCATGTGGATGCAGGTAAGCATGAGGATCCAGCGCCAGTCAAGTCCAGTCAGGTTTGGCTCGAGTCCGAGTTGTCGTCCGGCAGTCAACGGGGATTGGATCCTGTCATCCCGCCCAGCCATAAGCCGCTCTTCTTTGGGCGGGCAGCCACAGCGGGACAAACAGTCTCGAGGTGAGCATTATGCGTGAACAGCAGATGCTTTGGCTTGATCAAGGAGCCTCATGTTCATCAGGCTGGGGCATATTTGGCTGTTCAGTGAGTCGATGGTCCGACTCGGGATCGCCTGCCCTACCGTGTGCTACTCACTACCGATGAAACAGGGGCCAAATGGCCACGGAATAATAATATGAGAAGCGAATCGAAGTAAGGTACCCAGCAGCAACATCCTTTAGGCGCTGCGGTTGGTCGCCTGGTTGGAGGGGCTGAGTGAGGGCGGTGTTTCGAAACATGTTCACCCGTCCTTGGCCGCAAAGGATTGGACGAGAAACATTCCGGGCATTTCCCATGCTTTCCAGCAGGAGAGTCAGTTGGGGGGACTATGTTCAACCCCCTTTATTTCAGCTTCTCTAAATCAAAGTTTTGTCGTCCCTTGTTCATCTTGTTTATGAGAAACTTGAAGCGGGAGTAAGTATTCTCGTTTCTCGCCCCGACGCATCATTTTCAATGTCATGCATTTCATCAGGCGGCAATAGCAAGGAAAGAGGGAAAGAAGCGCGGAAGATCTTCATCAGCATGCCGGCCGGTGGTCCGCCGTTGCAATACGTACCAAAGTGGATCTGTTAACGCTCACCACCCGGGCAGTACGTACCCTTTCAGACGTCGTTGACGTGCGTCTATTCTCGGCGTGGCTGCGCTTCGAGAACTAACCAAAAGCCGCGGTGACGAAGACCGCTGGAGACGACATGCGCATCTGTATCCAATCAGCCAACCAACGTGAGATGTAATGGTAAAACAGCTCAAGATGCATGGGGACAGCCAAGCTCAGCACTAGCACTGCAGGGGAGCGCGGGGTGAATGCTGATCCAGTCATCATCGCATATTTCGTGCCAGAGCTTGTCGAGCTTGCTTCTCGGTCAAAAGCTGCCTGCTGCACTGATATTGGCTGAAAACATCCAATGTCTTTGTTCGCCGTTGATTGCGATGCCAAGCTTGACTGGCGTCTTCACAATATGATTTGTGCTCAGCTTATTTGCAGTTTGGAGCACGACTTTGAAATGAGAAGACCCAAGCCCAGCAACAAACGCAGCCAGTTGGTGGTCCTATATATTCAGTCCACACAACTTATATTACTGGCAGGCCAAAGAGGACTTTTATCACTTAGGTCACCAAAATACTGAAAAGACAACGCCTTAGAGTTCTCCTGAGACTATCTTCTGGCAAAGAAGAAGCCCAATAGGTCTGTCAGGATTATCTCGACATCAGGGAGGCATGGGTTTTGTGAGCTATAAAACAATCACGCTCTCTGGTTGCAAGAAGTAAAGTCAATATTTCACCGAGAGTAATGAATGTAGCTTCAAGGATTCAATCTTAGTTCATAGTCTATAAATGTATTACAGAAGCCCAGCAGTCATGGGTATCAAGACTCCAAGGTCCACCAGGTATCCAAAGCAGCAAAGCAAAAACGCCCGGATCCCTCGCTGCATCAATCTACACGCCTCACACTCTCTCGTCACACATTTCCATTTCCAACTCTTCCCCTCACCAGGTAATAGTAACAGCCTTCCTCAGGTAATTCGGACCGCCCGACTTGAAAATCTCCTCAAAGATCCACCGCCCAACATCCTCCCTCGAGATACCATACCCGATAGCCTTGGTCTGCACACCCGTCTTAGGATCCTCAATGCCCGTCCGGATCCGCTTCTCAGGCTGCGCGCCATCAGACAAGAACGCGGGGCGGATAAAGGTGAAAATCTCATCACTCGCCACGATCCTCTGCTCCATGACCCTCTTGTCGGCGTGCGGCTGCTTGAGGAGGACGTGGTACATGGGCACCTGCATCAGCGGCACATCACGCGCGTGGTCCGAGATACCCGTCGTCGAAATGATAGCCAGCCTCGGCTTCCCACTCACGCCCTGGGCGCGGAGCTTCTCCAGCGCGCCGAGGAGTGCCGCGGCGCCGTTCTTGCACACGTCCGGGTCCTCGACGGTCATCTTGGCCAGGTTGAGCGGGCTGCCGATACTGAAGCTCACGGTGTCGACGAGGCGGGTTGGGTCGGTTGGGTTGACGAGGCAGGCGGCCACGTCGTCGACCACGTGCGCGTTGCCCTTCTTCACGACTAGGTTCGGGTTCTGGGCTTCGGGGAGGACGTCGGTCATCTTTGATGGGTTGCGGCAGAGGGCGATGCAGACGTAGCCGGCTTCGAGGGAGTGTTTGAGTGCTGCCATGCCGCAGCCGCCTGAGGCGCCGAAGAAGGCGATGGTCTTGATGCCAGACATGATGTGGTGGTGGAAGTTGGGGTGTTGTGGTGTAAGGTAGGGGGAGGTGAGGTTGTAGTTGGGGATATGCTTTGATAGTATGCCAAGCGTGAGGATACTTCCGCAAAGGATGTAAATGAGCGGTATCAATGAACACGATTGGACTTGATTGCTCGAGTAGGATGGACTAAGAGACAAGTGAAAGCTTGATGTCGCCAAGGAGTAGGATGATGATGATGTTGATGATGTTCTGTTCCTTCCTCTCACCAACAGCGAACTTGCCCAGCCTTATATGCATCCAACCTCCGTCTCAGACCGGGCAGGTATGCAGCCCATCTGCAGGACGGGGAACATCACAGTTGGAAAACTCAGCACTACAGCAAAAAGAAAACAAACACGGCATCCATGCTGTAAGCTGTAAGCCTGCAGGGCCGGGTGAGCCCCAGAGCCTCCGACTCTTCGCTCTTCCAAATTTCTCGCTCGAATGGGTGCGTTGAAGCGAATATCGAAACCAACAACGAAAGGCACAACGTTGGTCCGTAGGGCCCGTAGGTGGTAAATCGAAAAGGCGGAACGACTATCCAGCCATTTGCTGCAACCACGATGTGATCAACAGGATTACCCCTACTTTGTGGCTTACAGGATCCGCATCCCCGCCCGTTCTACATCGCCCTCATCCCTGTCTGAATGCGACTGTCATCTGACATTGTTAGCACCCAATATCGTCCCCAGCTTCGATAAGCGTTGAGCAGCATCTTTCACTAACACATACAAACAACTCCACTTCAGCCTGGAATTCCCCCGACGGCACAACCAACAGCCAAGTCTGTGGCACAGCTCGCGTCTTTCGCTCCAACTCGCCAGACTCCTCGCCTCGCGAAACACCACTCTTTCGTCCTTCGCATGGCCCCCATCCATCCCGCGTCACGCTCGTCACCATTCGTCGCCTGAAGTAATTGTCACCAGTCGGCGGCCCATGGGAGATTCGACACATCATCATTATCACCATCATCATCAACAACAGCAAAATACAAAACCAACAACCAAATCCCGTCCCCGTCTCCGATCTCTATTTTCCGTGCCACATTAACACGTCTGACAACTACGCTGCATCAGCTTCCAACAAACATCTGAGATGCATCTCAAGTGAAACCTCACACCGCCTCGGCTGCCTAGAAGTTAGAATGAAATGCCCAACAGCGTCTAGGCATCCAGGTATCTCTTCGGCGGCTCATCTTCTCTCATCCGTCTCATTCCGCCTTTGATCGCCGACACACACCCGGCCGCCGTCCGGCCTCCTCTCGGATGCCACGGCAGCACCCGTGTAATGTTTCCAGTAACCCCTCTCACTGAATGCTACAATGTCAGCATTTTGTTTGTGGTTGATTACACTCCCTGCAGTCATCGTCCTCTTTTCAACGGAGACTAATTCGGCCATTGCTTTGCCGCACGCTGAACCTCACTCAAGTCGCAATGTGACATGCAAACGCATGGATGATTTCAAGACTTCAACCTCTGTTGATTGCGCAGTTCTATCATATGTACAGACACCGGCTTTGAATTCAAAGCTCGCAAACGGCCGACTGCATATGCGATTTGGTTGCCCCAATCCTCATACCAAATGAATGGACGGCAAGCGCCATTACCCAAAATGCCTTCATGAAAAATGCTTCAAAGAAAAGAATGCTCTCATTACATACAAGTAGCCCGAATCAAAACCAAGCAAGTGCATCACGTTACCCATTATACCTTTTTTGAAAACCAAAACCACAATCTAGTCCCTACTTCATAGCCAGAAGAGAGCAGTGGCAGCCACGAGTGCGGCAAAGGTGCTGGCGCCGAAAGAGGACTCACGGCGGAAGCCCTCGCTCGTTGAGCCAGAGCTGCCACTGGAGCCGCTGCTGCAGTCTTGCGAGAAGCCACTGGTGCCGCAACCGCTGCTGCTGCCAGAACCGGAGCCCGATGAGTCGCCGGAACCGGAGCCAGAAGACCCGGAGCCGGAGGAGCTGCTACCGCTGTTGTCACTGTGGTCATTGCCCGTGCCGGAGCTGCTACCGCCCGGAATTGTGGCGGCGGAGGCAGTAGGTTGCGCCGCAGTGCCGGTGCCGGAAGCCGATGAAGCACCGGCGTTCATGTCGAGACCGGTGCCAAGGAAGCTCTTCAAAACGGTGTCCTTGTCGCTGTCCACAACGGTGTCGTTGGTGGCCTTCATATTGTTGTAGTAGTAACTCTTCTTGCTGTTGGTGCCGGGCGAGCTCTTGGCATTGTAGCAGTTGATCTCGACGTCTTTGACCATGGCATAGAAGTATCCGTTCTTCTTGATATCCTCGTGCTCCCAGTTGATGGGACCTCCGGCCCAGTCAATGGTACCCTTGGCGTTGGTGTCAGCACCACCAGGCCAGATGGACAGCTGGACACGAGCGGGCGTTTGCGGGTAGTCCCACTGCTGGGCAGTTGCGTTCCATGTGTCGGAGCGCTTCTTGGTTCGGCCAACCTGGCCGTCTACCATCCACTTGATTTCATCGGGAGTCCACTCGATCTCGTACGTGTGCCAGTTGTTGAAGGTGTCGGAGAGAGAGATATTGCCAGATTGGTCATCTGTAGCGATTGTTAGCTTGAATTCCGGATATGGGGCCGTGTCAACTAGACTTACACTTGGGGATACCCTGGAAGTAGTAGTTGGTCTGGGACATCTCCAGGTCGGCACCGACCCATTCGTAGTCAATCTCGTCCTTGACGTCACCGTACAAGATGAAGGCTGTGACGACACCAGGACCACGCGATGTCCTAATCTTGGCGGAGACACTGCCGTACCAGAGGTAGGTGGAGGTGGCAAGGACAGTTCCGACACTCTTGGCGGGCATGGTGAGGAGAACGGCCTCCTTGTTGTACAGCGCGGGCTCACCCTGGGAAACCCAGTCGGCCTTGCTCGGGTCGCCGTAGTACTTGCTGATATCAACGATCTTGTCGAGCGAGTTCATGGGCATCTTCTTGTCCTGGCAGACAGGGGCGGGAACGCAGGCATCGAGGGAGAAGGACATTCGGGGGTCACAACCGCCGAGGCAGAAGGCACCAGTGCCGCATTGGCCATATTCTGCTATTGTTAGAGAGTCGAGTTTTTGGTTATTGTAGATGATGCTAACTTACGGGAACAGCATGGTGCGCTCTCGGGGCACTTCTGAGTGAGAGAGCATGAGGGAGGAGTCTGGGCGAGGACGGTAGAGGCGCCGAGAAGGGCAAGGCCCATGGGAAGAACCGACAACATTTTGGAGCGAGTGTGTGGTGACGGGTTTGTATATTACGGTGTTACCGACGGAGAGTGAGAGAGGACAATAATCGCTGGCGACCCCGGAAGTGACTCTACAAGGAAAGGGCGATATTGGTGTTTACGAATGAAGCTCGAGTTCGATCGGGTCCTTGTTGGACTTTCGCCGCCCGCGGGTGACGGTGGGATAGGGTCGGTGTGTTTACTGCCGCAGCGGGGAGGAATTCGGGTGTCTGATGACTTGTGTATCCGTCTGTGACAAGGGCGGAAAGTGGTCGTACAAGGCTAGTCCGAATGATCGGTCGAGATCGAATTCGATATCAGAGTCGAGATGTTCGGAAGATTAAAAACAGAGTTTGGCTGATAATCTGGGGATCCCGGCTTCGTGATTGACTCGAGTCGACGTCGGTTCGGGACGAAACGAGGGCATTCGGACGACAGAGGATGGGATAAAGTTCGTCTTTGGGGGAGCGCAACGAAGGTTTGCTTCTACACGGATGGTAAAAAGAGTATTAAGCGATGGTAATAGGCAGGCAGTAATTACAACGAGAAGCGCGGGTCAAGAACGAGTGAAGACCGTGGCGGACGAGATGAGTGCGTAAGGGAAGGGTTGACTCGAGGGAAAAAGCCCAGGCGGCGTGAATTAATTTGGGGGAAGGGATGGGGAGGGCGGGAGCAGTGGGAATGCACGGGAAGTCAAACCAGGTGCCAGGAGGCAAGCGCTCACTGGTGAGTGGTGACTGAGGTGCCCGGTGTTGACTGTTGAGTGTTGCTCCTACCTCGACTACCACAATTTAGCGTGCCTTGCTACGCCTTAGCACGCTTGGGAAGTAGGTACGAAGGGGCAGTTACGCTTACCTGATTTACGCTTAACACGGATGCTGCGCCTCTTACCTTTGCTGTGCGTGTGTGCGTGTAAAAGGTACCAACACGACTTCAACGTTCATCAGCATCTCACCACCTTCAGTCCATCTCTGCCAGTGCCATCCAAGTTGTGCTGCTCTCTGCTGCCCCCCCCTTTCTTGTACTGCCCTCCTTGCCATCATTGATAGTGATCAGACGTCGTCTCCAGTTCTTCTCAGGGTCTCTCAGTGGCACGCGAGGGAGGGTTGATGGATTCTCCAGGCTTCTCATCCTCCTCTTCCCTCGTCTCCGTCAACCTATCCGCTACAGATGGATGGATACAAGTGGGCTATCGAAGCCGCTCCTCACTCCCCCATTGGGACAAGCGTAGCATTATTTGGGTACACTAGGCAAAGCCGGTTAGAGCCTGACCCTGGCAAAAGCCCGGCCCTGACCATGTGCCTGCCCGTTCGCCCTTCTTGAGGGAAACCTGGAAAAAGGAAATACGGGGGAAACAAGAGCTGGAGTGCAGCTTCTCTCCTTCCATTGGTATCCGTACCCGTGTCCCCATGTACCCACGTACCTTGTAGTATGGTGTTCTCGTATTGGTCCAATTGCCACCTACCCACCTTTTCCATCAGTGGATCCCACAGATCATGGTTTTCTGTCCACTCACGAACCACTTCTTCATTGTCTCTTGTCCCCATATGGGTTTAGCCCCGCGTGATCTGACCAATACTTTCCTCACTTTGCTCACCAAAGTTGGAAGATCACGGCATCACTCCCCCGTGTCTTCCCCCCCTGGTTATCCCTCGGCCGTCCACTTTTTCAATTCGATTAAGTCTTGCTCTGCAGTGATTTTCGCCCCAGGTGCTCTGTGCTCCCCGGTGCACGGGGCAAGAGCGGCATAGCGGCGTGGGACCACGGAAAACATATCCTCTTCCCTTGACGTCGCCCGTCGCCTGTTGATCAATAGTGACCTGACCTGCCATGCCTGAGTAGGTGAACACGACTTGTCAGGCAATTGATGCAGCCGTGGCAGCATAGGTGCATAGGTAGCATGCTGGCCGTGTGTTACAGCATCCTCTGTGGCTGTAGCTCTGGCTTGCATCCTTCGTCACACACGACTTTGACGCTTCATTGACAGGTGCTGCGCTACGGCAGCGCAGCAGCCATGGATCAAGCATTAATAAGCCAAGCATCCATCAACTGTCAACATCAAATTGGGCTTGTGTCAATTTCATTGCCATTGACATGGTGATTCTGAACCACTGGTCTCCAAACCGTCGAGACGCCAGAGTAAAATGTCCCGTCAACCAGACCAGCAGACCTCGACTACATGACGCCGTTTCTCCCGCCGTTGGCACATTCCATTGTCCAGTCTTCCAATGTTTATTTACCACATTCTTCGAAACCAGCCAAGCGCCGCCACATGCCGCCAACAACACAAAACAGGGTCTCACCTTCCTGCCGTTTTGTCCGTAACCTCGTTCAACAACGGTCAAAAACAAAACACACGAAAAAAACAATAGCATCATAGAAAGAAAAGAAAACAGGCACTCGAGTCTCTCGAGTGTTTCCTATAGTGACTGCGGGGTTACCCAATCGTTTCATACCAGCGCGCGCACGCATGCAGCGCCGTTGACGGATGACCACCCTGGCTTGCCTTGACAAAACGCCTGTCGTGCTCATGTGACACGAGGGCGTCCGACAGCCGCAAGATCGCGCACCTTCAGTTACCCGTTGCCAGGGTTGCCCCAGGCGTTCGTTCGCTTTGTGCCATGTGTGAAATTGTAATATAAAAATGTTGTTTCCTGTCACAAAAAGGAAACTAGAAATGAGGCATGTAGGTACTCGAATTGTAGTTGGTTTCTGCGGTTACTTGAAATGTGGTTCAACAATAATTGTTAAGGTCGCATCTACGCGCCGCCGTCGACCGAGACATCATACCTCACATTTGACTAATTGCTCTTGATCGAGACTTGCAAGTGATATCAAAACATTGCAAGAAACGGGCGCGCAAGGCTGAGTTGAAGTCACCTAGTCGCCAAAATGCGGTAGGCATATTAGACAAAGCCATTGGCCCCGACAAAGCCACTGTGTAAATAGATTATGTAGAACACACCATCTTCTATCAATGGGGGTTTGACTCAAAAACATTGCAAAAAGCCCATTGGCCACGAGAATGACAGCTACTCGCAAAATCAACCCCGAAGGCGCTCACTTGGATGGCCTCAAAGGTTATCACCTGCTGTTCCATCTTCACGGGTCATTCTCACGCTATCTACTTGACTTGAAGGCATCGCAGAAGATCCTCTTCTCGCGAACTCCAAGACGAAAGCCTCATGATTCCAATGGGAGGTATATCGGAGACGTCTCGGAAAGCGCAAAGCATTAATCCAGAGCAATACGAGCGATGCTTATCAAAGTCACTGGTATAGGAATGGTTTTCAGTGTAACTATAATCAATCAGGCTTTTTGCGCCGTTATGTATCAGAAGAATGTCATTGATTTCACCCGCTCGCATATATCCGGTAGGTCTAAAAGTGTGTAAAGACTAGTTCGTGAGGTATTTAGCAAGCATGTTGCCCTCCTGATAGAACTTCCTATTTATTCACACTCCAAGCACAGACACTTGGACGCGTTGTATGAAGGCTATTGCATAGCATTGGTGATCCGCATCTTCAGTCTAGAGTTCCCATAGCCATTGGGTATTGGGTATAAGAGAGCATCACATCAAAGGAGAACACGTTCATCAACTAAATGACGAGAAAGAGAGCACAAGAGTCAGATAACAATATCGCCAGTCATCCCACCATACAGCCTCGCGAGAGCGGGCTAATCGTCGACCACCTCGACGACAAGTGCGATGTATCCATGGGTCTTCAAATTGCCCAGTTTAGCTGGCTGCTGGCTCACCCTTCCCTTCTTTCATGGCCGAAGTGAATGATCCTCATGGCACGACGCAGATTGACGCCTGGTGGACCCTCGAGACCAACTATTTCGCTTCCTTTTAAACATTCCAGCACACGTTCATTTTTGGTAATTTAGACCTCGGGCCGTATAAAGATCCAGCCTCTCTCGAAGAGGGCAGTTATACATTTGTGACAAACACATGGCCATCACATTGTCACATGAACATGGTTTGACAATCAGCAATCTCAATTACTCACTCATCATACAGAATACATATTCACCAAGTCTCTCGCAGACCCGACGACAAAAACACAATTCTCTCACACTAAAAGGGTATAGACTCGTCATGAATCGAAACAATTTCACAATCCCGGTAACCGATTCCTCCTTCCTTCCTGCCATGACACCTTCCCAAGCAACTTATTTTTGTGTGGTTTGTCCCTGGACTTTCTCGACTGACCACGCATGATTATATCCTCATCTCCTCTGGAATTAAGACATGGCATAAACGGAGGCTTCCATCGTTGGGAACCTCTCTGGCACACATCAACACCATGTAGAAGGTCCTCCCGCATACGTGTGCACGCGCAGACCATCTATCAAACGGGTATGGCAATCACCCGCCATCACTCAACGTCCTTTTCGTGTTGGTGCTATGAAACTCAGAGCACATTGATAACAGGCAAGCCCCGCAAGGGCACAACCGTCGTACATGAGGGCCAGCAATCCTTCTAGACCCGTCTCCCCCACATCCGCCACAGCCACGAGTTTTCGACCCAGGGTGACCGTGCCGTAAACGTGGAGCTGGGGAATAGGGGGTTAAAAGTAATTAAAGTCCAGCCTCCAAATGAAAAACGTAGAAGAAAAAAATTAACAAGTGCAAAGGGGGAATCGTCTTTTTTCGAATCCGGGTCGTTGTGATCGTCAGAACGAGAAAGAAGAAACACATTTGGTATATCCCAACGCATCGAGACACTCCCAGCGCCGTTTCGCAGTGTTGCCCAATCTCCCGAGTATCCTCAGAACCGCCGATGGAGCTGAGGTTCCTCTACCGGTTGGTCGGCTTGGCGTAGAGGTCTACGAATCATTTAGTATCGTTGATGTGGATGCGGCCGTACCGACGTGATGTTGAGAGAGGGCATACCGGGAAAGTGCTCCTTGGCGTACTGTTCGCAAGCCTTGGCGGGCTTGCCGACCTTTTGCCCGATGACCTTCCACTTGTTGTTTTCGTACTCCTTGATGGCATTGAGGAGTGCTTGGCTCTGTGACTTGTTAGCAATTTTGAGTGAGAAAAATACAACAAGCATCTGCCACGAACCTCGTCTTCCGCGAACTCTGCGTAGTGCATGTCCTTGTACCAATGCTTCTTCACACTTCCCTCAGTGCGGGTAGGGAAAGTCTACGCGGTCATGTTAGTCGCTGCTACTGTCGAGATGGAAGTGTGGCAATAGATGGGACGAACCTTGGCAATCTCAGCCCAGCTGCTGCCAGCATCTCTCATCTGCTTCAGGCGAAGCTCCTCGGCTGGAGTCCAGGGAGTGTTTGTGCGGCTCTTCTTGGCCGGGGGAGGCTGAGGAGCCTGAGCGTTGGCATCTTCCGTTGCGGCGGGCTGAGCCTGAGGAGGGGGGGCAGCAACGGGAGGGTTGATCTGAGGTGGCGGAATGGGTGTAGCGGTGGGCGCAACGGGAGCGGGCGGCATGGGAGGGGCGCTAGTGACGACCGGCGGGGCCTGTTGTGCCGGGGCCGGGGCCGGACGCTTGCGGTTCCTGGGCGCCGGCTGGGGTTGGGGCGGAGGCTGAACTGCATGCTGCTGCTGTTGTTGCTGCTGCTGTTGCTGTTGCTGCTGGTGATGCTGCTGCTGCTGGTGGTGCTGCTGCTGCTGAGGATGGGGCTGGGCCTGGGGCGGCTGAGGCGGCTGCGGCACATTCATCGGAGGCTGCACCGGAGTGGGCTGGTGATGCTGAGGTGCCGGGCTCTGGTGAGGCGGCGCTCCGTACTGGAACTGTGGGTGCTGATCCCGACGAGACATGTCCTGCTGATAGGGGTGTTGAGGACTGGGATGGAGTGTCAGTTAAGTTTCATTCCGGCGGGATCAACATCGCGAATGGAGAGACTCCTGTGGACGACGGCCCCTCGCGCGCGCGAGAGAGAGAGAGGTCGTGTTGCCCAGGCGTGCGTGCATGCATCGACGGCGGTGGAAAAGGTCATGTTATTGTTGTTGTTGCCCGTTACACCCTCTTTTACGCCGCGGAGCAGGCCCAATATGGCCGGGGTTGCTCAAAGGGAAAAAGGTATTCTAGAGGTACATATCCATGTACCCCTGAATCGCGGGTAGAGGTGTCGGTACACCGTACGCAGCCTCGCGGGACGGAGGAGGAGGATAGAAAGGGAAGGGGAGCGAACGAACGAACGGGACGGAAATCAAGAGTGACTTTGGGCACAGGGACGAAAGTAGAGATCGAGGGGTACAAGGTGGAGGAGGTACTTACTGCATGTCGCTAGGCTGATGGGTGGAGTTGGAGTAGATGTACTCCGGCACGGGGCCGACTTGCCACTGCTGCATGATCTAACAAGAGGTCCAAAGGTTAGTACCGTGTGTACCATGGTCATTTTGATTTGCGACCCGAAGAAAAAAAAAAAAAGCTGTCGCGCAAGAGTCATGGGCGGGGCCCGCGCTGTGAGGTGAGGCGCGAACGCGACACGGGCGCTTTTCGACGAGAGAAAAAAAAGGGTACATGACTGCTGCCATCGTGCGTGGCGACGACGACGGCGACAGGATACACCCCAGCGTCCGACAGAAGCTTCATCAAAGACGTGATGAAGACGAGAGAGTATGAGATGGAACACGATTGAAGTAACAGACAGGAGTGAAGCAGGCGATTGCGCGCAAGACGTTTTGCTTATCGGGAAGGATTTACAGACGTGCTTGCGAAGACGCGGTGAGGCAGAAAAAACTTTGACGAGAGGGCGTCGACAACATGACAGAGTCTCGATGAGAAAGAAACGCGCGACAGCATCAGCGCCGATGAGGCGAACTGTATCTGTATGCGCGCGACGATTCCATCTTTGAGGTACAAGTGGTGAATTGATCCTCAATCGGGATAACGGGTGAAAAGGAACATAGGAAATAGGGTGCAGGTACTTACGGGCAATGTAGTGGTAGTATTAACTCAACAACGATGCATAAACCGACGGGTTGATGGATGGGGAATATTTGGTCTCTGCTCTCTCGGGGGGTGGAAGAGAGACTTGGACCAAGCCTGAGTCGCAAAAGACAAGAAGCGGGTCACGCACACGCCCGGGGTTGGGAAGGGTTTTTTTGGGCTTTTTTGGGGGGGAATGACCGATGGATGGATGGATGGCTGGTGATGAGGTGACGAAGTAGAAAGGATGGGAGGAGTGGGAGGGGGGAGGGAAGGGGGAGGGATGGTGCGAGGTAGAGGCGAGAATAAAGGGGGACAAAGATACAAGGCGCGCGAGGCCGAGGACGTGTTTGCTTCAAGTACTCTTTTTTCTGGGGGTGGTTACTGCCGGGTTGTGTGGTGCGGCGGTGCCTGCCTTGTGGTTCCAATTGACCTGGCTGGCTGGCCTGGCTGGTTCGGGTCGGGTGGCAGGTGCGCTGCGTAAGGTATTGTGTGTGTTGGTCGTTGGTGTGTGCGGGCGTTGCAATACCGGTACGTGTGGTGCGGCGACCGAAAGCGACGGGGACGCGACACGCAAGAGTTTAAAAAAATAAAAAAACAAGGGGATAGAGAAAATTGAGCACCTCAGGCGGCAGTGCAGCAATCAGTGAGCAACGATAACGGCGGAACCAGGTGGATCTCGTAATGGACGGCAGGGAACGGCCGGACTTGGAGAGAGGCTGGAAAACCTGGAAGGCTCAGGTGTGAGAGCAGTAATCGTCAGGCAATTGGATGTCAGGTGAAGGGCTGCTGGAGCGACGCGGCGCGCGGGATTCGTCGACGGGAAGGAATGGATGATTTCCCTTCGGTGTGGGGAACAAAGTGCGACGGGACTCCGGAAGGCAGGAGCTGGAGAGGTTGGGGGAAAAACGGAAGGTACCGAATGTTGCTTTGCCCTTGCTCTTTCCTGGTATACCTTCAGGTAATGGGGAATCAGGTAAGGTAGTCCAGATGAGGTGAGGTGAGGTGAGGTAAGTTGTGTGGTGTATCGCGAGACAAGGTCTGGCAAGTAGTGACAAGTAGTAGCGGAGCCAGAGAGAGGTAGCGTGATGTATTCGTGGAGGACGCAGAGGTTGAGATAGACAGGTGTAAGTAGACGGGAGTAGACAGGCAGCTGAGGCAGTGCGCAAGCTGTGCCGTGCGTTGCTTGTTGGTTCGCGCGTGTGAGTTGGGTGCAGCTGGTGGTCGGTGGCGAATCCTCGGATCAAGGGTCAATCAACAATGGACGGCGATCCTAAAACTGGGCGCGTAGGTATCCGTATGGCGGAGACAGAATGGGATGGAGAGCGAGAAGAGTGAGGGAGACTTGCTCGAAGCAGTGTCTAGACAGGCGATGGCGAGAGAGACAAAGCAAGAGATGGAGATAGGAAGCTTCGGGTATTGCAACGCGATGCGGTGTGTATGCGTGTACAATGAGGTAAGACGTAGCCAACGTGTGCAGGGAAGGCAAAGAAAAGTGGTGGACGTCGATGAGATAGGCTCAAAGAGTGATGCGTGTGCAACGATTGGTGCCAAAGGCGGAATGAAATGGAGGTGCGTGGAATTGGCGGCGCGCAAGTGAAGTAAGTGTGGTGACGACTGCAGCTATGGCGACAGCGACGGCGTCAATGACAGATAGCTCTATGAGCGATGATGAGGTAAGGTGATTGAGGATGACGGGTGACGATGGTGGAGATCTCCGTTCCCCTGCGGTTACGGCAACGTCCAAGTGTTGTTGACGCGCGACAGTGATGGGCGGCGGCAGCGCGTCTGTACGTAGTAGTGTCGGGTGCTGCTCACCTCGGTATTGTCGTTGACCTTGAAGCTCTCAGGGCTTTTCGGTCTGTTCTTTAGGGTGAGGTTGAGGTGAAGCGCGACAGGTGATGTATCCGTCAAAGGCGTGAGGTACCTGACTGGGTGCGTACTCGGGTACCGTGTATTCGCAGCTGTAGCTTCCTGTAGCTGTACGAATACCTTTGCTGTAGCGGCAAGGACCTGAAGCAAAAGTGTGGAGGTGGAGCTTGAGCTGGTGCGCACCTCGAGCTGATGATGTCGGGTTGGGTATCCGTAGTGTAGTATAAGGTAGGTTGGTTTAGGAACTTGGGACTTTAGAAATGGGAGTTGGGATGCTATGGCTCGCGATGACCCAAGGATGTACCTCTGATGGAAGTAACTTCCTGGTTCACGGTGATGTTTTTGGTTGCCCTCTTTTTTTTTCTGCTGGGAGAAAGTGGGTGGTGGAAGGGGTCAGGAGCGAAAAAATGCTAAGGGGGAGGGGGAGGACGAGGGAACATGGAAAAGGAACGAGGGAGGCGGGCGGGGGAGAGGAGGGGCCAGTCGACGCGATTTGAGTGGGGCCTCGGTCAGGCAGGAAGTGACGATGACATTCCGATTGTTAACCGGGAAGCTGCGCTGCTTCCGCTTTTGCAGCCAATTTGGCAACGTTTGGCAAAAGAGCACCTGCGAATTGCCTATCTTGTTGCCTCAGCCGTCGACTTCCAGTGTCTTGCACGGACCATCTTCCCCTCAATCCGCACGGTCCTTTTTTGCTGGTCACTCGACACCTCGTCATGGCTCAATGCTCAGTGGCTGCTCCGTGCCTTGTCCCTGTTCCACTTTTCCTCGTCCTTCGCAGCTGCCAGTTGTTCACCTCAGTCCATCATCTCAAGTCCTTCACTTTATCAATAATGGCAGATTCTACCTTAAGCAGACGCGGCAGGTAGGTACTTCCTACTTTCCTTTGCTAGTGGTACGATGCGACTGCGAATTCTGTCCGTGTGCTGCCGCTGCTCGTATTCCATCGCACCTACTGCGTAAGGCACTGATAAACAGCTACCTTATGTATTGGACACACCGAGTTAGTCGGTCAGATCTGACAGCTCCTTCCTCACCTCGGACCCTTCGGCCATGCGCTCCTGCCGTGTGTCGCGTCGTGTCGCTCGCTACTGCGCTTTGCTTGAAATTGATAACTGAGGTCACAGGTCACAAGCGTTTCTTCTTGCGGGGAAACCCACCTTACCTCACCGCACCTCAGCTCAGCCACTTTCCTCATTCAACTCCAATCAAGCAAATACCTAGCAATCCATCTGAGCCACTCCCGCCCCCCCTTCCTGTTTGCCTAACTGAACGGGCAACGGGCGAGGCAGCAATTGAGATGCTCCAATGAGTGGTTGACCATTGACGGGGAGCTTGGAGGGGAAATGCGAGAGGACGGGAAGGAAAGGGTGAAAAGTTTATCGCATAATCTCTCAGCCTCGTCCCTCCACGGATCTCCCTTTTCAATTGAGCTTCCCGTGTCTGTAATGTTGTGAAATGTGCCCCGTGCTGCTTTCAAGGTCCAAGGTACTCCGTATAGGGGAAAAAATCAAAAGAAGGTATTCGTCGCAATTGTCCTCTTGGCAGCCTTTTCGAACTACATGTACTCCATGTACTGTCTGCATGGTCCAAGTACTTGATCCTCGCTTCATGTACCTCTTGTTAGCGGTACCGCTGGTGGACACCGACCACAACATCGGACTCTGCGAGGTACGTACAGTACCTCGACTGTTGACGAGTACCTTGCCTCTTCCATTGTCACTGCATGTACCTAATCGCCCCGTCTCGATGCGATTAGGTTGTGAGGTTGGCATTTTGGGAAACCGGACGACATAGCTACAGCAATGTTGAATGCATCTGAATGAGTTTGCGCGACTGATTACCTTTCGGATGAGCCAAAACCAATCCTCAATACGTCTCGCCCACATCATCTTCAACCCCCAACCTCATGCCGCTGCTCATCAGCCGCGGCTCTGCAATGGTGAGTTCATCCAGACTAGGAGTTACTCGTCATCTCCAACTTGTGATGACGCCTCTCCCTGTGCGTTGGACCGCTCACAGACGTGGTCGTGGTCCAACAGTGCGCGATGCTAGACCTGGGAGCGTGCCTATTGTGGGCATTGCATCTTCTTGCCGCTGTCCCAGCGTTCATGTCAGAAAGAAAGAGTCAGATTGCGCTCGGGGCTCTGTTTGGAAAGACACCTGGGTGTTCAACTGAGTTCTGAATATTTGCTCTATGGATGTCTAGTAGTCTGGCTGGGTTCGGGAATGCTTTGCACTATTTACTTTTGGTCGAGAAACCAAGTTGGTCAATTGAGGGGGGTTGGATGCAAGGCACGACTCCGCGGAAATGCCTTGCCCAACACCCCGAAGTTACCGTGCGGTACTGGTCCTCCGGTGATGCCGAGGTGCGGAGTCCGCGGCCTGGCCAGCTTTCGTAATCATCCGGGATGCGGGACGGGAGCCAGCAACTTCACGGCAGCGGACCGAAGGCCCGTCTTTTCCCAGGTCACATCGGGAGAGGGTCGGTGCCGGGATACCGGGATCCTGGAGACCGAGCTGCCTCAGAAGTGCACGGTTGCAATCGGTTCCGAGCGCTTGGGGTTCCACTAGGCCGTGGCCAGATCGGGACGGGGAGACCAGGGTGCCCGAGATGCCGCGGTCCATCGGCATCGCCCCTCTCCACTTGCTGCTCCACGAGAGTAGTATCATGAATGAATCCGTGTGCTCGTCACGATAACGAAAGAGAGAGACATAGATAGAGTGATGAGGCTGACCGCCGGGCACATTCTGAACAATTGGCCGCGTATTCCGCTTCACCCACGTAAGCAGTACCCTACGCAGCTTGACCGCCAAAACAAAAGCGACCCTGCTAGTCTCCCAAGACAAGAATTGTTTCAAACACCGAAAAAGAGGCGACGAAACAAGGTGGCTCGCCCGACCCTGGCAACGACCCCAGATCGCATCAGGCGTGAGAGTGAGCCCCATGACCACCAAAAAGATGAGCCCCAGGTTCATGCCAAGCTCATGTTGGATGCAGTCGTCTAGCTTCACGTCGTCGACAGGTAACCTAAAACGGCCTCACAAGCCCTGACCCGGTCACGTCTACTGCCATCCGGTCTCTCGCTTTCATGCGCGTAGGGCAATCAGACTCCGTGACGCCATCCTTTCCTTGCCAGAACGTGTATGTTCGTTCCGAACATGGACAGACTTTATGCCTCCTTGGCAGGTCGCGATGAGAGACCCCAGCTGTGAAACGATGTTGGTCGCAGGGTTCCGGCACCAATTGTTTGAGACTCGCGGCTCTTAGGCAACAGATGACTGAAGACACGTCCACCACAACGTCTTCGCGCATGGTGGCCCTGGGCTCGGCCAAGCCGTGAATCGGAACGCTGGCCAGTGCCCGTCGCGAGCAAGTTTGTCGAGTCTGTCAATGTTTTCTCCCAAAGTGCCGCTCTGAGGATATTGGACGAAGAGGATTCATGCGAGTTTGCTGAGACGGCCGACGACCAGACGATCCAACGACGATCCGTGGCGACATGAACAATTGGGACGGCCACTGGATATCCCCGTTGCAATCCCTTTTGCTTGAAAAGCTCAGCCCCCTATGTATTCCGGGGCCCTGGGTTGAAGCAAAGGGGAGAGAAAGTCGCATGGGACGCCCTGTTGGAAAGTAGGAGCACTGACCCACAAGGCTGGGCCGGCCAACCTTCACGTAAGTGTGTTCACTCGGCCGAGTAATGCCAGACACGCGGAACAAGCTGGGTACACCGTACGGGCGATGTTCCACTGTCTAGGCATTTTTCTACACCATGTCGGGTGATTTCGTCGAGCCAATGCGGGGTCTGTGTAACTCTCCGGATGGTGATTAGTATGCCCTCCGTACCTATTCGTTCAGCAGTTGTAGTACACCTGACCCATCAGGTAGTAGGTATTGATCTTGAACGGTGTGTGCAGCGGACGTATCAAAGCCGGACCTGTAATCTCGCTCTTGTTAGTCTCCGTCCTCTGTGGATACACATGTACTGTTGCAGGACCGTTGAGTGTGGGGCCGCCCCAATCCATCGGTCGAGAGATCAGACGAAAAGAGTATCGCCAAGCTTCTGTCAGGGAACCGGGCGTCACTGTTCATCTAGTCGAGTCCGGTACGGTCCCAGCACCAGGTAAGGTGGGCGGATCTTGACGCGAATCCGAACCATGGGTTCGATTAATGCGGCCGTTTGTGTCTCTATGACATCTCAACTCCACCAACCACGCTCACGTCCGTCGGCCATTATCCTCGGTTGATGGGCTTCCCGAAGATCATCACCGCCATCACCAGATTGGAGATGAGATGGCAGAGCGGCAGACAGGGGGCGTGACGTTTGGCGATTTCTCCTGGGAGAATCGGAGACGGAGACCTACGGATACTTGGTCTGTATTTCCCACCGGATAGGTCTGAATGCGGGCGCTTCTGGGCTCGCGGGATGCGGGCGATCCCTCCAATACCCCAGGTATTCCGAAATTGAGTCTGCCTGCTTTTATCCCATATTACTGGCAAAAAGTTTACTGGCCGCTGATGGCCCGGATGGTGAGCATCCGCCCCGTGATATGTTGCCCCTCGTCTTGGTCGTATGGGGGGTAAGGACCTTTGTTTCTGAACCTCCTTGGCTGGATGGAGGCTCTCACATGCTGGGGGGGATTTTGGGCGATCAGGGACCTCGATTGGTAGGGCCGCCAGGTTACACGTTGGAGCCTGGATGGCGGAACCTAATTGGTGCCGGGGGTGACGCTCGAGAGAACAATCAATCATGGCTTACCTCCGCTCAGTATTGTGGCTTTGCTAGAGCTTGAGTCTTGCCGGACGGGGGCCAAACGGGCGGCCGGAGGATGTCCATTGTGCGCAACGCGCAAAGAGAAGGAAAAGTCCCGGAGCGGACGGCCGCAAGTCATGGTTTTGCCACGGAGAATTGGGGGCCACGAGCAGCCCGCGGCGGCGACGGGCTGTGTTTCGATCTCCATGGCGCCGATGGTGGCTCGGCTTTCTCATTTTGAGTGAAGCCAATCAAGGAACGGCCTGTTTCTGTTAGTGCTGCGGCGGGCGAGAATGTTTCTGCTCCTGTAGGATGTAAATTGTGATCTGTGAATCGTGATGGATGGCAGAGGACGGTCTACCGGTATGACTCGGTGGACCCGTCCGACAGGTTAGGCAGCGTGCCAGTAGTTTGGTTTGACAGGCTGGTAGGGCGAAAAGGTCAGACGAATCCTATTCCTGATGAGGGTAGACGTTGGAGAGGAGGCCCGAGACCGAGGTTTGGCTCAGACATGTAGAACTCTGTGTGGTGTGGCCCAGCCCGCCCAGACTCTCGGCCGCAACTTTCAGCGGGCGGCATCAGCAGAATGAGGTGAGGGAGGCTTAATTGACGACGATTAAAGGGCTGCAGACCTGAAAGAGAGCGTGTGGTGGACGGGGTTCACGCCAGATGGTATCCGTAGTGTATCGGTATTCGTACTCTGTACTCCGTAAGGTAGAGACTAACAGAGAGCGCCGGTAGTAGAGCCCGTTTGGAGGGGAGTGCATGGAAGCGGAAACGCCCCGTTGGAGATGGTGGCATGGTGGCATGGTGGCATGGTGGCATGGTGGCATGGTGGCATGGTGGCATGGTGCAAGCCAGATTCAGTTTCAGCAGAGATCTGTTAGGAAACAAATAAGGTTTCCTGCATTAGGGCCCCTCTGTTGTTTCTTGCAATCCATGTTCGTCCCGTCGGTCAGAGGATGGGAAGGGGAGGGTGTGAATGGTCGGCTGTCTGTTCGCAGCGTACGTCTGTCTGAGTTTTTGGGAGACGTCGTCGGGAAGAGAGGTGAGTGGTGGAAAATAGAAGGGGATTTCGGGAGGGCACAGAGGGGTGACGAAGTCCCGGGTGTGGGCAGAAAGAAGGACGAAAAAAGAGGTCAAAGGTGAAGCTGACAGCCACACTTTTGATTGGCCGCGGTCAGTTTGCGGGCGGCGTGTGTGATGTATGAGTGGCCCAAGCCCTGAGTAGTGGGACCTTAGGTACGGATAGGTACGTACAGGACTCGATGTGGGGGCCGCGCCTGTTCGATACGTACCGTAGGCCGTCAGGGGGAAAGGGCGACCAAGAGGGAAAGGGCTGAGACGAGGGTGAAATTGCGCCTGCTTGCTAGCGAGTTTCAAGGGACGTGGGCCCAGGACATGGAAGTTGACCAAGAGGCAACCACGGCCTGGGATTCCCAAATGATCACGGCTAGACGAGCAAAAACGAGCAAAGTCCTCCTCGTCTGGAAACTAGACCCCCCCTTCTACACTCAACCCCCCCTGGCCCTCTGGAGTATGGAGAGATTTTTCTGTACGAAGAAAACCTGCCCTCTCCCTTTAATTGTGCTGTCGTTACGAAAACAGGTGAAGCGCTTTTATTGCTCTCTCCACATCTTGGCAGGAAAGTGGTGTGAGTTTCAATGTTTTGGTGCGTCTCGGTACCCACGGAAGGCGGGGGAGGATACTTTCGAGGAATCAGGATCGGAGAGACCCTTTCTTCGACAAACCTGCCAGTGCCTGCCCTACAGGTGAATGGCGGTAGAACAAATTCATTTATTTCGTCAACTTGTCACTTGTGACTGCCGGAGAGAAAGTGACTGACTGAGTGGTCCGTGAACCAACTGTGAGAGGAAAGTGAGTGTGTGTGAGAGGCCACGTTGGGATGCCGATGATAAAGTGCGTGTCTGAAAAGGATTGTTATCCAATGTAAAGTCTTATGAATAGCGTCCGTCCGTGTTTATCCGTAAGTTTCCCTCATATAAGGTACGGAGACTTTTAATGACGCCCGAATGAGGGGTGTGCTAAGTTTGGCTGCGGATGGATGTGGGCAATTCAAGTTGCAATGCGGCGACTGTATCCCAGCCTGGAATGGCATCGTAGTGTAGGGCAGTCAATTTAGACAAACATGCCGCTGTGCCGGGTGATCCAATGACTGCCATAGCAATGCCACATATGGAGAATAGATGGACAGGCACTCTACGCAGTAATTGGTCTCTCTACCCAGTTTCTGATCGGTAATGAGCGAGCACTTTGCACCAAGGACGCAGTGCACCATGAACCACCACGCCCTGAGAATTGTTAGTCTCAGAGCGCAGGTGCCGAGGCGGCGTAAGAGAGGGACGAACAAGAAACAGCCTCACGTTTCGATGCAGATGCCAACGCCTATGCTTCTACTTCGTACCGTACAACCCAAGGACACCAGACGCCTGGACTGTACACGCCATCACATCACATCGCTTCGCTTCGACAAGGTCGCGCGGGGTACGAAGTACGGAGCGAGGATGCCAGAACTGTCGATCAGATTGGACCACGGGAAGAGTCTACGAATACAGTCGTCAGTCGTGTCATGGTTCAGCGTAACGAAGCCAAGGATCTGTCTCTTCCTTCAAAGTTTCTTAGCTGGTAGTGAATATCCGTAGGGATTCTCGGTGTCCCAGACAGGACGGCGCTACTGTTGAAGGGGAGAGCCCTAACATCAAACCAAACAGCCGGGTTAGCATCTGGGCCTGTCGATATGGTAAGGGCGGCTCTGGCGCAATTGTTCCCATTTAGGAGGCTCTTACACGGCAAGCCGCAACGGGGCCAAGGACATAGAAGACGACGTGGGACGAAGTCAAGGAGCCTCGAGAACTGATTGACGGGCTGATTGTGGTAGTGTATCCATACTGCGTAGACACAACACAATACACTAGATCACTCACTGTGAACAAAAAGACGGTCACAGTGGACAGGGGTTCTCGGCCCCGCCGCACCGGTGGTTCGCAATGAGGTGGAAACTGCCCTGTGGAGCTCTCTTGCCTCGGGAACCGATACGTATCTACACTACGGAGTACGTATCTACGTACCCATTGCGGCTGCGAGGCTGACCGGGGTAATGGCGGTTTCTGTTCCTGACTTGTCCTAATATGGACTAGCATCCGTTTAGCGTGCCTTGCCCTTCTGTGCGCGCAACTCGCAAGGAAGGCTCAGGGGCTGCCGCGAAAACAGGCCAATGGCAGTCGCAGGCGCGCCTCTGTAACACGTACCGTCCATCGCTTGACCCCGCCGTCAAACGTCAGACAGACATCCTCACACAACCTTCAGACACAGGGTCACGATCCCGTCAGGACGACGACTGCCCGCAACAATCTGCACAACACCAGTGGCAGCATCAACAACAACCTGCCGCCCTTACGACAATTTCCCGCTCCTCACCAAAAGCGGCACTTGAGCACCGGCCATGCGACGAACGGCCGGCGGTTGCGACGACCATGCTGCAATGCAGCCTGCGCGTCCCTCTCCTCATCCTACTGCACATCGCAACCTACGCAATGGAATTACGCAGTAACGTCTTGTACTGCACACCGCACCGTCCACACCGCACGTGCAATACTTCGTACACGCGCGCTACACCATACGAGACCGAGACGAGGAAAGCAACCTGCTCAATACCCCGTTTCCCTCTTAATTGGGCATATGCCGCGAATGTACTCCGTATGCCTCGCGTACCCGCAGAGCCCCTACCTCTCTCTGCCTTGCTCAGCCTATCCGTACTCCATACGGACTCACGGGGTACTCCTCAACAACTATTCCCACGAATACCTCGCTATCGTTGTTCCAAGAATCCCCTCTGTAAGAGTGCGAGACTGCAACCCTACCCAGAGCCCAAAAACGCTACAGCCATTCCCCTTCCTTTGCTTTGCTCCCCCTCCCTCATCCTCGCCAATGCCTCCGCGAGATCGACAGCGAGCAGACGTATGCTTATCGCGACTTGAGACCAGATGTCGGCCGCAAATAGTAACACCCTCTTCCTTGTTGCGAGCCACCCGACCCAGCGTGACGGTGTCAACTCTGTCGAGGTCTCGGGCTCGGGAGGGATCAATGGTTTGTTTTTGACTCGAGTTACCTAACTTTCCAAAACAGCCTTCGGCGATGCCATGCCACGCCATCCCAAGCCCCATACTATGCGCCGCTCTGCCACGCGCGTAACACGAGTGTCTATACCTTACCTTATCTTAGTAGAGAGAGAGGGGACCGAATTTTCTAAAGTCCCTCCTCATCGGTCATGAACAAGATCCACCGACCATGTGCCGTGGCCGAAACCAAAACCAGCTGGCGGGTCATCAAGATGCTTGCAACAAACTAGCCAAGTTGAGGCTCTGAACTGAATCTGCATGGAATTGGAGCCCAGGCCTCGGGGCAGGCACTCTCTCCCCTTGTTGACGAAGAAGGGGAAGAAACAATCGGAGGCACGACACCGCTCTTTTCGGTAACGAGGACGCTACGCTGCACGGATTTGGTGGCTTTCCTTTACCATGTTCCAGGGTCACAAGTGTCAAGAGCCTCTTATTCCAACTTCCCAATTTCTCTTGTTTTCGTTTGCTCTTCGAGTCTTCAATGAGAGCTCCATCTCTGGGGGCCCTAGGCTTGGTCTATGCTCAACCTGCATCCGAGCCTCCGAGGCTACAGCTCGTTGCGGGCAATCTTCCATTTTACTTTGGCTTGTCTATTGGCGGGCGCCACTCGACTCTGGCTGCTCTCTTCTCGATCCATCATGGCGGCCGGTTGAGACGCACGTTCGTCTCTCACCGGATCCATAATCTCGCACCCATGCCTGTTCCTCGTCCGTCTCCTCTTTCTGGCCCTGCCCTCGAACAAGTTACGTACAGGGGTGTGATCAAACAGGGTGTGGCTTGCACAAGTGTTGCCGGGCCTGGTCTTGGTTTCTTCCTCACTCTCTCTTCTGGGTCTCTCTCACACACACTTTTTTTTTCTTCCTTTTCCCCTTCAGAAAATGGGGATGGCAGCAGGCCAGGCGGATGGATCAGACCAAACGTTATGCTCTGCTAATTCTGTCACATCCACCCCATCTTCTCCAGGGTCTGGCTGGCTTCACTGCTGAATATCTGCAACAGGGCTAGACTTGACGGTGTGCTACCCCCCTGTCCTGCATGTACCAGCACCCGAACATGATGAGGCAATGTTTGCTATGCCTGCCCACCCGCTCTTCTTCTTTGGGCGTGTGTGTGAGTGGTGCCTTGTCTAGGTACGGGGACAGATACGGTCTAATGCTGGTAGAGCTGGTCCCGTCTTGTCTCGTCCTGCCAGTTGCCAGACAGAAACTGAGAAGAGACTGGGACCCAGGGCCAACTTTGGCTGTGGCTGCAATATTACTTTATCCTCCCCCTCTCCCCCCATCTCGAGCCTTTTCTTCTTTCTGTTTACCTTCTCTACCTAACTTGGGTTTATCATCAACATCCCTTTTCTTCGTCTTCTTGAAGCGCAGTTGCGTGTCCTTCTTTTCTTCTCCCGCAGCTAGGGTTTTACTTTCCTTCATTGTCCAACTGGCTTGGCTGCACACACTCATTTGACTACGCTTCTTGAACACCACCTTTTTTGTCAATATATCTTGACCTATCCGGTTTATTCAAACAAACGAACTTCACTTCACTTCTTTGGGATCTTCCCTCAACTTGCCTATCCGTTTCCTCTCTCCTTGACGGATCTGCAGAAAGCCGACTTCGTTGTTGCGAGCTTCCGGCTGGGACACCACCTTTTTCAACAACAATCAACTTTTTAACCTTCGATTCGTTGGCAGCAAGTTTCTGTCTCTTCTTATCAAACCCAGCTTCCAGGACACCGCGAACAACGTAACGCGTGAAGATTCTCCACCGAGAGACCCCAAGAGTTTACCTTACTTCTGAGAGGTACAACGACGCAACATCGACTGTTCCGAAACGATTTAACGAGCAAATATGTCTCCCACGATGCAATTGGCGCCTCACACGGCCACCTACACTCCCACTTCCGACGCCATGGATCGTCATGAATATGGAATCACCAAGAACCGCAAGGCGGCTTCAACCGGAGGAGGCAGAGCATGGAGCGAGGATGAGGTATGTTTCACTCACAGTCTTGGGGACTACTGCCATTTAGAGTCACATGTGATACCAATGTCTAACCATACCACAGGAAGTCTATCTGCTTCAGACTCGTCTTCAGAAGATGCCTTACAAGCACATCGCCGCTCACCTGAAGAAGACTGAGCTGGCATGTCGCCTTCACTACCATCAGCTTAGCCACGGCAGCAACCGACGCAAGCAGCGTGCTACTTCGGTCTCTTCTGGTTCTTCTACCACCCACTCACCTGTCATGCAGCCGACGATGCCTTCTTCCCTCCGAGAGTCGACTCCTCGTTCGGTTTCTCCCCCAGGTAGCTCAACCAGCTACGCCCCTCACTCGCCCGCCCCTATGCAACTTCCCAGCATCATGGGCCACGAAGCCTCTCCCAGACTTCCCGCCATTCTCCCCAAGCCGGTCTGCATGACACTGCCACCTCCTACCGCCTCCCCCACCCGCGGGTACCCCACACCTCTCCCTGAACCTCGCAGCGCGGCTCTCCCCTCCGCCACCTTCCAGTCCATGTCTGGCAGCCTCCCCATGACGCCACCGCTGCGTCTGGAGTGCGCTCTTCCTTCTACCCAGTCCATTGTCAGCCATCAACACGTTGACATGAACCGTCTCCAATCCGTTTACACTGCACACCGCGCCTCTTTCTGGGCCGCTGTTGCCAACGACTACGGCCCGGGCGCAAGCCCCGTTATGTTGGAGCAGGCATGGCAAAACGGTGCATGCTGCAACCAGCAGCAGGCGAGCACACCCATCACACCCACGTCCAGCCCCGACAACCTGGATCGCGATAGCTACGAAAGACCTCAAGACAAGACTCGCATCTCTGCTATTCTTGGCATTGACGCCAACCCGCGTTCTCCCCGTGAGCGCGAGCTGGTGAGACGCATGGAGGAATCACGAGTCGGCGCCTAAGCAACTTGGCACCGTCTGAGCCAACACTTTGATTCTACCAGTGTATTACTTTACAACTTTGAGTGTCTGATTCTTGCTTGAGGTTCTGCGTCTTCCTGATGTGGAACGAGAAGACTACAGCATCAAGCCGCAGTTTTGTTATTCGCTTCTGTTGGTTTCTTATGAGAAATTCGTTTTCTTTGTCTTTGGTTTCGGTCTTTGGCCAAACCTCTTTTTCCATCTTCATCGTACACGAACACATACGACCGGGTGGCTGCGAACTGTTGGGACGATACTCGGCGCAGGAAGGGGAGATTGCTCAGGAGGGGAAAGGAGCCCTTTCTTCCATTTCTTCATTTCATCTTCTATCGACTTTTGGGGGGGGGGGGGGGGGGGGGGGGGGGGACGAGGCCATCACCGAGGCATGTGAGGGGGATTGGACGCTACATTCCTGGAACGGGATGGTAGGGCACGACTGGCAGTGCGGAGGAGGATATTTACAACATTTCTTTCATCTTCTCGGGAAGGCATTTTTTCCACCCTTTGCAGAAATGAAGTGATGACCACGAACCACAAAAACCCTCGCAATCGTGGGGTTATTCCGAAACAACTTGTTACGGCAGTTTTTTGTACATTAGAGCGGCCCCTGGGGTCCGGCGGGATTCATGCAGACGACGATCGCGTTGGCTTTTTTTTTGCTTTTTTCTTCTTCAAAACGGCGAATCGAGAAATCAGAGTTTTGAGAAAATCTTGTTCCTCCTGCAGTGAAATGCTATCCACCTACGTGTTATCAACGCTTGACTTTCGTGTCCTATGACAGCTGCAGCTGAGAGAAAGAAGCAATACGAAGAGAGAAGGATGCGATGCATCTGTCCAAGCGTGTGTGTGTGTGTGTGTGTGTGTGTGTGTGTTTGGACATTGGTGAATCGCTTCGGTACCGATACGATCTCTCAATCCCTGTCCAGATTAGGGTAACAAGTCGTCGAGTGAAGCTTGTTGACATTTGTCTGACAAGTGCTTTGACGATCCAAGTTGCAGTTTCTAGTTCCCGATTCCAGACAAGCGCTTCGAAGGAAACGTCCATACATACATGATCAAACCGTCAATAGCGTAATGTAGGAGCGATGCAAGATGCAGAAGAGGGGTTCACCATCGGCAATTGTTCCCTCGCGGCAAAGTGCAGTGTCCCGTCCCCGTAGGTTGTAGACCGTAGACACTCACGGCACCCTATCTTTCTAGGACGAAAGCTACGTACTTTCTTCTCTTCGCTTGAAGTTGGAAATAGCAACAGGGCCGTGAATTGTACGGAAGGCAAGGCCAGCCATGTGTACGTACCCGCGACCATCTTTTCTGAAGTTGAGGTTGAGATTGAGGTATGTACTGGGGCGCGGTCAGAGTTCCCTCCTTCACACCCTCCCAACCTTCATCCTCTTCCTGCTCCTTTCCCCTAGTACCTTCAATCACTTACTTCACTCAGCCCAAACGTCCAAAGATCCCAAGGTTTCGTCGGTCCGCCTTGATCAGCAAAGCTCTGCTTTATTTTATTTTTTTGACACCCTCCAAAACTTTCTTTCCTCCCAACTCTTGAAGCATAAATGGTTTTGGCCTTGTTGGAACAGACGCCAGCCAAGCATGGTCCCTGGACTTGTTTCTCTACTCCCCGAGCAGGAGCCAGGCAGAATATGGCATGGCTTGGCTCGAGAGAGGAGGGACGAAGAAGGATGGTGAAAGGGGGGTGAAGGTCCAAGGAGGAGGCTTCGTAATGAGCTGCGCCATCCGTCTGGATTTCGAAACGAGTAGAGTTGGGCGGATAGCTCGGACGAAAGAGAGAGAGACGCCGGCACCCCTTCAAGTCTCGACGAACGCCCTTCTATTGCTGTTCTCTCTGCCTTCCAACACTGGGGCACAATGAAACGAGCGAAAGGAAAAGCATGACTTCATCGCCAACGTCCCCCTCCCCTTCGCCGATCCAAACGCAGAGTCAAACAGAGTGCCATCCCATCCCACTGGTGAGAGACGCCAGGGAAATGCCCCTCTCTCGCCGTCCAGTCTCCGAACTTTCGCAACACGACAAGGCCTTGGCACGATTGCTGTTTCTCTAATCGAAACCCTACTAGAGCGGATGACCACGCCCTTCTCGGTTGACTCCAAGATTGCGCAGTTAGTAGTGGTGTAGTGGCCGGTATTGCGTGCATATGAGCGCACGCACACACACACACTTTACGACTTACATGCACACTACACACAGCAAGTGTAGCAACGGGCGGGGGAGAAAGATTCACGACGTTGCAACGCTCTCCACGCCCAGACAGAAAGTCGGCCGCTCAAGCCTGGGATGCGGGAAGGCTTTACGGGAGGACCCCCATGTTGCGGAGACTCCGTCTACCACGATCATCTCCAGATTTTCTCGTGCCAAAATGCCCAGAGAACTTCGGTCTCCGAGCCGTCAGCCAACTGGGTTTCACCTCGTCAGGTAGTCTGTACTAGCTTTAGCTCTGTTTGGAACGTGTCTTTTGCTCGGGAAAAGGTCCATTTTTAAGCCCATAGGTCTAAAATGTTACCATCCAATTTTATCGATAATGACTGAGGTAAGGTAGGTCATACAATCATTCTACTCTACTGAGTTCCTGAGAAGCACCGTTTTTTTCCACAAGGCACTGCTCTTTGTGAATTCCACCAGTCGAATATTCATAGAAGCCACTACCTCACCTTGTTAGGTATCTCAACGACTCTATGGATATCTTCACTTGTATTGAAGATTTTTCGCTTCCAGCTTCCTTCTAGCTCTTGCTCATAGCCCCTCAGTGTGGTTTCCAATGATTCCAACACCATTGATTCTGATATATCCTCGCTTACCCCATTGTCTTCGTCTGGCACGACAAATTCGAACTGCTGACCCTTGAAAAGAAAGTGCCGGTCCACGGCTTTCTGACCCTCTGACTCTCGGGACCACACTTGTTCTTCACAGTCAGGAAAGAAATCCTTCATCGCAGCTACAAAACCCCTCCCCCAATCGTGGCGGAGCAAGTGATTGTCACCGTTTTCGAGCAGTGCTCGTCTTTTCACGCGAGCCGCCTGTTCAAACCAGTCGTACGTGATAAATAGGGTATTTTGGTAATGTTGACCCCTTCTAAGTCGTAGCAATTTGAAACAAGCGCAAAGCCGCTTTATTCGCTCGGATATCGGTGCAGTTGAAGGGGCTAGGAAGTTCTGCGAGTCCGATACTTGATTTTCCAGCGTTGTCAAGATATATTGCCATGGATGTACCCTCATCCGCAAACGTTGCGTCGGCCCCGAATGCTTGCTTCGCTGACATGAGATCAGACTCTGGACCAGGCGTAAAGCAAGCGTGGACCTCTTTATCAAAGTATTGCCAGTCTAGTTGTCCAAAGTCGAAATCGCAATGCATTTCTTGCCGTCGATCAAGTACGCGTTGCTCCCACTGGCCTCGCCCAAGAGTGCGGGAATATAGAACGGTGGAGTAGATATTAATGATGTGGCAGAGTACCGAACCGTCGATCTCCAGCTGAATGCCGCCGTTTGTCGTGTCCGCAGACTGTTCGACTTATGGCCTCCACTTAACTACGTTCATGTTCGGGCGTATCCCGAGGGAATATAGAAAGTAAGCCCATGATGATTTTCCCGCTGACTTGAAGTCATAGTTCGGGCTACTGGACTGGTCGGGCTTTGACCACACCTTCCAGTATGGCCGGGAGCTTTGATCATTCTTGGATGCTTCTCTCTTGTGTTTCTGGGGGGTAGAAGCTGGTATCAACCCATCATTACGAATCAGATATGGCTCGAAGTCTCCGATTCGAAGACGGGAAAGCGGTGCTGGCCATGCTCATCCAGTGCTTCTTGTTTCAGAATCCGAGGCTTCGATTCTGCGCCTGCTCTCTGGTATAGTTATTGTAGAGAAAGGAGGCAGGCTTGGAGACCAATGTAGTAAGAGCCCCGGCGAGTCCGAGAGTCTGAGAGATATCGCTTTCGACCTTAGAAACATCAGACCCTGAAGGCTGACCTTGCTTCTCTGCCATTCTCTGAGATACAGACTCGGGCTCTATGTTTGTTCGTTTGAGATACTATAATAAGTTTGTCAGTGTTGGTAGATCAAAGCCAGCAGGTATATTCTTCATGGTATCCGGGATTGTCACACGGCTTGTACAGAATCGCCCGCATAATGCAAAACCACGAATTTTCGCTTACCTTCGAAGAGTTTGATGATTTCAAACTGTGCGCCTGCTCAGAAGTCAGGTACAGACTGGTTGTTTGTTCATACTTAAAGGACGGTCTATTCACTTGAATGAAGATTGCTGACCCCTTCTTTTGACCTGGAATGGCAGCCGACCATATGCCAACCGTACCTCAGCTGACGCCAAAGACAGTTAGGCCGCGAATTCTCGCCAGTCGCCTCTTCGTTTTCAGCCTGCAGACCGAAAGAGTTGCGGTGCGAGGCCTCGGTAGTGTAGGCAAGCACAGGCACCAGCCACAAGAAATGCTTTGGGAATCCTAACAACGCCAGTGTCAGTTCCGGAGACAGGATGGCGACAAGAAAGCGTGGACGGATGCGCGAACAGAGAGAGGCCCTTGCGTATCACACAGACTGGCGTCATCCAATTGTCCGATTGGCCGACCTCTCATCTGTCGAATGTTGATGGTCTGTATCGGTACGCAACTCACTCTACTCCAGCTGTGATGCGTGGGGGACATACTCGTCAACGGAGAGAATGCCGTTACTGACGATGCCTCTTCTCGAGGACTCGTTGTCCCCCTCTAAGTTGGGCCTCTCGAAGATGGCCCGGCATCGTTCAACTCCGTCGCATTTCATTTTCCGTCACACCCGTCATTCGTCAATGGGTCGTTCTCCATCCCATTTACCCCTCTTCAACACGTTCCATTTCGTCTTATTCACCCGCAAAAGTCAATTAAGTGTTGCTCCACTCCCAACCGCGGACTATGCCCCGATTCCCCTCCGGCACGGCTGGGATTACCCGACCGCAAGCTGCGAGCCGCTTCGTCTCCGCCGGCAATCCTTCCAATAGGATCGCTCGTATTAAGCAGCAATGGATTGAATGGTGTCGCGAGCGGATCCGTCCCCGAGGTCTCTGGTGGAGCGCCTGACGATGTCCCTGCCGGTAGCCTATTGAGGAACAGGAAGAACGCAACGAGCTCTGTTGACTTTCCCCGCGCCTTTCCCACTTTGCCCGCATTGTGAATCTTGGCTGCCGTTGTCGCTGCCGGGAGCTGTGCTCTCGCTCTTGAGCTACATGCTAGTGGTACGGACTCAGAACGGATGCGTGTGGTGGGTGAAACAAAGTTCAGAAAGATGTTGCCGCCCCCCAGTAGCCCTTTTCCCTTCCCCGCGTCTACTGCTGCTCGTTGAATCTTTTTCTCCCTTCCATGATCTTCGTGGACAAACTTCTCTTCTCCCTCGCCCCTCGTCTTAAGCTGGGCTCAATTCAGTACATCGGAAAGGCTTGGCCCTCCCAATTCTCGAACCCCTACGAGTCCACGCGAACTGACATAATTGTCTTCTTCCACCGAATCGAATAACCGTGTACGCCCCCAGACGTCTTCACGATGAGCGCAGACCAAGCAGGCCACGGTCCAGGTGACGCCGAAGAAACCAGCTACAAGGACAGCCACGATTACATTCAGTTCAAGGAGCACCCCATTGAAGGACAACTCAACCGGTGGTCGCACACAATCACAAGGGAACATGACTTTCCCGGCGCACAGGTACGCAAAACACTCGTTGAATACAGAACCGCCGTCTCGTGTGTCACAGCAAAGTTGGGGAATGCGGGGTTGAGGCTGATGCGGGGTGTTACCGCGGGGTTGTCAAAAGTTCACGGGAAATGGAAGCTCACGATGTTGTAGGCTATGCTGTATGGTGCTGGCGTGCCGAACAAGGAGATGATGAAGAAGGCGCCGCATGTTGGCATTGCAACAGTGTGGTGGGAGGGCAACCCTTGCAAGTATGTCTTCCCTTCTGGAGTGGGTGTCAAGAGTGGCTTCAACTAACACGGCACAGCACGCATCGTAAGAAGATCCCTTTCAAGAGAGAGGTCCTCTGGAGATGATCCAGCAAGACTGACGCGGGGACAGTGCTCGACTTCGGAAAGATTGTCAAGAAGGCAGTTGAGAAGCAGGGCATGCTTGGCTGGCAGTTCAACACCGTGGGTGTGTCCGACGCCATCACCATGGGAGGAGAAGGTAAACTATCACACCCTTTCTTGCAATTCTCATACGGCAAACACTGACTTACACTACCAGGCATGCGCTTCTCCCTCCAGACCCGCGAAATCATTGCCGATAGTATCGAATCCGTAACCTGCGCACAGCACCACGACGCAAACATCTCCATCCCGGGTTGCGACAAGAACATGCCGGGAACCATCATGGCCGCCGCGCGTCACAACCGCCCTTTTATCATGATCTACGGCGGTACCATCATGAAGGGCCACTCTGACCTTCTCGAGAAGCCCATCAACATCAGCACCTGCTACGAAGCCCGCGGTGCCTTCACATACGACCGCCTTCACGCAAAGACCAACCCCGGCACAGAAGGCCGCACCCCCTCCGACGTCCTCGACGACATTGAGCAGCACGCCTGCCCCGGCGCTGGTGCCTGCGGAGGTATGTACACGGCAAACACCATGGCGACTGCGATCGAGGCAATGGGTCTGTCTCTCCCGGGATCTTCATCATACCCTGCCCTGTCCCCGGAAAAGGCCCGCGAATGCGAGCGCGCCGCCGCGGCTATCAAGATCACCATGGAGAAGGATCTCCGCCCTCGCAAGCTCATGACCCGAGCCGCCTTCGAGAACGCTCTTGTGCTTACCATGATCCTCGGCGGTTCCACCAACGGTGTCCTGCACTTCCTCGCCATGGCCAACACGGCCGATGTACCCCTGACCATCGACGATATCGATCGTACCAGCAACCGTATCCCCTTCCTGGCCGACCTCGCCCCGTCAGGAAAGTACTACATGGAAGATCTCTACAAAGTAGGCGGCACGCCCTCGGTCTTGAAGATGCTCGTCGCAGCCAACCTCATCGACGGCTCCATCATGACGGTAACGGGCCGCATACTTGCCGAAAACGTCGCAGACTGGCCCTCACTCGACCCGAACCAGAAGATCATCCGTCCACTCTCGAACCCGATCAAAGCGACGGGCCACATTCGGATTCTCCGCGGAAACCTCGCTCCCCAAGGCGCCGTCGCCAAGATCACCGGCAAGGAGGGCCTCACCTTCACGGGCAAGGCCCGTGTCTTTGACAAGGAGCACGAGCTCGACGTCGCGCTGTCGGCGGGCTCCATCCGCCGCGAGGATGGTAACCTCGTTCTTATTGTCCGGTACGAAGGCCCCAAGGGTGGGCCGGGCATGCCGGAGCAGCTCCGCGCCAGTGCGGCTATCATGGGTGCCGGACTAGACAACGTGGCGCTTGTGACGGACGGCAGATACAGCGGTGCGTCCCACGGCTTCATCATCGGCCACGTCTGTCCCGAGGCGGCGGTGGGTGGGCCGCTTGCGCTGGTGAAGAACGGAGACACGGTCACCATCAACGGCGAGACGAATCGGATTGACGCTGTTGATGTCGATGAGGCGGAGATGGAGAGGCGGAGGAAGGAGTGGAAGGCGCCTTTGCCGCATGTGAGGCGGGGTGCTTTGGGTAAGTATGCGAGGCTGGTGGGTGATGCCAGTCATGGAGCCGTCACGGACGCGGCGGATCCGTCGTGGTAGAAGTAGACTTGTCTTGGTATAGGCTTGTAATTCAGTATAATTTGGAAGTCAACTTCTTCAGTCTCTGTCATACGTTTGCTTGGATGTTAAAGTCCCAGGATACCACCCGCAACATACCGGCTTTCTCCTCAAGGGACCGATGCTGTGCATAAAACACGGGTCTGCTAGGCTGGCAAGGTTAGCTGTATCTCTCGAGAGCGATAGCTTGGCCAATGCCTTGCATCAACGAAATGAGATGAGCGTGGATGCGCTGTTCAGCTTCGGGTTCGAATATCAGAATGAGGGATTGTAAAGTATCACAAACGACAGAGGCTCAGAAGTTCAGCAGAGGATCGTTTCCCTACATGTATGAATTTGACTACTATGTCCTGAGCTGTTCCTGTATGTACCACTGCCTCAGAGGATGAACGCACTAGTCGCAAGATATCTCGAGGCCCAAGAGCTTACGGTTAGGGGTGGGTAAGTCAATCTGGAAGGTTGCGTTCATCAGCTGGTAATGATATCTTGTAGTTCATTTAATAATGGGATTCTGGCTTAAGTTCTAGTCATCTATATAGGACTCCACACACAGCAGCGTAGTAGGCTGGCTTTCAGATCAAGCAATCCTCATCCGTACTGATGAACATACGACGGTAAAGTAAGGGAGTCTGAGGGGGACCCGGATATCGCTGCAGTCCACCGCAGCGTAGAGTGGTCATGATACTCTACAGCCAAGTACTTTCTCGTCTTCTTATGACAAGTCAACCTCACTCTAAGTAGGCAAGTTTTTGGACTATAAGTTATGGAGGAGCGGGAATGAATTTTACTGTTCTGAAGCTCTTTGGCTACCTTGCCAGATGACATGTCTTTCACCAGGAGCAAGTTTGAAGTATGGCCTTGGGTTGATCTTTACTTCAGAATGTGGTTACGTACTACTCTCTCACAGAGCAAGCGTCACGGCATCGGGGCACTTGTCGTTGGTAAACCACATGTATACCATTGGCGCTGGAAAGGCTGGAGCTTTCCAGCATGCACTTCTCTAACTTTGAAAGCTCTCCCGAGAACAGACGTCGATGTTTCGTTGTTTATGCGTCTCATACAGCTTGGTATCCTTGCGCGCGCGGTAAAAGGGGCTTATCCAGCACCCTCGTTCTTCCTGCAGCATGTCTTCTCCCTCCCTCTCTCGCTCGCTATTGCGAATGCGATCTCCCCCACCTTTCCTTGCTCTCGACAACTTGGAAAAAAAAAAGACTTGCGCGGCCCAAGGGATAACCCGAGCCAGCCATTTCTGTAGCTTTCCACCTCTCTATTTCATGCGTCGCGATTCCTTGTGGTGTGTGATTGATGAAAAGGAAAAAGAAAAAGAAAACGATTATGGACAGTGACCGAAAACTTTGAAACCCTGAACTCCCAAAGAACTCGAGCAAAGACATGTAATGGCAATGCCGTTACACCCATGCGTGCCAACATTAATGAGACAACCTTCTGAAGACAAGGAGTCTGACGTCTCCGCTTCGTCAATATACAATCCCTTTTTATGTCGTTTCCTCCGTGACTGGCGCCAGAGCTCGTATACTGGCTGTGACTCGTGACATCGTATGCATATGCGATGCGTTGTCGTTGAAATTACGGGCTGGCCCATCCACCGGCAACATCAACCCATTCAGCAAGGCACGATCCTTCCTTACCCTCGACGTCGACAATATCCGTATCGCATCGGCATCTACATCCAACTCCGTTCTCCTTCTCAGAGTCCCAGTTGTCCCAGTACTTGTCTTCCTCGGCACGCTTCTTGTCGTCGAGAGTTGTCTTTTCGAGGAAGGGCTGTCTGGGCAGCTGGCGGGCTGGAGCATTGGCGGGGCAGTGCTGGATAGTGGTGTGTCGGTATCCAAAGTCACGGAAGTAGTGGATGTCGCGAGGGGACAGGAGGGCGCCGGCTGCCAAGGAGTGAATGGGGGCATCACCCCACTGTCAAGTGTTAGCTTAGTTCGTTATAGTTGTGCATCGTCCGGACTTACGCGTTCCATCCAGAAACCTCCACTGCGGTCCATCATCTCGAAGAACTCTTCGTACTCCTTGCTGCGGAACCAGTCAAGGCTGGCAATTTCGAAATTGGACCAGAAATGACACATGTTGTACGACTCGCCTTCCATAGCTTCAGGGTCGATATCAGGCAGGTTGTTGCGGTTGGGGTCGGCCCGCAGAACTTCTTCGGGCAGGGGAGACTGGTCGGTGACCGGCTCTTCCTTCTTCTCGACGGGGTCGACGAACATCTCCCACAAGCCCTTGGACTTGATGCCCTTGAGACGCTTGTAGGCGGAAGCGTATCTGAAGATGTTGGGGACAGTCTCGCGAAGTTCCTTGACAGCGATGGTGAAGCCGTAGGTCTTGTTGGCATCGATCATGGCCCAGAAGGGATCACTGTGTGGAGATTAGCAAGTGAATTGTGATCGATCAGAGTGTCCAGACGTACTAGGTGATGTCGCAGAAGTACTTGATCTCGGGCTCGAGACGCCAGTACCAGTTGTACTTGGCGAGAAGCTCGTGCTTGTAGAAGAAACTGTGCCGCGTTAGCATAGGAATGAGAGGGGTGTTTGTGTCTCTGCAACGCACCCAGAGTAGAAGCGGCACATGGCGTGGTAGCTCTCCAAGCCACCGTACATGACAGCAGCGTCACCCTGCTTCGCGATGCCCTCCTTTGCGACCTTGTGGTCGATCCAGTCGGGGTAACCCCACATCTCAGGACCGACCTTGCCAAACTCGACGGGGGCAGACGTGTAGTTCGTGACAACCTCCTTGAAGGTCTCGTTGAAGTCGCCATCGTTCAGGAAGACGTAGGGGTAGTGGTACCAGCGGTTGAAGTGACGCTCAATGGACTTGATCGATTGAATGACGCCCTCCAACTCCTGGTTGCGGGCCAGAACGACAAACGCACCGTTGGCCTTGGGTCTGCTCGTATCGGGCTCGAGGCATCCGGTGACGAAAACCTTGTCGTGCTCTTCGCTGATTTTCCTGTACACAAAGTGGTTAGGATTGGCCAATTGAGGACTGTGAGATTAAGTGCATACCTGATGGCAGGGGGAGCGCCTGCGGGCATCAATATCCTTCCAGGCGAGCTCGGGTGTCTAACGAAGAGCACGAGGATAAGGATGACGACGATCAAGGGAAAGAGGATGACGACGCCGAGGGGTACCGAGATGCTCGAGTTTCCGCGGAGTCGCAGGGGCCTTTTGAAGAAAGCAAGTCGCGAGGTCAATCTGTTCTGGCGAGCGGCCTTTGTGGTAGGCTTCTCGTCGGCGGTAGGCAGTTGCGGCGACGTCGAGGTCGCCTTTGCGGCTCGTCTAAAAAGATCCATGACGGTGGCTGCGGCGCACCGTGGCCAGCAGATGTGTGAAGGAGGGAGGTTGTGTTTAGCGGTCTCGTGGCGGAGAGATGTCGGATGAGAGATGGGATGGCTCCAAGGTTGGCGTTGAAGGATGTGTCGTCAAGATTAGTAGGGTTGGATAAGGGGTGCGCAAGGCGATTGCGGTGCGATGCGTCGATTAATGGAGCTGTTGTCTTTTTTTTTGGATGAACACGCGGACCGCGAACAAATGCAAAGCCGTATGTTATCGAAGCAGCATACGCAGGCGAAAAACAAAAAGGCTGATTGACACGTGGGTTGTGTGGGCGATGCGAATTGCGGAAGGGGTGCGGTACGTGAACGAGCGGCAGGGACGAGATTTCCCTCGAGCAAGGCGTCGGGTTTGGTGGTGGTTGTGGAGTGCTGATCGCAGACGGGGGGTTCGAAGCTGAGACTGAACAGTTTTCAGACTTCGCGTCCAAGGCGGAGAGAGGAAAGACACGGCACTCGCTGATGGAGAGGGTGTGATGTGGATGCGGTAGCGGAAGCGGAAGCGGAGCGCGCGGTTGCTTTGCTAGGCCTCGGTGTTGCAATCAATGGGCGAGTCGACGGTGAGACTGCTACCCTCGTGGTATGTGGTCGATTGTGTGTGCGTGGGATTGAGCCCAAAGGTCAAAGGAAGCAGAAGAAGGTTGATTCTTCTCTACCAAAGGTCACACACACACACACACACACACACACACAAAGGGCCTGACGGGTTGAGCCGAGTTGGGATGTGGTCAATTGCGTCGAACGAAGGGTCTCGTCTCGGCAGGCGACATAGGTCAGTGGCGTTCGCGAAAAAAAGAAGGCGCGGGCGCTTGCGAACGCTATCGTAGGTTGTCTTCGTCGTCTTCGTTCGTTAGGTCGGAGGGAGGGTGATGGGTTGGAGAAAGGGAAAGGTCGTTCGGCGGGATGAAGGGGGTGGGTTCGTGGGTGGGAGAGAGGAAAGGGAGTTGGAATCCGTCGGGGACGAGTACCTTATGGAACCAACTTTTTTTTTCTTCCTTCGGGGGTGTGGGAAGGGGAAAAAAAAGCTGACAGATGTCACGGATACGGATGAGGAGACGTCTACGGGTGGGAGAGAGGTGGCAGAGTTGCGGATAGCCCAGTCAAGTGTCAGTTGGCATTTTTCAATGGCGATAGGGGAGCCGGGGGACGAAAGGAGACACGGTACATTAAGGTACCTTAGGTAGGTAAGGTAATAGGCGCCTTCCATACTCCGTACCGAATCCATTTGACAGCACCGCGCAATTCGATAGCGAGATAGGGACGCCGTCTCCTGTCATGCACCTCACCGGCTCACCCTCACAGCCTCAGATGGTGACCCCTAACAACAATGCCATCTTTCTTCACTCCATGGCCATGTGTGCTCTCTGCTCACCTCATGCTGGGCTCGCCGTGGTCTAGGACTTGAAAGTTGACGGGGATGGCAGAGACCAGACCGGACTGGACTGAATCTGGACGGGAACTGCAACGACCGCAACTCCAGAACAGCCAACCAGAAGTCAGCAAGGGACAGCAGAGTGGGGGCAAGGGGGGGCATTGGGTGGATGCGAGCAGCTCAGGGAACCTCGCGTCATTGGATAGATCGTCCCGCCAAGAACCGCGGAAAGGAGAAGGTGGATCCCCCTCCTTTTCGTCTGGATACCTGGGGTACGTACCGCCCACTGTACCAGTTCTCTCGTGCAATCTGGACTCTTCCGTTTTCATCCAGCAGTCTCTCTTTTTACCTGTCTCAGCAGAGGATGTTGCATTAGATGCCATTATTTCCTGTAATCTGGGTATCTGGCTGTTGCCCTGGAGCTTGTCAGCTCCTGCCTGCCATCTGCGCCACGCTTCCCACCTCCCGTCTGCCCAATCGCCGAGCAGACAAATCGCACACCACCAAGCAAGTTCCCAACCCGATCCTGCTCCGATGGTGGCATTTGACGCCCAATAACAGCCAGTCTGTGCCTCTAGCGCGACGACCGCATGCGACACTGTCATCTCCTATGCTTCTGTCGTTATCGACTGCCCACGAGTGGCACCAGCCGCGCACGCAATGAGGTTGGATGTAAAAAAGCCCATGCCGGAAATAATACAGATACAGCTTGCCTAGCTCCGTTGATCATTGATGAGATTGATGAAGCCCATCTATCTGTGTGGATCACCAGATAACCATGACTTCAACTCTATTCTTCGTGTGGGTTACTCACATGATGTGCATGACTGGTGTATGCCATACTCACTTCACCAACCACTTTACAAACGGAGTACGGTACACTTGTTTTGATGCCAATGGTATGAGGTGAAGCAAAATCTCAACGCCCTGTCTCATTTTGCCATATAATTACCTTATATCATCCTCCTACATTCTTGATGTCCTTATCAAGCTGTCAGATGCCAGAATGGCTGAGACAACACAAAGCTCTCGTGCCCCGACTGACGTCTGAAATATTAAACTTTAATCACATATGGACTGTTGAGCCTTATTTACATCCCTCTGCACCGTAAAACGACAGTTACGCCCTCTCCTGTTCGTGACCCCTTTCCAAATGAAGCCAGGTGCTCGCCCCAGCGATAAGACATCCTTATACACTGCAGGATAGTAAACGATAATTTCCTCCTTGTCATGTCTGACATTTGTGAAAACCGACGATGCTCAGCGGAGGAGTGTATCACAAGATTTTCTCCATAATGGCTGCTGATATCTGCCGAGAGCCATCCCTCATCCAATTGCTGAGGTTCCTTACTTCGCCTTGCTAAACACCTTCTTCTCCGTAGACCTCATCTTCACCATAATCCTCTCATACAACGGATCCTGCAAAACCGCAGGCACAAGTTCCAAAAACGCCATCTGCACCGCATGACCCCAATACGGAATCAGCACCGCCCTCCCACACCCGACTCGATCCAAGATAGCACTCGCAATAACCTCAACCGAAGGCCAGAACACCCGGGGCGTCATCAGCTCCGGCTTCGTCGCCACCGCCCCGATCCGTACGCCCATAACCTCGACATCAAACCCGTCCATCGACAGCTCCCTTGCCATGGACGTCGACATGGCGCCGAGATACGCCTTGCTCCCACTGTAAAACGACAGCAGCGGCAAGCCGTTATCCGAAAGTGACCCAACATTGATAATCAGCGCGGGCTCCGACGACGCAGTAAACCGCGGGATCAAAATCGCGTTAAGCAGCGTTGGAAACAGTGCATTCATATGCACATTGGCCGCGACCTCCTCCATGGACGACTCATCCAATCTCCTCATAATCGGCTCCGCCGGCCCGCCGCCGACATTGTTAATGAGCACACGTAGATTCAAGTTCTCCAGCGGCGCAAGCATGACATCCCATGGCTTATCCCCGGCCCCGAGAACCCCTGCATCGCCAACCATGATACGGAATTCCCTCTCCGGGTTCGCAAGGGCGAGGTTATGCCGCACCTCCTCGAGCTTGACGTCATTGCGGCCGTGGAGAACGACGTTAAAGCCCCGGGCGGCGAGCTCGTTGGCGAGACCTTTGCCTATGCCGTCGCTTGCGCCGGTGACGAGGGCCCAGGCTGGCTTGCCGTTGACGGGGACGAGGTACCGGTTGAGTTTGGATTTGCGGAGGAAGGGAAGGAAGGGCCATGCGACGTTGTATGCCACCCCAACGAGAGCTATGAGCCCGATTGTTTGAAGGAATCCGAGAGAGTCCATAGTAACGTGATTAAAGGAGTAAATACCTAGCTGAAAAAAAAATAGCACGAATGTGAATGAGAGAGCCCGAGCTATGGTGCCTACATTGTCTCCGTTCCATGGTCAGCTACTTAAACGCTCGCAAGAAACGAAACACGCATGTGAATGGTCGGACCAGACGTCATTCAGTCCAAGAGGCTGTCGAATTGACTCTGGCCAACAGGGATGATTCAACAACACCAAACGCCAGTTCTTCATGCTCTCCGCGTGGGAGTTGTGCATCCGAGGGTACGAGCAGCAGCCGGCTACCACGAACCGAGATACGGATACGTCTCTCGGAGCCAAGTCGTTTCCCGATGAGCGGCTACCTAGACGAGCTGGATCTACCCGCGGCCTACGCAAGATAGTCCTCAACATGTCAGTAATGCAAGAGTTGGGCCGAACTCTGCTTCCCCTTTTGCCCCTGACAAGCCTATTTCCCCAGACCAGAAGCCTAGGCCGTTCGTTTCCGCTCAACATCGGACGGAGAATAGGGAAGTGCGGAAAATAAGGCCCAGCTTTTTTGTGCTTGGGGGGTTAGTAGTATTGATACAATGTCTGTACATACAAATCGCCGGGAAGTAATGGTACATTTTTTCGTCCTGCTTTTTTTTTTCTCTCTCGCCCTTCCTCCACACCAACCACCGTTCTCCCGCGTCTACCAAAGGACGTTGTCGCGGGTAACCTTCTTGGTCTCCTTGCGCGACTCCTTGTCGGCGTGCTCGATGCGCTTCCTCGCAAGCGGAACCTTGAAGTACAAGGAAGGCGACTCGCCCTCCTTGAGCAGGTGGCTCAGGTAACCGCGGTGGGCGGGGTCGCGGTAGTACTCGATATCCTCACGACTCGTGGGGTCGGGCAGTCTGTAGTGGAACGTCTTCTTGCGGGACTCGGAGAGGATGCTGTCGACGTACTCCTTGCCGACGGGCAGAGGCTTGTCCGTGTTCAGAGACTCGCCGCTGAGGAGACGCTTGATGGACTGCTTGGTGTAGAATCTGGTGAGGATCTTGCCACCGTTGCCCTCGACGGCGTCAATAGCCGAGGCGGAGGCGCGCGAGACCATAATGTCGATGGGCTGGCGGAGGTCGGTCTTGCCGCGGCCGAGGAGCTTGATGCCGTCCTTGACGCTGCCGATGAGGCCCGACTCGATGATTTCCTTGACGGTGATTTGCTTCGTAGGGTCCAGTCGGCCGGCGTCGATCCATTGTTGGAGCTTGTCGAGGTTCAGTTTGGACATGACGGGGGCGCGCCTGCACTCAGAGGTTAGTTACTGTTCGTTCAACGAGCCATTGGCGTATGAGTGTGAGGAGAGCAAGGCAACCTACTTGTTGTCGAAACCCTTGGTTCCCCTTTGCACGATCAACGGTGTCTGACCACCCTGGAACCACGGCTTGACGTGACCATGCTGTCCCTGACCCTTGTGACCTCTTCCAGACGTCTTGCCCTTGCCGGCAGAGGGACCACGACCGAGTCTGATGCGCTTGTTGTAAGCTCCCTTGTTGTCGCTCAGGCTGGCGAGGATGGAGGCATTGCGGGTGCCGATGGACAGGCCGGCGAAGAGGGAGACGAGGCTCGTAGGGTTCGTGGAGGGGAGGATGGCGCGGCTACAGCATGTCGCAGCATGCAACGGCGATAGTATCCGTGGCGGCATTGTGAGGGTGGATATGGTGGTTGTGGGCGTTGGGTGACGATGAACAGCGACACGGCCGAGATACCAGGTCCGGTCCTCCAAAATTTCCAATGGAGCCTCACTCTCGGGAAGCTGCTGCAGGTGGCCCGGTCGCGGTTCGGGGGGTTCACGCGAAGAAGAGCCGACCGAGCCACACTTGTGAAAAGTGGCTGAAGCTCGTTGACATGTGGCTGGTGACTGCCATGAACGGAGTATGTACCTTGCATGCTTACCTAAGGCCCACTTGAGCGCCATGACTTGCGTTAGGCGCCTGAAGCTTCCCTGGCGCGCAGCCCAGCGCCCCTCCAAAGGCTCCAACACTGACCTGCGACAGGGACTGTTTGCTCCGCAACAGCGTGGTGTCCTGGTTCAGTCCACTAGGTGTCCCAGCTCCGTCCCTGGTTTAGGCACAGACGGGCCATGAATTCGGGCTTACCTCACCGTCAGTGTTCGCCAGAAACAGCGTAGGTATCCTCGTCCAAGTCCCAATTGAAAGTACCAGGTTCCTTCCCACGGCCCGTCTCGACTTGTCTCAAGCTTCCAATCCTTGGCCCCAGCTTTGCCTCTAGGTTGGGACTCTTAAGAGTAAAAAAAAAAAAAGTTTCAAGCTTTTCGTCTTGATTAATCTTTTTCTTTTCAAACCTCCAAATCGTGAGATCGCTTTCTTGTTTCTGTACAGTTTGTTGTGTGTACGTATACGCATCATCATCGTCAACCAGTGCTGCGTGTACATACATACATAGGTACCTTACCATTGTCGCGGCCTGTCGCATCATCCTTCCACTGGACCCCCCCGGTCTTCCTTTCATCATCGTCTTTTGATTCCTTGCGCTCTGTTGGTGTTTGCAAGGTATGGATACTCGACTGGACTAGACGCAGCATAGCTCTCCCACACCTTTGCCAGCCGAACTCAAGCTCTCTCGGCTCTCTGTTACTGCGATACCTTGACGTTGGCGCCAGTACCCACGCGGCAAGCTTACTCCGTCCGGACCTTTGGTCACCACGACTCGCCCGTGGACCTCTCTGCTCTCTTACCTTATCTCGTCACACTGCAACCGCCCGTATTCTGCAAAGTCCCCCGTTACGCATCAATTACGAGGCCTCTCTGCTCTGCGTCCTGCGTTGGATAGCGCACTCCTCCGACCAGCAGCCCTTCCAATCCATCCAAGGCAGGTCAATCGGCCTCCAGAGTACAGATACCACCAGCCAGATTCCAGTACTACCTCGACTACCTTGGAGCTCGTTACCACCATTCTCTTGCACCCCTCCTAATCGCAATTGGCCGCCTAGTACATAATCGCCTACAATGTCCCTCTTCGGATCATCACCACCGGCGGATTCGCCCTCAAACACCTCTGCTGCACCCTCGCGATCGCTGTTCGACGAAGGCTCCATGTCAAAGTCCGGCTCCAATTCCCTCTTCACCGACGACGATCTCGCCGGAGCCGAGAGCTCGCCCTGGGACATGCCCACTCCGAGGAAGAAGCAGTCGCGCGCCGATGTCGTCCGTAACCTCTTATCCGCCTCCGACGTGCCCGAGCCCTACATTGAGACCTTTGACACAGTCGTGCGCGAAGATGGCAGCGGAGGGCGCGTCAACGCCGGTGGCATAGCCAAGCTATTCGCTGCTGCGCGCCTGGGAGCCGACCAGCAGGCGCAGATCATGTCCATGGTTGTGCCAGCTGCAGGTGGCGACATTGATGTCGGACGCGGCGAGTTCAACGTCCTGCTGGCTCTTATTGCCCTGTCACAGGAGGGCGACCACATCAGCCTCGACACCGTCGACGAGCGACGCAGAAGTGAGTCCATTTTCCACCTCTTTTCTTTCCGTCACCATCACCATCATCACCACTACCAGCAAAACATCCACTTTTGTCTTGCCCACCTTGTTATGTCATGACCTCGGCACCCTGTTCGCCGAGCTGAGCTATCCGACCCTCGCAGCTATCCCTCCTTCGTACCTTGCTACCACTTATCAGTGCGCGCAATCTGTGTGGGGTTCTCTGCTAATTGCCAATACACTAATCCAGATCTCCCACTCCCCAAGCTCGCCGGCTTGACTGCTGCTCCCGTGATGCCTCCCGTCTCCGAGCTTGCTGCCAAACCTCCTCAAGCCCCTGCAACCCCCGTCCAAGATACCCCATCGCCGCCCTCACCGCCGCCGCCGCAGCCCACCACTCTGCGCCGACCTCCGATGGACTTCCCAGAGCCAGAGGACCCATGGAACTCTCCCGATGTACACAAGGGCCACGCGCACGCCATCGCCGAGTCCCCCAGTAGAACCAACGGCGCCAGCCCCCAGCGCCCGGCAGCAAATGGCAATGGTAATGGCAACGGCAACGGCCACTATAGCACGTCTCCGAACACCGCTATCGCCGGTCGAACCATGTCTTCCTACACATCTGCGGCCATCGGCTCAGAGAGAAGTTCCGGGCGCCAGGATGTAAATACTGGGACATCCCCGGGTGGTGGATGGGGTGGCTATTTTGACGGCAACACCACGGGAGGCGGCTTCAGCGAGCCGCCCCCCAACAACCAAGTCACAAGTCCCTTTGGTGGTGCAAGCGGTGGACGCGACGCGAATCTGAACACCGCGACCGTGCCATCTCTGCGGCCCGCCGTGAGCGGTCGTTCGGGAAGCTCTGTTGAGGAGAACGTCGTCGTCACGTTGATGCCGGAGAAGGAAGGTCTCTTCATGTTCCAACATCACAACTACGAGGTTGCGAGCGTCCGACGGGGCAGCAAGGTTATCAGGCGGTACAGCGACTTTGTGTGGCTTTTGGACTGCCTGCACAAGCGGTATCCGTTCAGGGCCCTCCCTCTACTGCCGCCTAAGCGTGTTGCTGGTAAGTCTGGATGCTAATTTTTTGTTTCCCATGTTTACGTGATTCCCACTAACATCAACATGTTAGTCAACGGCAACCACTTCTCGAACGACGGCGCGTTCATCGAGAAGCGCCGCAGAGGCCTGGCGAGGTTCCTCAACGCCCTTGTCCGGCATCCCATCCTGAGCCAGGAACAGCTCATCATCATGTTCCTCACTGTCCCGACTGTAAGCCACGTCTAGTCTTCTCGGTCTACTGCATCTCGCTAATTGTTAGTATCAGGAACTGGCTGTATGGCGCAAGCAGGCCACCATTTCCGTCCAAGACGAATTCTCAGGACGTGCCCTGCCGCCCAACCTGGAAGACTCGTTGCCGCCCACCCTCGAGGGCATGTTTGAGAAGACGCGCTCCGGCATCAGACGGTCAGCCGAGCTGTACATTAACATCTGTAACGTCATGGATCGCCTGGTGAAGCGCAGTGAGGGAGTCGCCGCGGACCACGCTCGCATCGCCATGTCTCTGACTTCCCTCACTGAAACGAGCGCCGACACATACGCCAGCGACACCAACGATGTTCCTCTGCTCAATGATGGCCTGACATCCATGAGCAGACATCTGAGAACGTGCCAGACGCTTTTGGAAGATGAGAGCAAGGCCTGGGATGAGGGTGTGTTGGAGGATCTGAAGCGCCAGCGAGACGCCCTCGTGAGCATCCGTGACTTGTTCGATCGCAGAGAACGTCTGGACAAGGACAATATTCCCTACCTCGAACGGAGGATTCAGACGAATGAGACCAAGTTGGCCAGTCTTCGCAGCAAGCCTGACGGCATGGTCAAGCCTGGTGAGATTGAGAAGGTGGTTGAGTCGATTCTCAAGGTATGTTTCACGCGTTCTTCTGTTTTAATGGTATAGTACTAACAATCTCACAGGACAAGGAGTCTATCGTCAACCAGCACAACCGATCTATCTTTGTCAAGGAGTGCATCCGTGACGAGCTCATCTACTTCCAGACCACCCAGTTTCACGTCTCGCGCTGGAACCAGGACTGGGCCCAAGAACGCGTCAAGTACTCTGAGATGCTGGCCGATAACTGGCGCCGTCTCCTCGATGAGCTTGATGGCATGCCCCTTGGCGACTAATTACCTTTCCTCCGCACTTTGCCCCTTTCACATGAACGTATCGGTTTTGCATATGAGCGTCTATTCACTACTGGCGTTCTGGTCTTTCCTCTTCATCCGCCGGAATTATTCCGACTCTTGCGTTGGACTGTGTCAGCAACAGTCTCCCCCAAGTCTTGTACGAATTTGTGTCCGATGGTCCTTGTCTTCTCCCTCTGAGCGCGATATCTCTCAAGTCAGAATGTACATCTTAGAGCAGGGACCCGTTGCTGAATACCCTTTGGTAACGCAAGTTGCTTTTAATACATTGTTCTTAATCTCAGCATCATCTTTTGTTCTTGCATACCGTGACTTTCCTGGCAATTTCTTCGAGACCAACGAAGCGAAGTTGCCGTCGCCGTTGTAATCAGATTACTCAAATTGTCCGATGGCTTCAGGTCAAGCCCAACCCTATCATTCTGATTTGATCTCACGCTAAAGTTCTGCTGGCGGATGAGGCCTCGACTACTTCATCCGGTTCCGCATATTCAACGAGATTAAAAAAGCCCGCCATTCTAAGTTCTTCATTCGCAACGAACCTTCGACAATACTGATGGCAAATATGTAATCCCTTCAGCCCAAGTAAGTGGCCATGGATTTTCCCATCTCACTTTGATCACCGCTCTAGTGTCAGATGAGACCTTGAGCTTCTGAGCTAAGCGATGGCTTCTCTATTCATCAGAGTACATATGCCATCTACTAGATAGATGGTGCCCACGGTATGAAGCTCTTCGTCCGTCGAGAAACCATTTTGAAACCAAGAAAAGCCTACCCCCAAAAAGTATATGGTCCACTAGTCGAAGTTCTCGATTGAAGCTCCCGTTCAACTCATGTCAACCCAACTAAGCTTTCCGTCTTCAGTAAGCTATAGCAGATCTATCGAGGAGACGTCATCAAGAATGAACTCCAATGATTTCAGCCCACCCTCGGAGCTTCTGGTTTCTTCTCCTCTGTATCTCGTGCCTCAAAGGAACGTTGTCATGCTCCGATCGTGTCCCTGTATCAGACGTGGCACATGTCCCATACGGCCCCCTATCACCACTTCATGAAGACAGCCTCCATCTACGTCCTCAACCTTAGTGTGGCTCGACAGCCTCAGGACGAAGCAAAGCCATCATCAAAAACTCATAAGCTCCGTTAGAACTCAAGCCCTAGAATGCCGTCAACAAGCGGATCCCCCTTCCCCACGATGGGAATTCGTGATGGGAATTCACAATGGGAAAACCCTTTCAGTTGATGAGCCTTTTGGAGTTTTCTCTTTCTTCTTTTCCCCATTCAGACATCACCCCTTTCTTCCAGCCTTTTCTGGACCTATTTCGATATCCAAACAACAGCCAGCTCGCGATACTCAACCATGGACGTAAGTCTCCTCCCCCTTGGCCCCCTATTTCTTGCGAGTGTTGCCTGCTAATAATCGATTGCCAGCAGGAGGACAAGAAGAAGGAGGAGAGGAAGGCGTCGTCCGTTCTCGACGAGGCCGAGGTCGAAGCTGAGGAGGGCAGCCCCTCAGCTGCCAGCACCCCTCCCGGCGCTCCCTTCCGCGCCACCCGCGCAGAGGCTCCCTCTCCTCCGTCGCCCGTCTGCCCCCGCCTCGACCGCCTCCGCGCCGAAGACCTGTCTGACCTCGAAGACCGGCCTGCTGCTCCTGTCTGGCCCTCTGCCTCTTCGCGGCCTGCTCCTCGGCCTGCTCCCCGGCCCGCTGCTGCTGCGGCTGCTGCTCCCGCTGCATCTTCCGGTCCTCTCGCCGTTCGTGCTGCGCCCGCCTCCCGCACAACCAACGGCCTCGCCAGCAAGACCAGAACGGTCATCTCGGTGAGCTCAGCGAGCTCAGCGAGCCCGCTGGGCTCGGCCCAGGATGACTTTCTGGAGCAGTGTAGCCTCGATGGGGACGATGCCCCTCTGAGAGGACCAAACGGCGAGATGCTCCACGCCAGCTGCACCGCCGACTTTTACAACGCCAACCCGACCCCGTACGGCAATGTTAATCGTTGCACCGGCCATCACTTGGATCCTTCTTGCAAGGACCAGGCCTACTGCTCCAGGGAGCGTAAGTGCCGTAATAAGCGGCACTTTAAGGATGCTCTGGGCCGCATCAATCACAAGAATTGCAGCCACTGTCGCGCCGTCGTGAAGACGAAGAAGATCAAGGACACGACCAAACGGGAGGAGAAGATCCAGGAGCTTGTTGCCAAGATGGATGGCGTTCCGTTCAGACGCGGTGCTGGAAAGAAGCGTAACGCCAAGGGCAAGAAGAAGGGTCTTGGCAAGAACAAGACCTTGGGCAAGAAGGTCAACTCCGGCCGCAAGGCTGCTGCGGGTTCTTGCGCGATCATGGAGGAAACCGAGTCCGAGGCCGAGGTCGAGTCGGGCGTGGAGTCCCTGGGCATGGATCTGCCTGACCAGCGTCCCGGCTTCAACAAACGCCGCCGCGACTCCGACTCCGACGAGGATGATACGTACGGCGCCAACGGCAAAGGCGGCTTTTCTGGCTTTGGTGGAGGAAACGGCGCACTTCCTGTTGCGGCTTGCTGAGGAGGTCTCCTGCTCTCGTTCCCCGAATGCTACAGAGATCAGACATCCAACTTCATCCACAACTTGGCTCTCCATCTGTACCAGGGGCTCGTTTCACCCGACCTATCAACGGCATCCTCTGCGCAGTCCGACATAACGCACATCAAGAGACGACACGGTTTTGAAGTGAAGTGGACTTGAGATGAGTGGTATGAAAGTTGGGCGTTGGGACACGTGGATGGTTTGTTGCTTGGTTTTTGAAGAGGCTCGCGCTACGAAGTACCTTATCTCGTTCTTGATTCATGACTTCTGACTCGAAAACATTTGCCCCTGAATACCAAAGTTTCCCAAATGACTCTTTCGAGATCGATATATTGTTGACCGATTAATCTGAACTGAGCAAGATCTGAAGGCAGGGCATACTTCGGCTTCAGCTTTCATCTGTAATATGTTTTCCTGAAGACCTGGCATTAGAAACCCCATTTTCACCTGGCCAAGGCTGCCACCTAATAGATAGGCCTCGTCGTACCTGGCTACCACCCTTTCTCCCTCCGAGGGAACTGCCTAATTAACAGCTCAATGAATCTCCTATTAGACGACCCAGTGAACCTCCTGTTCGGCCCTGGGTCCGCAATAAACCCAACCGCTCCCACCGCATTGAGGGTCTGCCTCAGGGCTATCATGAGCTTCACGGGCAATTCAAGAAAGACACGAAAAGCCACCTCTGACCGGCAAGCGGGGTGGTCTGCCTGTAAATCTCTTCAAGGGTTGCTCTGTCTCCTTCTTCTCTTTCTTTTTCCTTTCAAACTCTTCTTCTTTTCATACTCGACAACCACAAAGATTTCTTCGATCGAGATCGAAAAAGATCACCACCAACAACAAAACTCCAGAACAAAGGCCTCGAGAGGTCTCGAGCCGAGATATCCAGTATGGCGCCTGTAAGTTGGTACTCTATTTCGTTCTATCTCGATTTCTCTTCATTTCCCTGTAAGGCCAAAGGGGGTGTTTTGACCTTCGGTCTCTTGCCCACCTAGGCCTCTGAGGCTTCTCGCGACGTTTCTCCCAACTTCAGCGCCCTCATTTCATCTCTTCCTATCCTCCATCTAATTCCAGATTCTCTCAAACATATGGACTTCATCTCTCCCAGTCTGATCCAGCACTTCTAGAACGACATAGCTAATCTCTTGTCGACACACAGCACGACAGACCGAACAGCGTCCATGCCCCCTGCAAGCCGATCAACTATCCCATTGCCCAGTACCCTTCGGGCACTCCCCGCCCTTGCCTGGCTCAGGGAGATCAGTACGACAACCTCGTGTACTGCTGCAGATGCCGCAAGTGCCGTGTTCCGGACGACTTCGAACAGCACCCTCCCGGCTACTTCACAAGCCGTAGCTGCATTCAGTGCAACAGCATCGAGAAGAAACCGAAGGAGAACGGAAAAAGAAAGGGGAAGAAGGCTTCCAAGAGAAAAGCTCCCGCTGAGCAAGTCTCTTCCAGCCAGGCTTATTTCAGCCAGTCCGCTCCCATCCAGACTGATCAGCTTGTGCGGCCGATCCCTCCCCCGACTCAGCAGCAACTCTCGAGCCTTCAGGCTCCTAATCCCTATCAGCAGTCTTTTAGTCATGTCCAGTCGAGCCTTGGCTTCATGTCCAACCGGGAACTCTTTGGCCTTCCTCCGCCTCCCACTCCCCATCCCGAACCTACCACTGGCCCCTCTCAACAGACTCCTGGCCATGCACAATCAACTCCTATCCTTCCGGCGAACATCGGCTTCATGTCTACACAGCATTCTATTGGCCTCAGCCAGGCTCCTACTGGCTATTCTGAGCAGAGCACTTGCCCACCTCTGGAGTATTTTGCCGGTTATGGCTAGCAGCCTGCCGTCTATGCTCAGCATCCACCTGGCTATCCGGAGCAGACTACTACCCAAGATCCTGGCGATGCGCAAGGCCAGTAGCTTGATGGTCCTGGTCTAGTTGCTCTAAGGCATCTTCATGGAGCATGTCCGAATAAGTCAAACCCGGATTCATCGTGAGAAGCGATCCTCTGCCTAACACTTCTCGTGAGCTTGAGAGATACTGTGCAGGTCTAGGGCTCGGATATCCAGAGTAGGGTTCTAGATCTGCACATAGTCTCTCTATGCTTACGAGGAGTGGGAGGAAGAACAGTAGTGGTTCTGCATCAATAGGGTATGCACAATTGTTTTTTCTGCAACACGACTTGGCTACGGCTAACTCTTCTTTAGGAGGTCATGGGGACGCCCGACGAAAAGCTGTAGCTGCTAGCGGTCGGGAACGCGGATATCGGAGCTGAGGATATGGGAAGTTTAGGTCTCGAAAGAGAGGACTGTGGGCGTTTCCACTCCACTTATGCCTGCTCACTTCCACAGTAAGTCATATTCTTTCATCGGCTCAGACCACAAGTATATTTCTTCTAGCGTGCATACGAGGGGTCTTCGAAGAAGTCGTGAGTAGCGATCCACTCAAAGCCGAGAGGACCGAATGGGAGCTGGAGAAGTTACGAAGCACAGGGCCTAGGTAGCTTAGGTCGCCCACGGGGTCATCGTCAGAAGCAACTCAATAAAGATACGTATCCCTGAAAATGCCCTATATACCTATAACGTGAAATCTCCTGCCTGTGGCTGAGCATGTGAGAAAGAAAGCGAATCCATGGATTTGGCGTACTTCCTTCGGGAAGCTGTCCGAAGATAGGTCAAATCGAGCCTGAAGTCAACAAGAATGATATCGGAAACTTGGCCAAGACCAATTGAAAATACGAGCAAGTTACGAAAGAGAGGGTAGCCGAGAGGTACGTGCTCTGTGTTTTCCTGAGGCCCGACGAACGAAATCTCGATGATGTCTAGTTCGTGATACTGATTTCTGTCACATCTTCTATGTGCAACTCTCAATGAACATAGCTCCTGAGACAGTCAACAACAATAAGTTCACCGTAACTTGATGGTTGCTGGTCAGAGAGCGCTCAGAGCTATTAGGTGCATTGCGATGAGACCATTGCTGGAGTTCATGTGGTGATCAATGAGCTTAAGCTGGGCCACGTCGATCTGCATCGAATTCACCACTGCATAGACTCTGCATGCTGTCAGATGCTCGCCGGATCTTGGCGCGGCATGGCGGTCATCTTCAGGAAATAATACGAGATACTGGAGCCCGCGGTCCGCGACGCCGCGTGGCCGACACCTTCCGGGCGCCGACTCCCGCCGGCACACGGAATGCGGAAGCTTAACATGTACTGAAACAGCGAGACTGATGCATTCCTGTCTACATCAACTTGCCCAATTTACCTGGCGTGCTTTCTTAGATCTCTTTCTTGCGGAAGAGAAGTTGAGTACTAAAAGGGAGGGTGAACATCGGCACCTTTCCCAAAATCGCACATGAGCAACCCTCGCCTAACCTCCTTCTCCCATGACCATTCGACGTCCATCCGTTTTTGGCTCACCGCTGCTTCACACCATCTTCGCTCAACTCCCGCTGCTCTGTTTTCGCATCATTCTCGTATTTCACGCCCGTCCCGCATCTTTCGCTCTCAAAGTGCCAGACTATCAATGACGGTACTATCCCGAAAGAGATCCAAAACGCAACCCTCTTATCTCATCACAGAGATAGTGGACGGCTGGGATGTGGGCGAGGCTGCCAACCAGAACGCCGAGACCCCCGGCTAGTTGCCGGCGTCGCGCATATCAATAGATAATGCACCGCGATATGGGCATGTAGGATGTGGGATGCGGGAAATGCCAGTAGAGCAGATCGCTGAGACTGGTAAACCCTAGGATGAACCACAGCGGGATGAACCGAAGCGCTGGATATCAGATATATCAATCGCCCCGGATCACTAGTCTCGCAGGGCGCGCGCGCACCATCGCGGGGCAACCTTTTCCTGACTTCACCGTATCATCGCGGATGGGGAACTTTCTCGGCAGCTCGGCACCGCCAACGATGGGTTCGTATCCCAATCGAGAGTTGCGTAAAGCACGCACTTGGATGACGGATGGATTACTCTGTGCCGTGTTTCCCGACGGATCTTACGGGGATCGATTGCCGCAAGGGATGAAAAGAAGGGGCATGTCCAACAATCGACAATCCTCCGTCACTCTCACGGGCCACAGCACGATTTATTCACAGCAAACGACAGTCACGATCAAGCGAAAGGGCACTGCTATGTTCTGAAAACATAAGTCGACATTATGGAACAGGAACAAACTCCTGGAATATGTATCTCGTCTCTATCTTCGACGGCCGTTAATGCGCTCGAATCCTATCTCGTCGAAACGCGGCGACCGTTTTATCTACCAGGAAAGGAACAAAAATACCCGGGACACCATTCGATGAGGATGAGAATGAGACAAAGAAAAACAGAACAAGGAAATCCGAGGTATTACATCCGTCCTGCACACCATCTGCGTGTTTCAACCTGCCGTTTGCTCCAATGTACACCAACCGCAAACAACAGGGTCGCTACATGTATGCGCCAGAAAAGTCAAAGTGAGTAATGAAAATTCCACTGATTGGAGGAAAAAGCAAAGTCGTGAGAAGCATGAGGGACGGGAGGGAGTGAAGACCGAAGAAAGCGCCACCGTCAGCCCAAGACAGCCGCAAGCCTTGGCCGAAAGCCTTAGTTGCACCACATCTCAACACGAGTCTTGTCGAGCTGGTCCAGGACGTCAAAGTCGAGCCCTGTCTGTCTGAAAGCGACGATGATCATGTCGAAGCGCTGCTCTAGCGACCGCGCGTTCCAGTCCTCAACGTCCAGGCGCGAGATTCGCGGTACAGCCTCTTGCTTGACGAGGGGATCGGCCCAGCAAACATCGACCTTTTCCGTTAACACGAGGCTCTTTGCGAGTTCGAGACCGGGAGAGTTGGCCAAGTGCGACTGGCCCTTCTTGAAACCCATGCCCACGACAAGGACACTGGGTCTCAGCTTCTCGGCGCACAGGGTGTCAACCGCGCGCTGAGCAATCGTCATGGGGCGAGCCCGCATCTTCTCCGTTGCGTGTTGCAGGAGAGGGAACTGGCTGTTTGAGAGAAGGTAGTACGGGTTGACCGGAATGCAGTGACCGCCGACACCGAGACTGGGCATAAATGGCATGTATCCGAAGGGCTTGGTCGCCGCCGCACCGGACACCTCGTATGGGTCAACACCGTGACCCAAACAAGCATCGGCCATCTCGTTTGCGAATGCGATACACATCATACGCTGGCAATTCTCGTACAACTTGGTCATCTCAGCGACTTCGGGCCGAGACACAGGGACGACATTGTCGAACACCTGCGAGTAAAGGCGGACAATGGCATTGAGAGAGCCTGGAACCATATCATCCAATCCGGAAACGATCTTGGGAATGGCGAATGCAGGCGGCTCAACTCGGCCAGGATCAACTCGTTCGGGGGACATGCCGGCGAAGAGATGACGCTCCTGTGCTAGAGGCCCAAGCAGCTCTCTGGTCATACCGACTGCGACAGACGATTCGACGACAACCACCGAGCCGGGGCGAGCGTATGTGGCGACGTTCTTGAGAGCAGATTTCAAGAAGGAAGCGTCAATGGTCTGGTCTGGGCGCAAAAGTGTTGGAACTGAGATGAGGAAGTGTGTGGCAGCCGCCATATCGCTGGGCTTGCAAGTGAACTTGGCCTTGCTGTCTGGGCCAAACTCCTCGCCGAGACTCTGGACGCGCGCCTCAGAGACATCGAAACCGAGAACATTGAACTTGCGGGCAAAGTTGCCAACGAGGTGCTCTCCCACATATCCGACACCGATGACGGCCACCAGAGGTTCCGCCTCGAGGTCAATGGAGCTTGCAACTGTTGCAAGCTCCTCATCCGACTCGCACTCCTCCGTGGGAGGCGTGATGGGATAATATCCATCATGAGGGAAGTCCCATCCTTGAGGCTTGGTCTCCGGGGAGTTGAAAGGATATCCGTTGTGGCAGGTCGGAGACCGCTCCGGGGTATCGGGAGTGAGCATCTGGGTATCCATTGCGATGGATCGAGGGTGTAAACGAACGATGAGGGCTTCTAGAAAACGAGTGGTGGGGTAGGCCTGTGAAGATGAAGGAGAATACCTTTTCTGATATCTGCCTTTGGGAAAAAGTCAACTACACTGCCAAGTGGCTATAGCTCTTGGAAAGGGCGTAAGAGTGGAAGAGAGGGGCGCACGGGAAGGAAGGAAGAAAGCCCTTGTCAGAGGAAAGGAAACGGGAGTTAAAAAGACTTGCCAACTGAGGCACTGACATGATGGTCAGGCACAAGGAGGAAGGAGGAAGAGGAGACTGCCCACTCACGTTGACCCTGCCCCTGGCGTCAGCTTTCTCGAGGTTGCCCAGACCAAACCGTTGCGGCCGCCGTTCTCCATGGCAGCACCAAAGCACCAAAGCAAAGCAATGATTGAGACATGGCATCAAACTGGGTGTTGCCAGCCCTAATCGGGATCCACGTCTGGTTTGCAGCATACGGCATAAACGCCATGGTAGTGGTGAGGCTCCCTCAAGCCAACCCGGCGGCACGCGGCTGGGGGAATAGCGACGGGACCGTGGACAGATCAAAGCCGGAAAGAAGAACGACATGTTAGTTTCAGGTCGAGGCTAGCTCCCGAGCAGGCCAGAACTTGGGGTCGAACAGGCGACCATCAGCAATAGTTTGTCCAAAAGCAGTCCATGGCAAAGCGGCCTGAAAGTGGCTGAAGGTTCCACCCCCTCAGAGCGCGACCACAAGCACAGGCGCGCTTCGGCAAGACGACGCTGCACGGAGAAGGATACAATAGCGCAATATGGCATCAGCAGAACGACAATGGCAAAATGCTGCTCAGGCCGGGTGTGTCCAGACTCTCAACACTCACCAGCAATATCATCCAGGTTGGAATCGCCAAGCTGGCAAGCCCGGATGCATGAGGCAGGCAAAGACACTGATCTCCCCTGTCTGCCCATCTCACTCTCGCCGAGGTCTCCTCCGACGCTTGATGTCATGCAGAACGCCCCCCGTCAACACTTGCTGAGGACCAATTTTTGGAGAGGAGGTTGCTCCGGCCTGTTCGGCTGGCCTGGAGTAGGCGTGCTTTCTCGGAAGTTGGACGCGGAATTTGAACATGACAACCTTTACTGCATGGTCATATTCGGGGTTCGTAAGCGGCGGTCCAGGATACTGCTGGATCGAGATGAATCGAAAAAGGTCGGAGGCTACGCTGGGGTTACCTTCGCGTCTCGAGACCGAAGGGGCGCTTGCTTGTCCACCGGCCTTGGGCACGTCGATCACGTTTGGCTGAACTCTTTTCGCGGAAGAGATTTCTCTACCTATTTTCTCCGGCAATATCCTAAAAAAAGGCTTGGAGGTCGTCTTCGACAGGAGACTTGCGAGGGTATCGACAGGGGTCCTTCAAGACGAGAAGGGTGTATGAGCAAGCTGGGAAATAGCCAGGATGAGGCTTGCTTGCAGAGTACGGACTGAAGGCGGCGCACAGAAAGCTCCTTCGGTCTCCGTATTCCGTATGCACATTTCGAGGTCGACGGAAGCTACTGTCTTGGCAGCTTGGAATCGAGTCCAGAGCCGAATGAGACGACGTTATGTGTCGAAGCACAACAACAGAGAAGTATACGTTGTGGAGAGGATGATTGGTGTGAGGAACGAGACAAGGAACGTTCGGTCAGCTCCCCATGGATATGCATATCAATGCATATGCAAATGGGTGACGCATATGCACATGCCATGCAATATGCAACAGGGCGGCATGAAGCCAGAGACCCACCCCCGCTGAGTGCTTTATTGCATCTCAGAAAACTTGCTGGGTGGTATTGCATGAGTGCGAGGTGTCTCTCATCCCCGCTCGCTCGACTTTCTTCTTTCTACATCTTCTCCGTTACTGCATCACCATCTTATCATTTTTCCACGCCCCCTCCATCACCACCCTCCCTCATCCCCTGTCCGCCCCTCCTTCATCAGCTAGGCTCTTAGTTCCGTGGGGCGCGAGACCATCCATGGCTTTCCGGTCCGTCCTCCACGACCCCATCCCATCAACCGCCCGTTCGACACCGATCCAAGCTTCCAAGCCACAAACGGCCCCTTGCACTGAGCGGCATACACGTGGTGGAGAACAACGCCAATGGAGGACTGTCCCCCTCAGAGACGCCTCTTTTTGCTCTATCCGTTTCTCTCTGAAGCTCGTTCAGGAAGAAAAGAAGAAAACATTGATGCCAAGAGCTCCCCTTCATCTCGTCATTCTCGGCTCGGGACCGGCGCGGCGCTTTTGGGAAAGCATTTGTGTTGCACACGCGGCCCACCTACCAGCTGGATTTCGGGACCCCTCAAGCCACAGCGGCCTTCTGTCAAACAGCAAACAAGCAGTCTCTGGTGTGCTGAATGATATTATTTGCAGTCCCGCCGCCTAGGGCCAACAAATGGCTCGAGCCGACGGCTTATAGCATGATGCTTCATTCAAACAAGCAAAACCTCTGTCCGAAACGGGGCACTGAGAGGTTTTGATCGGCGGCCAAGTCGTACACTGTCGACCGGGACGGCATCATCAAGCATTCGGCTCGTTTCAAGTTACGATGGCAGCTTTTCTCGAAAGGAGTCCAAAGACGGGAATTTGTCTTTGCCCTTCCCCCATGTGTCCGCGACAGCGAGACGACAACGACTTCGACTCTGATGCCGTCTCCTCACCACGATCTCGCAACACTTGCCGGCCTGTCTCGACTACCAGAAGCCCAACGCAGCGTCCGCGGACAAAGGCGCACCGCCACTATGCGTTGATCAAACTAGTACTGTGCGGCCTGAAAGAGTTTTTCAATGTTCTGACCATGGGATTTGCCATCGTACTCGGTGTGTGCCCTCAACACTGGCATGATTGGTGGGACTTCGTGCCTTCGCCTGAAGCTGACGAACCAAAAGATGGGATGGCGAAGGCCTCTGTGCTGGTGCCATCTGCACTGCAAATGCAAGATGCAATACAATTATAGAACTGCAGAGGCACCCCCGGCGGATTAGCGATGGATATTGGAGCCGCAGCCTACAGCCCTGCCAGGTTGGCGCCAAGTTCTGCCAACAATGCAAAGAAGACGAGGTGCATCTCACTCTTTGTGTGAGGTTGGGGATGTCATTGGCCCCAGCCATGATCGCTCCGCTCCAGTCTGGTGACTTGTGCGTCCTCAGTCTTCTGATTATACGAGGAGGTCCAGTCGATGAGGCTGCAGTCTTTACTCGATCATTCGCACCTTACGACCTTGTCCAACTTCATATGACATCAAGAACCCGACAGGCTTAGGCTGACAGTTCCGACTATCGTGGAGATGAAAACCCTTCAAGTTAGCGTCTACTTTGTTGCCGAAAAGGTTGGTCTGCGGAGAGGACGATGCTGACGGCACTAAAAGACTGGAGCATATCGATATGTTCTCATAGCTAAGAAACAAAAGTTCTCCGCCTGTTTGTAGGAATCTAGGGGGTAGAGGAGGAGGCCGGCCGGAACCTCGCTGACGGAAACGGTACTGCGCATTGCAGTGTGTCGCCGGGTATCGGCGACTTCACCTCTCGGGTTCATTACCAGAACGTCGGAGTCAGCCAAGGACCGGCGCATCCGCAGGAGGACAAACCTGACCAGTCTTGGGGAAACACAAACCCGTCCATTTGGTTAGTCTGCGAGAAGATTCCGATCTTTGCACCAGCTGTTCGGGGACAACTAAGCACGGCGAGAAAGACCAGGCAAACGATAACGTACCCTGGTTCTTGATACGGTCTCCGAAGTCATGCGGTGAAGCTATTCTCGCGGTCAAGCTGGATACTACCGGAGTCTGGGCATTGACGCCGCAGGGCATGGAACTTGGACGAGAAGATTCCTTTGAGAAGAAGGGGGGTACGTACTTGACCATGTCGACTCACCCCGCCTGCCCGGTTTCCCGCTTCGCTATGCGCATCTTCGAGTATGGTGCTACTCGGATAATCGAATGTGAATATTGACAGGGGGCATCCACCCACAGCCAGGGATTCTGGACTTCTCGGGGGCACCTCGTCGCCCGCGGTCAGCCCCCCCCGGTCACGTCCCAGCTCATGGTCTTTGATCTTCCTCTAGGTATGCCCCTGTTATTCTCACAAAGCACATCATCAATCTATCATAAGGGCACCTGCAGTGGATCTTCGGTCTGTCTGGCTGGAGGCTGGCACGCTGGCCTGACTGGGTACGTTATTGCCCAGCTTCTGCAGCTCCAAGTCTGCAAGGGCCCAATATGTCTGGTCTCACTCAGCCCATCTCATACTCAATGGGGAGAAAAATTTTCCTTTTCACCGTTAGCCTGCCAACGCACACCTTGTCTACCAGTTACCGTCCGGCTGTTGGACGGCTGGCCTCGTACACGAGCAATATCTGCCGATCCCAGCCTTTAGTCGGGCACAACGGGGCCGTGATCGGGTGAAAGCTCATATGGTTCATCTCTTCAACCCCGCGAGATTCCCGTACCTGACCCGGCTCTCACGGCTCTGCAATTCGTATGCCACCTGTCGACAGCCTATGCATCAATGTCTGGCATGTAGTCATGCTGGGGTCACGTACGAATAGTTGGGTCTGAATTCGTGAAGCCATGGATTCAACCATCTGAGAGACGCAATGTCATGCTGAATATTGGAGTCTTAGCCCATGATCCAAACGGGGCGCCGCCTCGTATCGAGAGGGTTGGAAGTGCCAGCCTACATTTGCAAGTGCCGTTTCTCCCGTCTGACTCCATCCATCTTTGACTCGAAAAAGGCCATTATATGCGCTTGGCCAGCGCCATTGATCCAGCTGCCAAGTCACACGCTCTTAGCCAGCCTACTCTTGCCTTCTCTGTCAATACAACCTGAAGGGCGTCCTTGGCAGGTCTGTAGGAGCAATATCCATCTTCGTAGTGTAAACCCGAAGACCAGTCATTATCGTCGAGCTTCTCTCGTAAATACCGCCCTTCGCCTTCTTTGAATCATTCCGGAACCTATTCTCCATCTTGCCCGCAGCGTCGATCGGTCGGAATCATACCCTCTTTGCCTTGCAGACTGCCTCACATTCTCTAGCCATGCATGCGCTTCTGCCTATTCTCCTCTCAGGGGCGGCTATGGCCGCCACTATAAACGCTCCCCTGAGGAAGCGCGCCGAGTGCGGGCCCGGAATCGGGTCCTGCGATCCGGGACAGTGTTGCTCAGAAGCCGGCTGGTGTGGAACGACGGCAGATTATTGCGGCGGCTCGCAATGCCAGCTTGAATACAGCGACTCTTGCGATACCTTGTAAGTCAACGGCCATCGGAGTCCTCGTTATGCCGCACATTGTTCACTAAGCCTCGACAGTTTTCCGCCACCAGGTGCTAGCACGGAGAGTATCGCGCGGCCCCTCGTGGGCTCCGTGCCTTATGGTGTGTTCATCTGCCTATGCATCGTGAGACGGACCTAACTTGCATATCCGTCTAGGCTCAATTATCACCACTTGTGCTAACCCAGGAACCTTGGCATTGACCTATGATGATGGCCCTTACATCTACACCTCCAACCTACTCGACATCCTCGAGGCCCAGAACGTCACCGCCACCTTCTTTGTCGCTGGCAACAACATTGGCAAGAACCGCATGGACAACCCCGATACCCCTTGGCCGGCCGTAATGCAAAGAATGTATGCCGCCGGTCACCACATTGCAAGCCATACCTGGACCCACCGCAACTTGAACGAGGTCAATAGCACCATCCAAAGAACCGAAATCATCTACAATGAGATGGCATTCCGAAACCTGTTCGGCTGGATTCCCACTTACATGCGCCCGCCGTTCCTTGAATGCGACGCCGGGTCAGGATGCCAGAACCTGCTCAAGACGCTCGGTTACCACATCATCAACGTCAACATCGACACCAAAGACTACATGTATGATTCGCCTGAAGAGATCCAGACCGCCAAGGACCGCTTCTCCAATGGTGTCTCAACAAACGCGGCAGCAAACAAGTACATCGAGCTGTCCCATGATGTCCACTACCAGACCGTGGTCAACTTGACCCAGTTCATGATTGACACTGCCAAGGCCCGTGGTTATCGCCTTGTGACCGTAGGAGAGTGCCTCAATGATCCCAGAGAAAATTGGTACCGGTCTGCGGGTGGCGCTATTAGCTCCGGCGTCGCAGTTGGCACGACCAGAACGACAACGACAACCTCGGTGCCCACTTCCGTGGCCACGACGCCTGTATCGACGCCGCAGACCAGAGCCACGTCTAGCACAGCATCTACTAGCATAGCAACTCGCACATCATCGTCAAGTGCCCCTGCCTCGACAAACGTATCACCGGACCAGACCTGCGGTGGCACCAGTGGTTACACGTGCCTCAACTCGGCGTTTGGCAACTGCTGCTCCTACTATGGATTCTGGTAAGTCTCTGGACGCCTTGGACGCCATGAATGACACGGCTGACAAGCTCCCCTTAACACAGCGGCTCAAGCCTTACATATTGCGGAACGGGCTGCCAATCAGGCTTTGGATCTTGCTCCCCCCAGTCTTCGGCTGTGGCCGAATCCTCCAATGGCCTCTGCGGGACCCAATGGAATGCCTCTTGCAAGAACTACGGCACGAAGACGTGCTGTTCTCAATATGGTTACTGGTATGTTTTTACACTTCTTCTTTCCGTTGGAGGTTGCCTTCGGGCCTGGTCCATCCGCAACAATTATTCGCAATAAGTCGACATGCTGATGAGAATATTACAGTGGCAATTCTGCGACGCACTGCGGAACAGGTTGCCAGTCGCTTTTCGGAACATGCAATTGATCGGGCTGTGTTGTTTAGTGCAGCATATATTGCCAGCCTGCATTCAACCTTGAGGCTGGCCACCATACTCGCACAGCATGGTCGATCCTCGGGGACCTCCCCCTCCAGCCCGGGGGAGTCCCCGTACAGATCATTTTTCTGCAATATATCGCGCAGAAGATGACAGCGAACATGAGGGGCAAACTTTGCAAACCTTGATTCACATATTTTTGTTTTTTTCGGTCGGTCGGGCTATGGAACCGGTAGAGTCGACCATCGCGCAGTCTATCGAGAGACGCCAAGACTGTCGGCGCGGACGCACTACTACCTGGCTACCAGCTACCACCTACCTTTACGATCTCTACGGCCGAGAAGCCGGGATACAGCTGGGGATGTTGAATCATATACATTGCAGCAGAAGCGTTGGAATACAGTTAGAACGCATTGGCATGTGGACGCAGAGAGGGCTTGGAAGTTGGGGGAGGCAAATAGTTTAATGATAACACCTAATCGAGCAGGCGAGAGGGCATGTCTCGACCTACATCGTGCATTTGCGACATCTCAACGGCCAGTGTCGTGCTTTGTTTTTTGCAATTTGAATTGTTTCTTCGGATGATGCATGTCTTGAAGAGCTACTACAACGGTTTTCTTTGTGTTCACCTTCCATATACGAGAAGCCTCCGAACGAGACACCATGTCATGTGTAGCATCAAAGAAACGCACGCAATTATCG